CTGAGATTCTGAGATTCTATGATTCTGAGATTCTGAGATTCTGAGATTCTGAGATTCTGAGATTCTGAGATTATGAGATCCTGAGATTCTGAGATTCTGAGATTCTTAGATTCTGAGATTCTGAGATTCTGAGATTCTGAGATTCTGACATTCTGAGATTCTGAGATTCTGAGATTATGAGATTCTGAGATTCTGAGATTCTGAGATTCTGAGATTCTATGATTCTGAGATTCTGAGATTCTGAGATTCTGAGATTCTGAGATTCTGAGATTCTGAGATTCTGAGATTCTGAGATTCTGAGATTCTGAGATTCTGAGATTCTGAGATTCTGAAATTCTGAGATTCTGTGATTTTGAGATTTTGAGATTTTGAGATTCTGAGATACTGAGATTCCGAGATTCTGAGATTCATTCTATGCATTCTATCTAGAATCCAAAAAATTCCCAAATTCTCAGAAACTCTAATTTCAGATGAAATGGTTTTCAAGGAGGATGGATCGTGTTCTGAGCACTGCTTCGACAGTTGGAGCAGCCATGTTTCGTAATCCAAAGCAAAAATACACTTCTGTTGCAATCCAAACAGAAAATGATAGGGACAATTTTTTACTAAATTTCCCGATCCCGTGCAAAGTTAAGACTGATTATAGGAATAAAACATGTCCAGATCTGTTGAGAAAAGACAACAAAGAAGTAGGTTCACTTTTGAAATCACCTTTCCAAAACCATTTTCTAGGATAAATATACAACCGCTCTGAAATGTCTTGGACCATGGCCATCAATTTTTAACAAATTCAACGTTACTGATAGCGATATGTATATCAATATGGTATATCTATATTTTCCAGTAAATTCAATTATCCCATATTTTTAGGTACGAAATGGTGTTCCAGTTTCTCAGGAAGTTCGTGATAACTATGCGGAAATATCCAAAGAATTTATGAAAGTTAGAAATTATTTGAACGGACTCTATAGTCGGGAATATATCCAAGTCAAATTTGGAGTGTTGGTTGATAAGATTTTGAGAGATATGGAGTGAGCAATATTATTTTTAAAAAAGGAAAAAATGACTTTTGATTTTCAGAACAGCGTGGGAACGGTATCAGAGGAAAATCCACAAAAGGAAGTTTAGGGTCTACTCGACGGTTAGTTGAATATTTTGAAAAATTAAAAAATTCTGAGTTTTCGGAACTTCTTATATTGTGTATATTATGTAGAAGCCCACCCTAAACGTTCCTTTGAGCTCAATTATCTCGATTCCTATGAGGGATATCAAAAATCTGTTAACTGATAAAATATTGGTGATATTATGATATATGATTTATCAGTTGACCAATTTTTGATATCTTTCACAGGAATCGAAATAATTTAGCTGAAAATTGACGGTTTCGGTGGGTTTCCATCAATTTCGGATTACTTGGTTTTGAGTTTCATTAGACAATTTTAAACTCCTGAATAATTGGAAAAACAATTTTTATACCAAAAATTGAAAGTTTCAAAGTTCGAAACTCAAAAATTTTTTAAAAATTAGAAAAATCTGACATTTTAAAATTCAAGCAAGATTGGGTCATGAGCGGAATCCTCTCGGCATTTGGTGTCCACGAGCATATTTTGGCGCATGGACCTCAGGAAGAGCCAAATTACAACACACTGATTCTAGTGGAATTGTGGAAGAAAAATGGAATACCTTATGTGAAATTTCTCTATAAACCTGAAGAGGAGACTCAATTAGATCATAAGTTGATGGATTTGACGGGTGTCATACCCGGTTGTGATGGGAAAAAGAAGTGTTCGTTGAAGGTGAGCAATTGGACATTGGACAAACAGACATACAGATAGATCCCAGGTTCTAAAGTTATCAGATTCCCGAGTTCTAAGATTCTAGGATTCCAAGGTTCAACAAACAGACACTACTTTCTATTTCCAGAGATTCAACAATTGCTGTGATAACACACGTGCAAGCAAGAGAACTCAGAAGAAATTATGTGCGTTTCCAAAACCTGTTACCACGAATTCAAGTACTATGATTACTCATAATTCTAGATAAATTTTTTTATTTAAATAAAATAAAAGTTTGGAATGAAGTTATTTTGGGTGTCTGCTCTAGAATCTCGGGATCTTAGAATCTTAGAATCTTAGAATCTTAGAATCTTAGAATCTTAGAATCTTAGAATCTTAGAATCTTAGAATCTTAGAATCTTAGAATCTTAGAATCTTAGAATCTTAGAATCTCTCAGCAGACTTGGCGAAATTTTAATCTGAAAAAATACGTATTAATATCTTTCGTTTTTTAATTCGACTCATTTTCGTTAACAATGTCTTGGAAGCATTATTTTTCTAGTTAGTTAGAGCTTCAAAATGAGCCTAATCATGATTAGATTCCGAAATTTTTGTGTTACTGTACTTTTCGTATTAGGAACCATTTTCAAGGAAATTAGGCATGAACATTTTTAAATCTACTCTTTAAAACTAGATCTTCAATTTTGTAGTTAAGAGCTTATTTGTAGCTTTTTGGTTTTTGAGATGGGCGCCTTTAAAGACGGAAGCCTCTACAGTACCAGGGAAAAAGACGAGAAAAGAGAAATACTTTTGAGGGCGCACATTTCAAAATCCGAAAAAGTTACAAAAAAATTGTCATCTACAAAATTGAAGCTCTATTTTTGTTTGGTAAATCTGAGAAACGTCAATCTTATGCAAAAAAAACTACCATAATCTCTGGAACTTCAAACACGACTATTTTTACTGGAATGGGTAAAATTAAAGCCTGTCCTATACAGTCTAAAAATGCCCAATAATTGAGCAGCTTGTCCAACTTATGTCCTCAAATTAAATAAAAACCTTACTTGTAGAAAAAAGGCAAATATCCAACAATCTCTTCTTTTAGTTCCCAAGGAAGCTTGCTCCAATAGTCTTCTTCTCCTTCTTTTTCAGCCATTTTTCAGTTCTTGAAATTTATCTGAAAATATGATTTTTTAAATAAAGACAACAATTTTATTCGAAAGTCGGCAGTCACGCTCTAGCGCATCAACTAGAATTGCGGTAGGGCGAGTTTTCAACATCGCTGAGGAAAAACAATGTAGACTAAAAGGCAATAAAATATAGAAAAAGGTACTCCTTAAGAAGTCTTGCCTTTCAAAACCGAACCGCCCATTCGAAACCTGAATTTTGCCGAATTGAAAGATCACAGAACACAGATTCCGATAAGAGATACTGGTAAATACGCCCGGGTCAAACCCAAAAAGACGGTAGTGGTAAACAAAAAGTGCATAGTTTTCGAGGTTATTTGTCAAGGTTTAGGTTAAAACTTTTATACGAAATGAATAAGATCACGTCCAACAAAATGAAAATGTACACAGAAAGGAAATAAAATTACCAAAAAGCCTGTAATAGAAAGGCGCAACACTGCTCCAATGGAAGATATCGAAAATTTGTCGTCTGATAAAATGTTTGTAATATTATGATGAACAATATATTAGTTGACAACTTTCTTATATCTTTCACAGGAACCGAGTTAATTTAGCTCAAAATTTTAAGTTAGGGTGCCTTTCTGTTGCAGGTTTTACAGCAATCGGAGCTATTCACTTGGTGCTTTTGCAGATTTTCAGTGGAAGAAATTTTAGAAAATCCAAAGTTTCGCTCAGAATAATCAGGATTTTAAAGTCAGAATATTGTCTTTTTAGTGGATTTTGAAATTTTTAGGCCTAGTTTTCCAGCTCCTGGAAATTTTTATTACCCTGATTTTTTTGTGTTTTTTAAAGATTTTTTTTCAGAATTTCCAAATCTGCCAATTTTCAAAACTGAATGTTTAATGAGCATACCATATTTAAGATCCAAAGTTTATGCTGCCTCATTTATAATCGGATATTCTATAATCAGGCGCCAGGCACTTTGAGCTCAATTATCTCAATTTCTGTAAGAGATATTAAAAATCTGCTAATTAAAAAATATAGGAAATTTTATGATAAACATTTTGTCAGTTGACAAATTTTTGATATCTCTTATAGGAGCCGAGTTAATTGAGCTCAAAGTCGAGATAGGCTATCGGTTAGACAATCTTCCTTCATAGAATTTTTACCTTCGGATATTTTTTCTTTCCCAAAAAACCAGCGAAAATTCTCAAAAATTATTTGATTTGCATTTTTTCGATCTTCCTTGCCACCCTTTTTTTACGAATGCTGACCTTGAGATGAAACCGCTCGAAAGTTGTTTTCAATATTTTCCCTCGGTCTACCGAAAAAGACGGGCGGTTCAATAAATTGATAAGAACATAGGGAGGAGTATAACTTGCTATTGAGAGAAGATATGGTTTGTTTTTTTCTGGGTCATTTCTAGTTTAGAAAAGGCAAAACAAAAAAACAGGGAAAAAGATTTGAAGAAAATAAAAAAATAAGTTCAAATTGAAGTGACGTAAAGATTCTAAAAATGGCCACCCAACCTGCCTACTTTGAGCCCATGTATCTCAGTTCGTGTAAAACATATCAAAAATTGGTATACTGATAAAATATTGGTGATATTAATATGCACATTTTGTCGGTTGAACACTTCTTGATATCTTGTACAAGAACTAAGATATATGGGCTCAAAGTTGGCGGGTTAGGTGGCATTCTATTAGAGTTTTTACTGTTGTTTTTTTGGAAACTTTTTCAGGACCCTTTAATAGTATTCTGGAAAGTTAACGCATTCAACTTTGATGATTTTTCAATTTTTTCAAGTTTGTGCTTTTAAAATTGGGGATGATTCCAATGCGACTGGTTGGTACTTTTGATTTCAATTTCATCAATTTTGCATTCAATTATTTCGATAAACCAGTAAACTATAATTTGTAGCCATCTTTCAAAGTGACTACAACAAAAATTAAAATTGATAAGAGAAAATATCAAATGCTACCTGAGTTATGACGATGGGCAAAGTTCCATTTATACACTTTCGTTTTTGCAATTTTTAAATGTCTGAATCAAAATTTTGGAAGATCAAACAACTTTTCATTTTCATACTGGTTGCGTTGGCTGCAAATTTTAACTATGGATTTTCAACGACGTATATTAATACTTCAGTGGATCAGTTTAAGGTAAACTTGGAGTAAGTTTTTTAAAGAGAATTCTGGATTTCAGAACTTCCTGAACACCTCATTATCACATCGCCATGTGGTTATGACCGAAACAAAATATGACATAATTTGGAATTTATTTCTCAACTGTTGGTTTGTTGGATATTTCGTTGGAGTATGGTTCAGCCCGATTTTTAATGATAAGTTTGGAAGGAAAGGTTGGTTTTTTTTAAAACATTCATAAGGTCCGTGAAAAATTGTTATCTACAGCATACTACCAAAACCCGGCCAGACCGGGCCCGGGTTTTCCAAATTTGAAAATTTTTTGAAATTTCAGAATTTTTTTCAAAATTTCTTGTGAAAAAATTATTTTTCATGAACACTCTTATTTTGAAAAGTTTTTTACGGAAAAATTGTCCTTTTTTTCATTTTCTCTAAAAACCCGGGCCCTGAAAATTCTGAAAAAAGCCCGGCCTGGCCCGTTGCAAGTATGATCTACAGTACCCGGACTACCCTATTTTGCGGTCCAGAATTTCCCGATTTGTTTGAAAATGTCCAGCATCATGCTAAACAAAATTAGAGCTTCATGATTAACAACTATTTGCATGACCAAAAAGGACACAACTCTCCTCCAATGATAATTTTCGTATATCATTTCATTCGACTGATTTTGAAATTTCAATAAAACCTGTATTTAAAAGGGCCTAATTGTTGAAAGCGCCCCTAAAATATAGGGCCCTTCTAATACAGGTTTTACAATATTCTGATTTTCAGTTGGCTTCCTTATCGGAAACTCGACAGCATTTCTAGCGTCAATCCTTCAATGTCTAGCAATTCTATGGTATTGCCCCGAACTATTGATAGTATCCAGATTTATCACTTCCATATGCATGGCTGTCACATACCAATCCTGTATACTGTTCTTGCAGTTAAGTTACTAGGACATCCGGCAAACACAAACCTACTTTTTTTAGGAATGCTCGCCTACTCATCTCCGTGGAAGTTTCTCATTCCTTTCCGAAGTCTCCTATTCCTCTATGACTATGGTTGGAAGCTTCCTTGGCCAGGACTATATTCTTGGATCTCATCTATTCTGGCTATGTTTTTTCGTCGTCCCATTTTGTCTTTTTTTCACTCTGGCCCTATTTTTGCTTCCGGAAACCCCAAAATTTCTGTTGATTTCCAAAGATTCTGAAGAGCAAGCCACCGAATCTGTGAAGTACTACCATGGCGTGGATTCAGATGCCAAGCAAGTTTTAGAAGAAATTCGGAAGGAAGCAGAGTGTGAAAATGATCCTTTAGAAGACTCTACAACTTTTCGAAAAATGAAAGAGCTCTTCACGGAGCCCCATTTGAGAATGGCATTGATCTTAAGTGTATCGGCACTTACGAATACCGTCGGATTGTGGGCGTTACTTCTATCATCCACGTTTTTCCTAGAAAATGCCAACGTGGAATCAGAAGTAGCCGAGTGGAGTACAACCGCGATGAGTTTAGCATATGTGTCCGGAACGGTCACTGGAGGAATTATAATTGAGAAGTGGGTGGGGATTTGAACTTTCGGATTTTACTTAAAAATATTTAGAGTCGGTCGTCGGACACTTCTTCTCCTATTCACTTTTCTTAACAATTTGGCTCTACTCGCGTTTGTGTTTTTTGCGAAAATTCGGATTTTGATTGACCCAATGAAATATGGGTGTCTAGGAGCACTCATAATCTATGGATACACTTATGGGTATGTCTGAATCGACCATCTTTTGAAATCCTATGAACTAAATTTTCAGAACCGGTGTTGGCCCAATTTCTTGGTTCATTTCTTCTGAACTGGTGCCTCAAAAACATCGAAGTATCGCTCAATCGGTTGCATACGCCATTAATACCCTAATGGTCGTTATTAGCACATTTACCGTACTCCCACTGTATTCTGTAATTGGAAGTTATGCATTTGTGATACTGTATTCGATTCCTTCATTTATAAGTATGCTTATTTTGTTTAGGTATTTGCCAGAAACAAAGAGACGGGAGATTCATGACATAGTGAATGAGTTGAAGAATAAATAGTTGAAATATATCAATTTTTCTTGTTTTCAAAATTGAAAAAAGTATATTGTAAAGTCCGGATTCTAGAAGACTACTGGTATGGTATCCTTATGTGGATAAACCATTATTGGTTTACAGCCTCTTTATTCTCGACGTCATCCGGTCTACCGGGCCTCCTTCATCTCCAGATGACCATATTTTCTTATACTTCTTCTACGTCTTAACCTGTCAGCTTCCACGTAGCCGAGAGGATAACATGTGCGGTTGTGGGACCACCAGGGGAATGGAAGGGACGGATTCAAATCCCCCGGTGGTCTCCGATTGATGACGTGAGGAGGACCCACGTCTCTACCGCACATCGTTAAGGCACGGAGGACGTCGCTGGAGTACAAGCAACGACAAGCAAGGAGCGAGCAAAGGACGACCACTGGAATAATTATAATTGATACTGTTCTGAATTGTAACATTAAATGAATTAATGATTTCCGTTTTCCTTCGTTTTCCATCGTTTTCGCTCAAATTTTCGTGGTAATTAATCGAAAAAAATTAATTTTATAATTTTTGTAATGTTTTATTGCTTGTGCGATCAATTTTCGAAAGAAAATAGCTCATTTTGGGCCAATTTTTGGGATTTTTGAACTTTTGTGTGTAAATCACTAAATTGTGGTTGTTTCCTTCATTCAATGATCTAGAAAATTATGAAAAAAATGAGAAAAAATTCAATTACCACGAAAATTGAGAAAAATTGAGGAAAATTGGGAAAAACCGAAGGAATATTGAGAAACAGAAAAAAATGAAATAGAATTGAGAAAAAAAGCAATTGAGAAAAATTGGTAGAGGAAAGTATCGACTGAGTTTTAAAACATAAATTAAGTTAAAGTCCTGAGAACTTATCAAGATTATTTTTTTTTGAATTTTTTTGCTATAATATTAGGAAAAAATATATTTTTTGAAACATTTTAAGGCAATAAAAAATTTTGGTCGGAGTCCCCCTTTAAAGTCCTGAGTTTGTAAAACTTGTCAAGATTGTTTCACAGTTCTCCGTTGTATGCTTTCCTGAAATTTCGAGACTCAAAAATTCAAAAAAAAAACTAATGCCTTTCAGCATAGCACAATTTCCACAATTTTTTTCCGTGATGTGTGAAAAATATGACACAAAATCAAAAAGAACAATGTGACAATGAGAAGTGAAAATTTTCTGTCGTAATTTTTAGAAATTCAAAAATATTGAGATTCTGAAGTTCTGCTATGTCGAAGTTCTGAAATTCTAACATTCTGAAATTCTCAGGCTTTGAAGTTCCGAAATCCTCAGATTCCGAAATAATACTGAAATTTCCAAGTTCTGAAATTCTAAGAATTCTGAGATTTTCAAGCTCTGACATTCAGGAATTCAGAAACTCCCTCAAAAAAACTGTACCCCCGAATCACAAGCATTGTACTTCTGAATGAAATGAGTTGTACTCCCGAATCATTGTACCCCCGAACTATTGGCCGAAATTCTACCCAGTTGACCCTCCGAAATAACACCTTCGATAGTCTTCAATTGCGTTTGTTTTCCTCAAAAAACTACGAAAAAGATGTTTAAAAAAATGCATCATATTCAGAATCATATACTCAAATTGATCTCAATAACCCCTATGAGACTATCAATGCCCCCTGGAAGCATTTGGTCCGATGCCCCCTATGAGACATGGTGGGATGCCCCCTAAGAGACAACTTCAGGATGCCCCCTATGAGTTAGTGACCCCCATGAGTGTATGCCCCCTTTGAGCACGATGCCCCCTATTTCGATGCCCCCTGGGAGTATGGGCCGGAACGTTCAAACTATTTGAAACTTCTGAATTAGGCCATTAAAATTGGTTTATTTAATTTATGATTACATTAGAAGGCTATTTCATTAATAGGTATTCAACCGGGAAATTCTGACAATTCTGAAATTTCGAATTCTGCGCTTTGAGATTTTGTAGTTTTCGGATTCCAAATTTCTAAGATTTTGAGCTGTTGAAATGCTAAACTTTTGGGATTCCGCATTTAAAATCCAGTGGCTTTGAGGTTCTGCAAATTCAGAGTATTGTATTTACATTCGGTTTTAGCTACCCTCCTTTCCGTCATCCGGTCCGCCAGTCCTCCTTCACCTCCAAATGACCAAATTTTCTTATACTTCTTCTACGTCTTCACCTGTCAGCGTCCCCGTAGCCGACTGGATAACGTGTGCGGTTGTGGGATCACCGGTGGAATGGAAAGGACGAGTTCGATTCCCCCGATGGTCTTCGATTGATGATGTGAGGAGGACCGACGTCTCCACCACACATCGTTCAGGCACGGAGGACGTCGCTGGAGGACCAGCACCGACAAACAAGGAGCGATCGAAGGAAGATCACTGGAGGAATGATAATTGGTACTGTTCTGAATGTAAATTGAAGAAATAAACAATTTTTTTTTGGAGATTCTGAACTATCAGTAAACTTATTGTTAGAAAATGTGCTTCTACTGCTATTATTCACGGTATACGAGGCTTTAAAGTTTCCGGAAAACAGATTCAAAGTTTCCAAAAACCAAGTAAAAATCGACCATGTGACACAACACTACAAAAATACACAAATTGTCTATTTTGAACCAAATTAAACTTTGTAAACACACAATTTTTATTATGCGTAGCTTGTGTCTCCTGCCCTACAACTGATAAGAAATGCTACTGGGGCAAAGTTCCCTCTCATGCACTTTTTTCCGTTTCCTTGAATGGCAAATTTCCCTTTTTGGCGCATCAAACAACTCTTGATTTTTCTCCTTATTGCGCTTGCTGCCAATTTCAATTATGGATTCTCTTCAACATATCTTAATACGTCGGTGGACGAGTTTAAGGTATCTGATAGGTTTGAATCGGTAAAATTTGAATTTTTTCAGATCTTCCTGAATAGTTCTTACTCTCGACGCGGTCAAGTTCTAACTGAAAGTAATTATGATCTAATTTGGAATTTATTTTTGAATTGTTGGCCAATCGGATCTTTTATTGGAGCATGCATCAGTCCAATTTTAAATGATAGATTTGGAAGAAAAAGTTTAAAAAAAACCATTTGAAGTTTCTTAAAACAATCTTTCAATTTCAGTAGCATTTCTGGTGGGAAACTTTTTTGCATTTCTGGCTTCCATTCTTCAATGTCTAGCAATTCTATGGTATTGTCCAGAACTTTTGATAGCTTCTCGGTTTATAACATCGATATGTATGGCTATAAGTTATCAGTCGTGTATTCTGTTTTTGCAGGTGAGGAGGATATTTAAAGGAGGCGAGACAGCGAACATTTCGGGGGACAGTTCGGGGGGCGAAATCGCGCCGCGCTTATGTAGACCATTGGTCGTCAGGCGCCTTCGCGCCCCCGTAGCTCAGCCGGTAGCAGCGCTGTACCCCTGAGCTGCATGTTATGAGTTAAACCCCTCATGGGGGTTCTCTATGCAAAATATCAGGAAATCTTTTTTTTTTGGTGTCTGGCCTCCTTTAAAATTATAGAAAAACAGATAACTTAGGTTTCAAATTGTATTTTAGAGATTAATTTAACAAAATACAAACGTTAGCTTCCCAAGTTTCATGGAGATTCTGTAGATTCTGACGTCTTCTGAGTTCTTAAGTTTTTAAAGATTCTGAAAATGAAGTCAACGGAATTTTTTGAAATTTGAAATTCTAACACTTGCCCAAAGCTACAAAAATGCTGTCATAATGTTGAATTGGGTTTTTTTCCGCAAATTAAATAACATTTTTTCATCCGAATTCCGAACTTTCGATTTAGAGAACGCCCCTGACATATTCAGAATTCAGAATAACGCTACAGTAATCCCTGCAAAATAGATAATTCGTTTCTGAAAATTCTGACTGTTTCGAATCAAAATTTGAAACTCGGAGATTTCCCAAAACTACAAAACTGGCATATTTCTGATTTTGATGTTTTAATTGTTTCTCGAAAAAAACTCCGAATTTCAATTTTGAAAAAAACCTGATGTTTTCATAATTTATAATAACGTTTTTAAGGACATCTGAATTAACAGAAACACAGAAACAATTTTTCCAGGAATGCTCGCCTACTAATCTCCGTGGAAGTTTTTCATTCCTTTCTGAAGTCTCCTATTCCTCTATGACTATGGTCGGAAGCTTCCTTGGCCAGGAATACATTCTCGGATTACATCTATTCTGGCTCTGTTTCTTCCCTGTACCCTTTTGCCTTCTATTCACTTTAACCCTATTTTTGCTTCCGGAAACCCCAAAATTCTTATTGATTTCTAAAGATTTCGAAGAGAAAGCGATGAAATCTGTGGAATATTACCACGGCGTGGATTCAGATGCCAAGCAAGTTTTAGAGGATATCCGGATTGAAGCAAACTGTGAATCAAGTGATTCAGAAAGCTCTACAACTTTCCAAAAACTCAAAGACTTATTCATTGAGCCACATCTCCGGAGAGCCTTAATTCTGAGCATAGCAGCGCTGGCCAATACTATCGGCTTGTGGACAATGCTCTTATCCTCTACAACTTTTTTAGAAGATGCCAATGTGGAATCGCACATCGCAGAATGGAGTTCAACGGCGATGAGTTTGGCATATGTATTTGGAACAATAACCGGCGGATTTGTTATTGAAAGGTTTGAAGAAAAACAAGAAAGTGGAAAACATTTAAGAAATTCAGATTCGGCCGCCGAAAACTTCTTCTAACCTTCACTTTACTCAACAATCTGGCACTTTTAGCATTTATATTTTTTGCGAAAATCCATAATATCATAGACCCGCTGAAGTATGGATGTATTGGAGCGTTAATAGCATATGGGTACACTTATGGGTACGATTAAAAAAACAAATTTTATTGAAAACTTCCAAAAATAATTTTCAGAACTGGTGTTGGTCCCATCTCATGGTTCATTTCTTCTGAACTGGTCCCTCAGAAACATCGAAGTATCGCTCAATCGGTTGCTGGCGCCACTGACACTATAATGGTCACAGTTAGCACGTTGGCAGTACTTCCATTATATGATGTAATAGGAAGTTATGGATTTTTGATTCTATATTCTATTCCGTCATCCATAAGTATGATTTTTCTGTTTCGATATCTTCCAGAAACCAAAGGAAGAGAGATTCATGATATTGTGAATGAGTTGAAGAATAAATAAATTCGATAAACTTGTATTATACAATTTTTTGACAGAAATTTCTAGAAAGAGACACTTATCGCACATGCTCATTTCTTAATATTCGAAGATTGCGGCGTCAATCCAAATGAATCAAAATCGTCTCCAATTTGAAGTCGTTGTGGTTCTTCCACCTGAAAAAGTTATGCCTTGAAAACTTGAAAAAAACCATTCCACATAACTTATGTGACATAAGGCTTAAATTTCGGTCGAAAACCAGCGACCGCCGACCTATCAAGCTGGCCGAATTGGTGAATTTACGGATCACCATGTCAGTGTTTGCGTACACAGTATTTTATTTCACGACGCAAACCGGGGGTACGACGGGATAGAACTCGGCGAACTAAAACACTAAAACTGAGCGGAATAGAACTGTCACAAAATAGAGATGTTGCAAAATGGAACTCCTCTATCCTGCCGAGTTTTATCCCGTCGAGTACTGTCGAGTTCTATCCGTCGTTGGAGTTCTATCCCGTACCCGCCGGAAACACTATCTGGCATGTTGACTCGCAAATGTACTATGCTGGTCGGCTGGCGGTCGGTCGACTAAACTTCCAGACCGAATGGAAACCTCAATTTCACCAACCTTAACTCCTCTCCTGATCAATTCCATTAGTTGTTCCTTCTCTACTCTATTGGATTCGAACTCCAACGGGCATTCATTTCTCACTTCAAGGACACCTACATTCTCGACCATACGGCAAAAGCTCGGATTCTCTTCGAGAATGTTCACTATGCTTTCTAAATCCTTCCATACTTTTAAACAAGGACAGGGGCTTTTCAGCTGTTGGTGCTCATTGTATTGCTTTTCCATATTTGATACAAGTTTTTTGAAGTTTTCGTTTGACCTTCTTCGGGAACCTGCAAATCATTATGCCGTACTTGCTCTAATATGGTTCCATCCTATACGTGCACTTTGAGCTCAATTATCTCGTTTCCTATAAGAGATATAAAAAACCTGTCAACTGATACATATGTTTATTATAATAACAAGACCAACAGACGCGCTTAGCGTTTTATATAAGAAAGATAATATCATCAATATAATATCAGCTGAATCTTTTTTGATATCTCCTATAGGAACCGATATAATTGAACTCAAAGTGCAAGTATGGGGTGAGCTTCAATTAGAACAAATACGGTAATGTTAACGGGAAAACTTCGAAACTCTACCAATAGAATTGACGAAGTAGAAAGTCGTTATCATTTTTTCACAAATTCTCATCATCCTCATATATCGCAATTTGCATTTTATGTTTTCATCTGCTTCGAATAATTTCTTCTTCAACAACATCCCTAGCAATGGAATGGTTGCTTCTTTTCTTTTTTCTGGAAACACACTAAAATAAGTTGTTTCATAGATTAAAATTTTCGACGTCACATGATCCTGATGATTATCCAAAATGCAATCTGAGCAGAAATTGAAATCTGCTAAATTCAGATGCTCCGTGTCCCATTGAAACTGAAAATTGTCGAAAAAAGGATTCTCTACTTGGGTGTGACAGACATGACACTCGAGGGGAATCTTTAAATCCATGAAATTCCTGAGATTTTCAAATTTCCCTCCATAAAATCTAATTGATTTTGAACAGCTCTCGCAAATAGAATATTTCGATAAATCTCGATCTTTGATTGCTTCCTTTAATTTGCAAGTTTCACAAACTCTTAATAGCTTGTGAGCCGAGCATTTCGAGCAGACTCCAGTTCCAGTTTCCTGAAGCTTAAAATAAAAACCGGTGATGTCCAATAAAAGCTCACATAGCTCATCCACCATTTCCGGATCACTTGAAATATATCGTAATCGAAATTGCCCATGATACTTGACGAGCTATAATTAACAGCTCCATATTTGAAAGCCCCTTCTTTTTTGCACACTGGGCAGTTCTGATTCCTATTGGAATTTGCACAAATCAAACAAATCGAGTGCCCACAGGTTCCGACAAACGGCCGTCGTGCATCATTGTCTGAATAGATCAGTAAATGCGCTCTATTGAAAAAGGATTATTACCAAATAAATTGACATTATTGTAGGTCTTGCAAGCCAAACAAACCAAGGATTCCAGATGAATCATTGTTGATATAATATGGATAAAATTTATTTTTGAAAATGGAGAAAATAATTTTTCGGTGTTGCGAAATTTGTCTTGCTATTAGTTAGTGAGAGAGAGTGAGACTAAAAGACAAAAACGAAAGAATGTTACATGAACAACAAGAAGACACGAAACTGTTTACGACGCGTTTGATGTGTTTCTGATTACCTCCTGTTTTCTAGACCATTTTCACATATTGGCCTAACTTTTGCAGATTGAGTTTTCTAGGCCGCTATTCTTAATGACTTAGAAATAGCTAGATACTAACCATGTGTGTTTTTAGGCCATTTTAACATGGTGTCCTAACTTTTGCAAGTAGTGTTTTCTAGGCCACCGGCTCCAGGACGTTTCGGAAAACGACAGTTCAGAAAAACGACGTTTCAGAAATTGACATTTCAGAAACCGACAGTTCAGAAAACGACAGTTCAGAAACACGACGTTTCAGAAGCCAAAGTTTTAGAAACATGAGTAAATGAGTGTATTAAAATAAGTATTGCTCATTTTGAACTATAACGTTTATTGCTTATTTGTATTTGTGCACTTTTTCTATGATTTTAGGAACAATATCTAAGTAAAAACAACATCATTTATGAAAAAGTAACAAAATTAGAAGCGCCAAAGAATACACATACATTCCGTTACTTAAAAAAAAATTTAACTTTGTCAGTTTTTGATAAATGCTGTCGTTTTTACTTACAATTAGATATTGTCCCTAAAGTCATAGAAAAAGTGCACAAATACAAATAAGCAAAAAACGTTATAGTTCAAAATGAGCAATACTTATTTTGATACACTCATTTACCCATGTTTCTAAACCTTTGGCTTCTGAAACGTCGGGTCTGAACTGTCGGTTTCTGAAACGTCCCTTAGCCGGTCACCAACTTTTATGATTTGAAGACTCAAACGACTTTTTGAATTTTTTTCGATATTAGCCGTTCTGCAGAAATGACTTTTAAAAAAACATACTGGTCGCTAAAAGATTAAATTCGTACTTTGTAAAATTTACAGTATAACTGAATTTTTTTCTGAAAACATGAAAAATAACCACACAAGATGCCATTTGTTTTGTTAAAATAATCAAATCAATTTATTAATGATAAGAACCAACGAAATTTACAGAACACTACCGCAAAAATAATTTAACAAAAATACGATCTAAATAATCTTATTCCTTTGTACAATATCCTCCATTTTCACATTTTCATCATCATTATTGTTCACATCGGGAATCAATTGTTTAACAGGTGTAAGACCATAATACACATAGTCACGGGGATGTTCAATGGATTTACGGAACTGTTTGTCGGTGCCGTGGAACCAGTCAAGAGGACCAAAGCCATAACATTCATTGAATCTGAAAAATGATGATTTAATAATTTGGCTAGAATTTGATAGATTTTAGATTAAATTCTTTGAATTCAAATCTCTTCAATTTCCCAAAACTCACACTTTATGATGGAAATCATGATGCTCAGCTGATAACATGAACGGAAAATGATATCCAGAATGATGGAACGTGGTGGTCAGAATCGCATAGGATGTGAAGATCCAGTAAGAAACCACGTGGCATCGGAATAGAACTGCTCCAAGAGCAATTGGGCTCAAGTTGGAGATAGCGTGCTCCAGTGGGTGAGCGTAGATGCTAGCGATAGCTGGAATAGGTTTTTTTCACTTCAAATTTTGAGCGAAAACTCACAAACTGGAGCTGTCCACTCATGATGCTTCTTGTGGATGTGTCGATAGAGTTTTGGGTGGTGGAGGAGTCTGAAATTTTATTGAGATTCAGAAAGTAGGCTTGGATTCTTTACCTATGACTATAATAGAAAGCAATCTCATCCATTGCCATACAAAGTACCCAGTTCATCAGAAGAACCCACACGGATGGAATTTCCGGTCCGAAATCCATTCCCCACCATTTGGCAATATAAAACCAGATAGAAGTGACTATTGGGGTAACGATTAATTGATTGGGACCGATAACTTTCAAAATACTCCAGTATTTTGAAAGCGTTGGCTTTTTCTCCTCTTGGATTTTGTAAGGTTGCACCCATTTTGGATCCGTTACGTCGATTATTATGAAGAAAAGGTTGTAGAGCCAAAAAGAGATACCAGCCACTGCATTTCCAGCAACCACACTGAAAAAGTTTAAAATTTTTCGAATTTGGGGTTTTGACTAGGGGTTTGATCATGGGGTTTGATTGGGGGTTCATTAGGAAAGAAGGCTTCTATTCTTTCGGGAAATTTAGCCAACCGACCGACCGGCGACCGAATCCCTGCATTTGCTCGTCAAAGTTACAATACGTGTTTGCGTACGCATTTTTTCTATTTGGAAAATGTAAAGCTAGAAATTTCCTTCAAATCTGTCTAAAAACAAACTCACTAGGTTTTTTTAAAGCTGAGATACAACTATTCAAAGTGTCCCCAGCTAGACACGCAGGCAATGAGACACACTGCGTCTCTAGCCTCCCAAACTTCAAATGACTATATCTCGGCTCCTAGAAGGCCTAGAAAGTTGGTTTTTTGACAAATGTACAGGAAATTTTCTGTTCTACAAGAGTATATTAAAAAAAAATCAACAAGAATCAAGTGTCTAGCCAAGCGACAGTCGACCGAATTCATGCAATTGAGCGTCAAAATGCCAGAGAGTGCTTGCGTACGCAGCATTTTATTTTACGACACAATAAGGATTTTCTGACATTTTGAATCTCGTACGCAAACACTCGCTGTTAATTGGCGCGCAAATTTACGGATGCGGCTTAGTCGGCGGTCTGTCGACGGTGGCCAATTTTCGACAGACCCAAATGGAAGCCTTATTTTTGACAATTAAAATTATTTTTTTGAAGTTTAGAAGTTCAAAAATCATAAATGATCTGCACTAATTTCAAGTCATCACATTTCGCGGGTCGTTGAGTGATAAGAATATACTTGAAACCGGTTAACGTGGAAAGTTGAGAATCAGCAAGTTCTAGAAACATCGGAACTTTTGAATCATGAATTTCTAAAAGCTCAGGATCTTGAAGTTCTTCGAATATGTTTATTTCTGGAGTTTCAGATTTTCGGGATTTCAGAAGCCGATGGATCAACAATTTTAGCTATCAATAAGTTTTTTTCAAAAAAAAACTCACTATAACATGTATTCATCGCCTTCAAAATAATTGTATACAGTTGTATACCAGGACTGCAACATTCTTATATTTTGAAAATGAGAAGAAGAAGAACACTTTCCTCTCTTATCACCTCCCACTTCCACTCTATTTTATAGTGCTCCAAATCGAGTTGGTTTGGTGTTTAAAACAGCAAAAAATGGAAGAGTTTAGTCGGGTTCAACTAGACTTTAGTTATATTTTTTGAGCAGAAAATAGGCGTGCTCAAAATTTGGGGTAAACTCTAGGTAAATCATCTTATCGTGGGAAATTATCAGAACAAAAAAGATAAGATAGGGGAAATGGGATGATGATGATGATGATGGTCAAGTTGACTACTTGATTTTTTGGAAGAAGAATACCAATATTTTTTAGGTTTAGTTTCCAAGGATTTTAGGAGATCGGAGAAATCTGAGAATTTATTTTTTTTGTAGAATCTCAAAATCTCAATTTCAATTCATTGGCAAGAAATCTTGAGAGCCGAAAATTCTAGGATACTAAAGTTTCCATTTCTTATGAAAATTCGAGAATCTCGGAATCTCGGAATCTCGATACCAGAGTTTCAGAATTACAGAATCATAGAATCCATAGCACCGGACGTATTTGTCTGGAAAACTAATTTTAAAATTACAACGAAAATTTAAAAAAAACGGCAGGAAAAAACAGTTTCGAAAAAATAAACAAGAATGAGAAACAAACGCGTCGCATACGCAACGCTTCTTAAAGCCGACCAAGATCTGACAAAGATCTGACCAAGATTCGATCAGAAGCTGAACCCCTCTCAACTTCCGACCAGAAGTTGCAAGTGGCATCCTAACGCTGTTTAACTTCTGACCCAAAGTCGACCAGCTTCCGACCTGAAGTCGACGGTTCCTCAACTTCCGATTTATTCTGCGGTTTCCAAAAAAGGTCTAAATCGGAACCGATCGTGTTTATTCTCTCAAATTCACCATTCTCTCAAAGTACCGTGATCTGCGGTTTTCAATTTGGGAAAGATAAAATTTTCAAAAAAAACTAACTGTTTTAGCTGCCGTATTGTGGAACTAGAAAAACTGACACCTGGAAGTTTCGCGGGTGGAGTTTGTGCAGATTCACGATGCTCCGCTCTAAAAATTGATTTCTGGGAATTTATCTTTTTTAACAAAAATTCCGATTTCTTGGTAAGAAAATGATCACTAGCATCTCTAGAATCTCTCTTTCATTTAAAAACCAAACATAATAGCGGAAGTGGCTTAAACGAGGCAAAAGTCTGAAATGTTATATGAACTTATGAGAACATCATTAGAGGTGTTACGTCGCAACCTGCTGAACTAAATGTAAGCTGACAATGCTGAAGTGCCACAGGACGATAGATTTCGGATTTCAGGAACTGGAGATTCTGAAATTCGTAAGTTCTGTCATTCTGAGACTCTGAGATTAGCATGTTCTACGAAATAAAAATTCTAAAATTTTACTCATTCCAGGAATCTTCGGCTGTCAAAATTATTTGACTATTATTCGAAATCAAGGTTCTGAGATTCTGTAAAGAAGGTTATCACAGGCCATTCATGAACATTTTCATTGGAAAACTCTTTTCTCTCTAAAAATCGATATTTTCCAAAGGAAAATCGTGAAAATGCACTGACAAGGGAACCAAAACACCATCTAGACATCCCTGAGAATTTCAGAGCACGCTCGCCAGTTTCAGCTGAGTTATACCACTATCAGTATCAAAACCGCGTTTTTAGCGCAAAAACAGCAATTTTGAAAGGCGATTTCCTCAGCTTCCAGAAGGTTCCAGAACATGCAAATCGTTGTTTTTTATTTAGAATTCAATCAAATTTAATATTTCAGACATTTTCTCAGAAAAAATTTTTTTTTTTTTAAACGAAAATTTCTTCGGGTGGGAGATTTTATCGAACTTTTGTCTTTAAAAAATTTTTTTTTTGAAAAAGTATATAGCCCCAAATACAAAGCTTCAAAACTGCTACTTTCCAGTGATTGAGGAATTCAAACTTTTTCTGAAATTTTGAAAAAAGTTTTTCGAAGTTTTTTCTCTAGAAAATTCGAAAACAACGATTGAACCGTCAAATCTGACCCAAAAATGAAAGCCTTAATGGATTTCCTAGAAAATGATCTAAAATCACACCTCCAACATTCTCAACACCTTCTTCTTTCAATATGAATTTCGATATCAAATCTGAAGATCAGCGTCAATTGTCTACATCTTCCCTTGTCACATTCTTCTTCCTGTCTCGTTTTCCTCAGCTTCCAGAAGGTTCCAGAACATGCAAATCGTTGTTTTTTATTTAGAATTCAATCAAATTTAATATTTCAGACATTTTCTCAGAAAAAATTTTTTTTTTTTTAAACGAAAATTTCTTCGGGTGGGAGATTTTATCGAACTTTTGTCTTTAAAAAATTTTTTTTTTGAAAAAGTATATAGCCCCAAATACAAAGCTTCAAAACTGCTACTTTCCAGTGATTGAGGAATTCAAACTTTTTCTGAAATTTTGAAAAAAGTTTTTCGAAGTTTTTTCTCTAGAAAATTCGAAAACAACGATTGAACCGTCAAATCTGACCCAAAAATGAAAGCCTTAATGGATTTCCTAGAAAATGATCTAAAATCACACCTCCAACATTCTCAACACCTTCTTCTTTCAATATGAATTTCGATATCAAATCTGAAGATCAGCGTCAATTGTCTACATCTTCCCTTGTCACATTCTTCTTCCTGTCTCGTTGCGACCGATAATTTGATCTCAGAAGACGTCAAACTATATCCAAGCGGTTCCGAATCTGAAGGCGTGAGATTTCATAAATGTCTTCGTGATCACATTCTCTTCGTGATCGTTCGATTGGTTTGATTTCTTGAACCTCTTTTTGTTACAGTATCCTTAGTAGATTTTGCAGATCTAATTTCGAAGTTAGAAATTTCGCTGAGAAAAGAAATATATCCGTGATTTGTGTCGCCGTATACGGTACCTCCCAAATATGATCTGATTAGTCTGTTCGCATTCCAATGACTCCCGTTTGTTCCTTGTTCTTTTAATACATTTATTCATTTTAAAATTTTATTCGAATCAAACCAGCAATAGTAGAAAAATAAGCTCATGAGATTTCATAATTGAACCGGCACTTTTTGTCTCTAAATGTACAATTTTTTTACAAATTCTCTATTCTTGTTTCTCATCGTCCGGATGAATCTGCTTGATTGGTTTGAGACTCCAACTCATATAGTTTCGTTTTCCTTCCACTGACTTGCGGAAAGTGGTGTCTGTTCCGTGGATCCAATCCAAAAGTCCAGTTCCAAAGCATTCATTGAATCTGGAAATTGAAAAAAAATAGGAATTCATATTATAGAAGTTTAGAGCCTAGATTATGGGTTTTGAGGTTATTAAAAATATAATGCTATAGAATCTACAGTAATCGACAAACATTTAGTACAAGCCCACCCAGACGGTCAACTTTGAGCTAAATTATCTCGGTTCCTGTGACAGATATCAAAAATTAGTGAACTGATAAATTATTTATCATAATATCACCAGTACTTTATCAGTTGAACAATTTTTGATATCTCTCATTGAAACCGAGATAATTGAATTTCTATTAAACTTTTAAAAAATGATTAAAAATAACTCACACTTTATGATGATAGTCATGTGGTTCTGGTGAAAACATGAATGGGAAATGATAGCCTGAAAACATTTAATTCAATTTGGCTTTCCAGTTTCTGTGATTTGTGACTACTGATCGCAAAAGTGAAAGTAGGATTACTGTACCTGAATGCGAACAAGTCGTTGAGAGAATCGCGAGTGATGCCCAAATCCAAAGAGTCACCACGTGGCTTCCGCAAATTGTTGGTCCCAGAAGAACTGGACTCAAATTTGAGATTGCATGTTCCAGAGGGTGACAGTAGATGCTTGTGATAGCTGAAATTTTTTGGTGTTTTTAGAAAAAGTTCTTTAAGTGACTTACAAACTGGTGCGGTCCACTCATGATGCTTTTTGTGGATGTACTTATAAATTCTTGGGTGGTGGAAGAGTCTGACAATTGGAATTTTGTTGAAATTCGATATTTCTGTTTTACCTGTGAGTATAGTAAAATCCGATTTCCTCGCATAAAATCGACACAAAAATGTCGCGTAGAATTTCTAGGACAGATGGCATTGGTCCAGTGAAGCGGGCGCCTGGAAAATTAATTAGGGATTACTGTAGATTCTATTGCTCAGCCTGTCAAAACTTACCAAACCAAACCGCTGGAAAATACCAGCATATCGTGATCAGTGGTCCCGAAATGAATTGATTTGTCAAAATAACTTTAAAGGCTCCAAGATATTTCGATAACGGCGGTTTCTTCTCATCCTGAATCTTATAAGGTTGCACCCAATTCGGATCAATCATATCGATCAGAATGAAAAATAAATTGAACAGCCAGAAGTTGATATTCACGATTACTGTACCTCCTATCACACTGAAACAATCAAAGAAAGTTTTAAATTTTATCATAATTTTGACTTACTAGATAAGCAAGGGGTCACCTCCGAAATAATCGTAGACTTTTTGATAGGCTGATTCCATTTTCTTTTGAATTGATAATGAGAAATGACCCGGGTTGGTGTGCGCCTATTTATACACCTCCGCTATTTTTGAAGAATAGGGGGACAATTTTCAGATGGGCGGAGCAATAGAGTTTAGTTGTTGATGTATTTCCAACTAGAGTCTTTTTAATAAGGTGGGGTTGGGAGGGACTACTGTGTTTATTTGATCACTGTTTTCGAAAGAACCGAAGAGACCGATGGAATTAGGGAATTCCTTCTCGGAAATACATTTTGTAGCGTGTCAGTTGTAGCCTAACATGTTCTGGTGTTTTGAACTTGATGATTTCATAACATTGGGTGGTTTCTTTTGCAAGATACTGTAGCTTTGTGGGGTTTTCGAGAAGTGATAAGGTGCAGAAGTTGAACCTTGACACTTGCTGACTCTGAAAATAATATTTTTGTGACTTATGAAAATGAAAGGATAAGGAGGTAACTATCTTGAGCTGTAACGGAAAGTATTCATAGATTTGGCTGGTTCCAAAGGTCATTGTAAGCCGGTACATTTTGAATGCGGATCTTTATAAAAGTCATCATTCAGTATTATTCTGGTACAAAAAACCGGAGCTGTGGAAGAGAAGTGCCGGTGGCCGTGGCCGAAGGTTCCACTGCAAGAACTACCGTAACCCAAAGATATTTTTTTTCTGGATTGATTTTCTCGATTTTACGTTTTGCCTAGTTTTTCTGTTTTTCTTTTCCCGACCAAGTCGAGAAACAAAAATTTTGACATTGAAATAATCGACTGAAAACGCACGAGATTCGAAAAAATAAATTAGGACAATTAAAATATTCTTAAGTTACTGTAGTTATCGTTGCGGGACCATTAGGCGCGGCCACCGGCGTTTCTCTTTTACCGCAACTCTGGAGTCCTGAAAAGGTATTACAGAGTCCTGGATTTAGCTGAAAATTTCACAGTATACTAAACGAAATTACCTTATTTCTTCTAATACAGCTCACCCGAGTGGTCAAGTTTGAGCTCAATTATCTCGATTCCTGTGAAAGGCATCAATAAGTTGTCAATTGATAAAATAATAATGATATTATGGTAAACAATTTTTTAGTTGATAAAATTTTGATATCTCTTACCGGAACCGTAATAATTGAGCTTAAAGTTGACGGTTTGGGCGGGTTTCTATTAAAGGAAGCACGGTAGATTTTTTTAATTTACAAAATATATTCGGATAAGCTCCCGCTTTTTTTGGAATAAAAATATGTGGAAATTTTTGAATTATTGGTTTACTGTAGTCAGCACTAATTCACTAAGAACTGGTAAACTCCAACTACTTTCTACCCATGTCTCTTCCCCCAAAAATAGAAGCAGAAATCACACAAAAGGAGTTATCAAAAAAACCAAAACTTCTGAAACCACCTCCTACACTCTTTTCTGTGAAGTCAATGCACAAATTTTTCCACGAAATGCGTAGCTCTCCTTGAAACAATAATCAGACTTTCCGATTGAAATTTCAGTTATAGATCACGAATCATTTCGTCATAAATAGATCATCAGCAAGTTTTTTGAATTTGTGCATCTGAGTAGCTCTTTTTGTGATAACATGAATTATTTGTTGCTAGAAAAAGAACAAGAATAGAGTCTATTAATTAGTGGTTCAGGTAAATTTGATGATAATGATAATGTTGTTGGGGTAGAGACTGCGGTGGCTAGAAAAGTAATTTGAAAATGAAGCTTCTCCAAAATGTAAGGTCCAATTTTTTACTGGTTTCTGAAAGCTACAAAAATTATAAAAAATTGTAAGTTCCTGGTGGATCAGTTTTTGAATTTTGAGAAGAACTAATACTAACTAATCAAAAAGTCCAAAATGAATTCAAAATTTTAAACTGATATTGAAATTTTCTCAAAATTTATTTATTTTGTAATTTGGCTCCACATCTCTACCCGCAGTATACCGTATTTTTTCTAAAAAAGACTCACTTTCTTCGTCACTTTAAAATTATCTCGGTTCCTTTGAAAGATATCAAAAATCATTCAACAGAAAAAATGTAAATCATAATCTCATAAATATTTTATCAGTTTACAGATTTTTGATATATTTCATAAGAACCAAGATAATCGAGCTCGAAGTGAATGTTTAGGGTGAGCTTCTATTAGAGAAACTTTTGATCGTTACTGTATCCTGAAAACGATATGTTTAAAGGTCCAGAGTTCTTTCCAAAAAAAAAACCCTCGTCAATTCTAACTGTAATGCCCTTTAACGAAATACTTGTCTTCGAACTTTTCAGGGCACTCATCAGACTTTGTACCTTAACTTCCAATGTTTGTTTCAAAGATCTAGTCAGACTTTTTTTCTCGGTCTTTTTGATCTTTTTTTGATATTTTTCTTCCAACCACATGTTTTGGATGTTTGAACTATCTACTAAATTAGTCTGTTAGTTCTAATTGTGATCAGAAAAACAACCAAATCAGAAAGACACAAGAAACGGATATTCAATTCTCATTTTCGTTTTTCATAAAAAGAAAAGAAACACCCGTTTGAGGGATTCCAAACAGAAATGCGTTTGTAGTTTGAAGTGAAAAGAAAACCTCAAATTAAAACTGAAAATAGAAAACTAAGAAGAAAACTTCAATCTAGTTAAAATTTGTTGTTTTCAGATTCAACATAAAATTTTAAGATGACTGTGTTTTGATGTTTCCTTCCATTATCAGTTAGAGACTTGTTTTTTTACAACTATTTTCAGTCCAAAATTTTTTTGTCGTCTCTTAAAAATGAAAGATCATTTTCAGGTTCTTGACTAGATTGTTTTTAGTATACAGTTTATTTTTGAATTTCAAAATTATCCTATCTAGAAAAATTAGTTAGCCATGTATCGACACTAATTAGTTCCTAAAAATAGTTGTCGTTTATCTGGGTATTTTCAAGAATCTGCTACCGTAATCCCTTTTCCCTTTTTTGGACAAAATAAAATAATGGGCGGAGTCACCCGCTATCTGATAGTTCAAACACCGTTGCCTGGGGCGCAATGGAAAGTTCTACAGTAATATTTTTGTTTGAACCAGTATTCATTAATGACATCAAATTCTGGAATTTTTTAAAAATTACTCAGCGTTTTGAAGGCTTCAAAAAAGCAGTTTTTCATTTTATCATTCAGCACATAAAAAGTTTTTTTTGAACTTTTGATTTTTTTTTCTGGAAGTTTGTAAAATTCGGGATCTTGATGTTAATCAAATGTGTAAAACTGAAATGCACTGTTTTGAATATTTTTGATAGTGAAGTACCAATTAGAATTTTTTTTATTTGGTTTTCCACAAATGATTCGCTTTTTAAGCTCTCAAACATATCCCAGCCAACTATTTGAGAATCAGATAAAAGCCCATTTTTTTGTAATTTTCAAAAAGTTTTCAGATGTCAAAAGTTGAGGAAATGAAATTCGAAATAATTTGTAGCATATACAATACCGGAAAATATCATATTTTGGCTTTTTTAGTGGAAAATAGTCAACGTTGGACTTCTGAAAAAAATCCAGAGAATTTCCACTACTCTGAAAACAACAGAATATACTTTAAAAAAATATTTACTTTTGTAATCGACAACCTTTTCGCCAATTTCCATTCTGATGAGATATGCCGTTTGCAACCAAAAAAGTCCCGAAAATACAAAAATCCCTTTAAAACCGCTTATCTCGTTTTGATGGATTTGTACAAAGAAGTCGTCAATTATTAGGTTGTCCAAAAAGTCTTTGACACTTTTACTTCGCTCTATGTTGCTCGTCCGAATTTCGATTTGTTCTAAATCTGTTTTCATATTTATAGTTGTCTCACATTGTGTGTTTGACGCACTATAAAAAATTTCCCCTAAACAGTGTAATGGGCGAGAACTAACTCGATGAACATCACATACCCAGAGGTGTGTTTTGTTCATGTTGCTCCTGGGTCTCTAGAGCAACGAACTTTGGCGAACAAGGTGCAAAGTGTTAGACGTAGACACTCGAACCACTAATAAGTTTTCCCTCGAACCACTAATAAGTTTTTGTTCAAAAGATTCGGAGAAGGGAACTACGCCAAAATCAGATTTTTTGAATTTGGTTAGACAGGGCTGGAGTAATGTCCCGCAAGCTGTTTCCGGGCTCCAGTATCACCAACTCTGGCTCTACGGCTTCCAAATGGAAAGTGATATTTATGCACATCGCCCTCACCTCCAGAAAGGCTTGCTGTTCAAACTATTGCATGACAACGAAAAACCACACAAATCTTTGAACACCCCGTAGTACGCTCGAGCCTATAGGAATCAAAATTTTGTTTTACCCAGCGTATACCCCTCATCTGGCACTAATTAATTACCACTTTTACTAATTTCTCCGAACTTTCTTGCTGGAAATAAATTCCACGATCGGAAAGATGTCAAAAAAATTTGAATCATTTTTTCGCTTCTGAGTCGCCAGATTTCTGCGCAATTGAAATCACCCAACTTCTGTTGCGCTGGCAAAAAGTTACAAACTCCAATAGTGAATACATTTCTTATTGATGCCTCTCGAAGAAAAGTGTCAAAGACTTTTTGGACAAATTAATACAAAAATAAAGCTTTGATTTTGTTTTCTATACCCTGAAATTTTCAGATAATTTTAATAATTCTGGATACTTTTTCATAAGGTCAAATTTACTAATCCGTTCTGAAAAAGTCTAAATTTGATATATTCTTGTTGGGTTACTGTATTACTGTTCTTTCATGAGTTGGGAATCATTGTCAATTAAAAAAAAAGATCCCGTAAGCAATGAAATTGGTTACTAACAACTAGCCTCCACCCTTTCTATTCATTTTGCAATTTTTGGGCGAAAAATTACAAGAGGCTAGATTCATTCTACCGTATACCAATTTGTTGTTTACGATTTGATCCGCGCAATTTGTTTTGAATTGACAATATCACATTTTTTAATTCTCAAGTTTTGAGTAATTAAATTCTGATCCAAAAAGTTCTAAGTTATCGATAAGCTCCGATTACTCCAACTCAGGTTATCAGATAAATGAATATTTTATTTTTCAGATCATTCCATGATCAATTCCATATTCCAGTAACTATTTCAGTTACTGCTGAGCTGGAAGTTCTTATCTTTAGTTCCCGTGGAAAAGAGACAGAATGATTACATTCAAATTTCGAAAGAACGCCAAGACTAGATGGTTACTGTAAAATACTTGAATTTTCGAAGGTCAAAAATCTTACCGTATCACTCAAACCTGTTAGAAAACTCCCCCGATAGAAGATAAAAACGCAATTTTCAAAATGTCATCCTCTCGAGAAGAAGTTATCACTGAACCTGATCATTCTCTATCAATCAGAACATTCATTAAGTATCAAATCCGCAATTCTGATCTCTCAAAAGTTCAATTCGAAAAATAAAAAAGTAAAAAGCGATAAAAACTAGATAAAAATGCCCAGAGGCTGTGTCTCTGTTTGATCATGATGACAATAAGAGGAGAAAGTTTCATTGACTGATAACACAAAATGTTAACTATATGCTCCAGAAAATGCACGAAAATTTGTGTATTGTCTTTTGATAGGGAGGAGGGAAAGGAAAATGGGCAGCTGAATTTCAGATTCTCAAAATTCAGATTTATCAATGATATCATCTCAATCGGTGCAGATCAATTATCAATTACACCGTCTATCGTCATTGATCAGGAATTCCGAATTACGACAAACGAATTAAAATGATCGTTTTGTATTCAGAAAATCGTAGTTATGATGTTTGAAGCCTACGTGATTTTTGAAGTAACCCCGGCCTATTCAAAAAGACAAACCTCCGGGTAGACACAAACTGATAAGCAACTTTTGAAGGGTGTGAAAAATTGGGAAAATCCGAGAAGAGATATTTTTAAGAAAATTGGTATTCTGGAAAGATTTCACAATTTTCACTTTAAGAAAGATCTGTGACGGATAATTTTCTTGTCAAATCAATGTGCAGTGTTGAAGCTCTAATTTGATTATAATCGGAAGCTTGGAGACCAATAAGAATATTCTGGACTGTTTTTCAGGACTTCAAAATCGGCTATTTCCCATTGATTCAGTAAAAAAGATATATTTTTTCTCCCAGTGCTGAATGCTCCAAAAAAAATCAGCAAGTACAAAGTATTAGGTTGGAAAGAAAGTTTCTTTCTTTTTGGCAGAGTTTTTTTTTGAGGATCGATATCTGGCCCTCCAAGTTGTTTAGCGGGCCAAATTTTTTGTCAGAGAGCTGTGTTCAGTGCCTATTAGATCCTAGATTTTCAAATTTTCATCTCTCTTCGTGTTGAAGAAATGGCGATTCTTTTAGTCCTTATCCGACTGCCCATTGGCAACTTGATTATATTTTTATTTTTATTCGGTCTTCAAACAGCTGGTATTTGGAAAAAAAATTGTGGCTGTATATAAGGGACATGTTCCGTCATCGCCTACAATTTGGCTTTTATTCGAAGAATTCCAAACAAGAGAGTTCAGTTTGAAAGATGCCAACGGCCTAGTGAGTCGGATCTTCATCAATTGCTAAAAACCGGGGAGGTACATCCATTTCAAACATTTGTAAAATGTCACAGGTATTGCCCTCTAGTCAACCAAGTTTTGTAAACAGATCGAAGTCTCTTGGCAAAGTCAAAATCTGGGTTGATTCGTACCCGGTGTTTTTCCGGGCTACAATATCTTTCGCCATGTAGACATGGGTATGTTTCACCTATCATTTCTTCGCACGTTCAAATGGCTGGATGATGTCATTACAGTAGATGATAAGTGGGTAAGTTACTCTGTCAATGTGCGGAAGGGTCAGTTGATTGCCAAGAAATAGCTAGCTCTGGACGTCCAAGAACCTAAATTTTCCATAAAAATAGGTATGCTATGAGTTTGATGGTCGGTCAAAGTAATGGAAACCGGGAACTTTTAGTTGAAGGTACCACTATAACTGCCACCTTGTGTAGTTCATAATTAGAAAATATGAACTATGGCACAAAAAAGGAGTAGGCCCACTATTTCAATCGCAGCCCTCCTCGTTCTGGGCCGATGGAATCAAGAAATTACCGGAGCTTTGCCAGACAACTATTGATGCTAATGAACGCCACTTTCATTGATCTAGCTCCCTCCGCATTGAGAAAAATTTGATCGAAAGCTTTGCCAAAAAAGAAAGAAACTTTCTTTCCAACCTAATATGAAAAATTTGGAACAGCCGGATTCATAGTTGATGATTTGTTCACGATCCCAAGAAGCTTCAATATCTCTACATGTCCCTTTCAATACGTATTGGTTTTAATCGTTTAATTGTTTTACAATAGACTTTTTGAGATGTTCCCCAACTTTTCAGGAACTGTCTTGAAACTTAAACTTTGTTTCCATATTCTCAAATTATCGGATCACTTGAAAATATTCTAAACTTTCTTTTTCAGATTGCTTAGCTTTCCGAAAGACATTATTATTACGGTAGACTCTGGTTGGAAAACTGAACTGAGTCTTCTAGTACCGTACTCCCATCAGTTTCTCTGTTCCCAAATGGGCAGGTTACATCATATAATGCCCAACCCAAAATTACGGTTGTTTTAATGCCAAACCCTTTTTCTTTATCTAGTCATATCACGCCACGCTCTCAACCCACTTTATCTTCATGTTTGCTTATCAGTTCTTGTCCTGATTTTGGCATGTTCTGGAACCGAATAGTTAAGCTTCTTGTCAGGGCTTATCCACTTTTTTCTTGGTTGTCGACTTTGACCTGTTCGAAAAATACAAAAAAAGTTCAGGAATTCAAAAAAAAGAGTTCATTTGAAAAAAAGGGACTTGAACGAAAAGAGATCAAATTTGAATTTTGGGGGGAAAGATGAGCAAAAAGTACTATAAGGAAAACGATGAAATGGAGGAACCCGAATAGAGAGAAAGATGGCTAAAACTAGAAAAATTGACTAATTGAAATACCTAGACGGCTTTGTATGAAATTAAGAAACAAAAATAATGGATTTATGAAGACGTTTCTTTTCCTGTTCCCTTTGATGCTGGATGAGTTCATGAAAGTCATGGAGCATTGCTGGTTTAAATTCAGGAATATCGATGAAATCCATACAGCACATGGTCTCCTCTCGTTCACAGGATAACACCATTTGCATTTCTCTGAAAGATTGATAATTGGGAAATTTGTTTTGTTAAAAGTCATACATTTTTTGTCTGACTGATTTGGGAGAAAATAAATTGACATACAAGTATGCACAGAATGATGTCAAGAACTCTGATGTAAAATATAATTGGAAAGATCTAAATGTCAGGGTTTTGCAGAAAAAAGAAGCTGTCATAGTTCTTTAAACTCCTTTGAACATTTGTCATCTTGAAAGAAACTGAGCTCAGAAGATTCCAGGAAATGAGAAAATCAAAATCAGAATTTCAAATTTAAAGGACATAATTTAACAAGAAAGACATTCGAAATCTTATTAATAAGTTGTTGTCTATGATGTACATCTTGCTCTAATTATTCAGAAAATCTTCTACTAAAATTTCAAGTTTTGAATTTCTGATAATCATTTTAATTGGCTCAAAGTTGACGGGGAGACTGAAAAAAGTCACAACTCTATTAGAGATTTCACTGTATTTTGCAAAGTCATATTTTCTAAAAAAGTAAAAATTTTTTCAAACTAATTGATTATTGTATGCAGGCATCCAAAAAGGCTTTAAATATATATATATCCCCTTTAAAAGGATGTCTCCTAAACCCCTGAACTTTGAACCTATTTATCTCGCTTCCTGTAAAAGTTATCAAAAAGTGACCAACTGACAGAATGTTCATCATCATATCAAAAACATTTTATCAGTTGATCATTTCTTCATATCTTTCACAGGAACCACGATAAATTAGGATAAACTTGACAGTGCGGTATTTGCATGGTTTTCGTTTGACTGTTATCTTTAGAAATAGAAAAACCATTTCTTCAAATATTTTATTGAACCTTTTCGAAATTCATTTTCAACCCGTATTCAATCAAAACGTGTGGTCTTTTCTTCTCTTACCCAAAGTCCTCAATCTGTGTCATGTAGAAAACAATGATAGTGACAATGCAAATGTATTCACAAAGTGCCGGTAACAGTTCCGCTGTAAATTTGAACTCATTGATCACATTTCTTCCATTTGGAGAGGAAGAGTAACAAATTGATATACATATCACATGCCAGTTCTTGACCAATTTATCAACTCTAAACGTCACTTTCTACCTCTCCCACTTTCTCCATGCTAAAATTCCAAAGTTCAATAATGATAAGTTGAATTATACGGAGAGTTAGATAGGTGAAGAGGCGCGTGGTCAGTTTTATGCAGATAGTAAAACACTTACCGTGATACAAGCACGGTTTGGAGAAGAGGAATGAGATGTAGTCTTTGCACACGATCGGCAGGCAGAGGGCGAAAAGAGCAATACAAAATGCACGTTCCAACACGCGACTGCTCTGAAAATAGATTATGGTTTTTGGTCGGAATCAGTCCGTCCAAAGATACTGGAAGGGATTTTTGGGGTTGAGAGGGAAACTGTAAAACCGAAAAAGCTAGAAACGCTGTTTTCGATCAATTGTATGGGAAATATCGTGAAACCTGCAATAGAAGAGCCCCTGAATTTTGAGCCAATTTTTCTGAATTCCTGTAGAATAATTTCAAAAAGTAACTGATAAATTGTTAATCATAATAACACAAACAGTTTATCAGTTGTCTTGCATAGGACCCAAGAAAAATTAGCTTGAAATTGACAATGTGCTTCTGTTACAGGTCTTACGGTACTGTACTGAACATCATATTTTGACTTTTTCATTGAAACTTTGTAAATTTTGGAGTACAAAAAATAACATTCCCATTGCTTCGAAAATTCTAGATCATACTAAAATTTAAAAAATACATACAAAAAATATAAGCCAAAATGCCCAATTATGCCTAAAATGATAATTGTATATTTTTGAAACAAATTATCTTATAAAACGGATTCTCTAATTTTGTTTAGTGTACTCTGAAATTTCAGACCGCTGGGAAAGGTCACAACTACTTTTTCAGGACTTTCAAGTTGACTTTCACTGAAAAAGTCAAAACATGATACGTTTTGACAGATGCCGTAAGTTCTGAAGATCGGACAAGCTCAACGTAGCTTTTTGCGTTTCTCGTTGAAGGTGTATTGAATTAGACAAAGTTCCAGACTCCAAAATTGTACTTTCAGTTATTTCACATGCAACTTACCTTTCTATGAATATCATAAGATTCCAAATAGGTATACGAAGTGGCACAGATGAAAAACGACGCCCCGAACAGTGGAAGCGAGTAGTACACCAGGAAACTCACTGAAACATCTTAAAATCAAAGTTTGAAAGCAATCTGAATCTCACAATCATTGATATCCACACTAGTATGTAGACAAGTGACGAACATTCCGAACACCGAAACACACAGATCAGTGATGGTACAAACACATCCGATCACTTTGATTTTTATGAATTTTGCAGGATTTTGCAACATTACATCAGATGTGCGAATCAAAACGATGACCATCTGAAATTGTATGCTCTTTGGCCATGAACTTTTTCAATTTTGGTTTCTGATTGGTACGAGTTGGAAATTGTCATTCTCTCCGAAACCCTACTACATACTCACCCTTAACAGAACAGTGATTAAAACGGCGGTTCGCATTGATGCCTGAGCTGGCGCCGAAAATGTCATCCTTCGAAGAATCGACGGAAGATTCGTACCGTTTGGATGGGGGAATACGTAGCAATGATTGTTAAAAACTGTGCCGAATGAGTGGCGGATATGGTTTCGGGCAAGGAATTTGTGGAAGGGGTGGAATGGATTCATGGCAGCGATCACCTGGGAGTTTAGAAATTCTTAAATATTATAATACATTTTTAGTAGTCAATTTGGAAGAATGAATTCATTGTTCGGCTTTTTCCCTATAATTAATTCAGAGAACTGTCATATATTTATAAATTGTAGCCATTTTTGTTGAAAATAGACAAATTTAGATGCCTAATAATGATAATACCCTTTACTGGATACGAAAATTTTCAGGTTTCTTTAACAAAAAATGTCTAATTTTGTAAACGAAAGTTGTTTCTATAAATTGATTTGAATGAGATAAACAGCTTAAAACCAGCCAAGTACCATAATTTTACGAAATAACACTGATTTCATAGTCGAGACATTTTTAACGGTTTATCTCATTCGAATGAGTTTGTACAAAAAAGTGGTAAACTACAAAATTGAATCTCTATTTTTGGTTAGTACACTTGAAAATTTTCGGTACGATCCAATAAAAACTACTACATCTTTAAGGCATCCAATATCGGTTATTTTTCATTTTTTATAATGACTTCCTGACATTAAACTTTAAGCTCATATATCTAATTTCCTGTAAAAGATATCTAGAGATAGTCAACTGACAAAATATTGGTGATCTTATGATAAACAATATTTCAGTAAATAATCTTTTGTTATCTTTCACAGGAAACGAGATAAATTGGCACAAAGTTGAAAGTTAAATGGTCCTTTTATAAGTGTGTTTACGGTATGTGTTTAGTTCTGTAATGGGGTTATTCATGTAGCGAAAATATGTATTGAAATGCATTTCCGCGCCCTCGAAATTCAATGCATGAGCGTCGCGAAATGTATTTCAAAGCATTTCGCGACATAACTGTAAATGCATTTCAATACATATTTTCGCTACATGAATAACCCCATAAGTATTATACAATTTAACCATCTAAAAAAAAACAAAATGCTATTTTTTAACTCCCACATTTTCAACTGATACCTAATAAATCGTAGAAGCCTCACCTCATCATATCCGACGACGGTTTTGTTTGTATAATCTGACCGATAACTGTGAACCAATTCGCTGAAATTGTCAGGCGACACCACGAACTCCTTGGAGAAAAAATAAAGGCTGACAGCCACAAAAATCATAGAGCTAATGAAAAAATAAACATAGATTGTGGAGATTCGATGTGTCGCGTGCGCCCACTCCCAAGAATCCTGCGGATCCATTTTTCCACACCGTCGTGTCATGATTACTCTGGAATTAGAAAGTTTGACAGAGTTTTTAGAAGATAAAAGTGTAAATGTGTAGAGCAATTAAAACTGCAAGATGGAACTATACAGGAAAATTTGACTTTTTAGGAGCATAACATCAACTTTGAAGTCTTGAAAAAGTAGTCCAGAATTTGACAATTTTTTTGTTCAAATCCAATTAAATGAAATAGGCGGTTTCAAAGGAACACAAGTAATATTGTCACTTTTTTATTCAATTGAATGAAATTTGGCGGAAAAATTGTTAATTACAAAATTGAAGCTCGATTTTTGTTCAGTATACATAATCTGAAATTTTCAGAGCAGTGAAAAAATGACTTCTTTTCCAGGACCTCAGAGTTGACTATTCTCCACTCAAAAAGTTTAAATAGTGGATTGTTTTGTTTGGTACTGTACATTTAAACAGAAAAATATTGCGAATATAACTGTGCGGATACGGTATCTCATGGAAAAACACTAAAATACTTTTAGAAATCCTGGTTATAAATAGGGAAAAATCTGCCACAGAAAAGATGTTTGGTGTCCTTGAAAAGTCAAAATGATTAATGATAAAGCGGTAAAGATCTATGAAAATAAAAACTGGATGGCAACAAACGATGTTAATTAGAAACCAGAATAATGAAAGTAACAAAAACAAAAGATCAAAACGATCAAAAGTTTTTCCCTAGTGACAATGCGCTAATTAATGAAAGAAACATAAATAAACTTGTATAAAAAGATTTGTTTAACATCTCAATGGTTTTTTTGTAGTATGATCTTAAGAAATCTTATGAAAGTGTTTCTTTCTCGCAGTGTTCCTCTGTCAAGTGGACGGATCCTGGAATACTTGGAATCGAGACTATACTCTTTTTTGTGCGATTTTTGAAGAATTGAATGAGAGAGAAGGAGGAAAAAAGAGAGGAAGAAGACACAAGAAGTTTAGAAAATCAGGGACAGATTTTTGAAAAGCTCTGAAATTTAAAGAAAAATACTGGTGGAGAATGTGGAAATCCAGAAAGATTTTAAAAATATCTAGAAGGGTTTTTTTGGAAACTTCGAGAAAAATAAATTCAACAAAAAACTTTTTTAACACATGCCGTTATATGATTCTTTAAAAGTTCCGAAAATATTAATCGGTTCTTTTAGGTTTCAAATTTTTCGAAAATAATCAATTTATATTTCAAACATTCAAAGAATTTCAAACATGAACCGAAAAGTAATTCAGATCAAAAAGTGTATTGCATGATCCCAAATAATCAATTCTGACCAGTTTTTTTTCGTTTTTGGAAAATCCCAAAAGGTTCTTAAATTTTTTCGAGAAGGTTATTTCCACAAAAGAATGTGGGACACCACTTCAAAATCCAAAAGCAGAATTCTGGACTATTTGTATTAGGAAAAAATTGGGCATTGATATTAGAAAAAATCGAAAGTTTGAAAATCCTTTTTTAAAGAAATATGATCACTTCCAAGATTTATTCGTCATAAATTTGCATATATTATGAAAATCTGAGATTGCCATCTTGAAACACCAAAAAACAAAAAATCTTCTCGGAAATCTGTTATGAAACAAATAAAAAAATCATTTTAAAACATAAACGAATGCTAATTCCATTTTTCTTATTCTCCTCATTTTCTCAAGTGATTTGATCTTTTCCTTTTTCTCTCGGACACTAACCGGGACAAAAAAGGGAAACCCGCAAGATAAAACTTTTGGGGAGTACAGTACACTAGCCAAGAAGAAAAATTATGGAAGACCTTTTCAGTTGGAAATTGTCATTTTTTAAATTTTGAAAATGAGAGCCCTAGTACTTGTTTGTTTGATCTGAAAGTTCCAGAGAGCTATGCTAGAATTACAATATCTGAAATTTTTAGATCAAATGGACAAATTTACAGCAAAAATGATACAAAAACATGAAAAAAAATCGACAATCTTTTCTAAACAAAAGAGACAAGCTTATCATATAAAAAAAGAAGTGAGTTTTATTTTGTTTCATGGAGGTACTTGGTGAGGAGAAGGACAAAAAACCGGCTTAATTTAAAAAGAATGGAATGAGGGAAGAGTGAGGGCGAGGTGAAGAGAGGAAACAAAGACTTGCACTTTTTTGAGAAGATAAATGTACTCAGAATAGGTGCAGAAGCTAGGAAAAATGAGAAGAAAGAAACTTGCACTTTAAGCTCAGTTATCTCGATTTCTATAAGAGACATTGCAAATCTGTAAACTGAAAAAATGCTCGTGATTTTATAACAAACATTTTATCAGTTAACCACTTTTTGATATATTTTACTGGAGCCGAGATATATTAGCTCAAAGTTGACTTCATCAGAGGATTTAAAAGTCCTGAATTTCCTACCAGAGCTTATAACTTATTCAATAGAAAAATAGTGTAATCAGCCTATTAGTGACCGTAGTAAGCAAAAAAGTTGAAAATCGATGGCAAAATGCAAGCTACTCAATTGGCAGTTGGTTTTCCATCCGACGAGGCAAACAACATTTGCCTAGGCGCAGATTGTATATAAAGATATGGATGAGGGGATGTGTGAATAGAAAAAGTTGTTACAACAAAAACAATTAGTGAGGATACTAGAGAGACTAGATGATAATGCAAATGGGTATGATAAAAACTATAATCATTGGACGTCATTAACGAAACGTACAGAAAAAATCATATCTTTCAAAAAAGAAAATTGCTTCACTTTCAAAAGTTAGGGATTACAAAATCAGAACCCAATAAAATAAAAGAAGAACATCAGTAGACTAACAAGATTAATAATAAAAATATTTAGAGTCAAAAGCGACTGGATTAGTAAGGAATGTCAAAGAAGAGGAAGAAGAAAATACAAATAATGTTTGCCAGATGATAAATGCTATCTTAGACGATGAACCAGTTCACCAGATTCTCCAATGGCTCTAGATCCAGACAAATAAACATTTTCCAAGGGAAAAAAGACAGCTTCCTGGAGATATATCTAGACGACCTTGAAGCCTGGGGAAGGAGAAATAAGAAAAGGTACGAAAATTTCATTGCGCAATACGTGCTGATGATCCAACCCTTTTGAACAGGTTGGCAAGATGGAAAGATACATCAAAACACACTGAGAAATGAGGTGATAAACCTTGATAGATCTAGTTTGATTTTTTAGAGTCATATGATAGGTGCTAGGAGGTTGTTCTGGGTTTCATTTCTGAAAGTTTGCAGCTTGTCAAAAGGGTCTACCTAGGCTAACTTAGAGCTCAACCATAGCTAACGTTTGAGCTAATTCTTCTCGGCTCCTTTGCAAGATATCAAAAATGTGCCAACTGATAAAATGTTCCTGATATAATGATAAACAACTTATAAGTTGAAAACTACCTTTTCCCTTCAACAGGAACCGAGGTAAATTGGATCAATGTAAAAGATTAAGGGGGGGGGGTCGTTCTGTTACAGTTTTTACGGTATATATTTTTGAAAGAAGTGTGAAACAGGTCGAAATATTCTAATAGAGCAATTTTTTATCTTAAAAAAATTTATTTTAGTGAATTTCTCTTTTCAGCCAAGTTTCATAAAAGAATTCCAGAAAGAAAAATTTTCGGATTTTCAAAAATTCATAGATGGTTTTCTTAATACCATAACTCTTCTAGCTTAATTATCTCAATTTTTATAAAAGTTACAAAAATCCATCAATTGATACCTCTCACATAGAATGAGATATTGTTAAACCTGTATTAGAAGGGCCTCCCGCTCATTGTTGAGTTTAAGCTCGGTTATCTCGGTTCCTGTGAAAGATATACAAATTGGCAAACTGATAAAATGCTTGAGAAATTATGATAAACATTTTATTAGTTGACACATTTTTTATCTTTCACAGGAACCAATATAAATTGGCTCAAAGTTAAGAGCTCTTCTATTACAGGGTCTTCTATTACATTACGGTTTTTGAGCTCAAAAGGTACGTATATGGCTTTTAAGGTATTGCGTAAAACTGAAAAGCTGATTGTGAGCCTAATCAGAATAGTCTTCGGGCTGTCTAGATTCAATGTATGACTAAATACAGTAATAAGTTTCAGAAATGAAAACCTTATAAACTGACAAAAAGGGGCTAAAAATCGAATCGAAATCGTCAAATTGACCAGGCCCACTAAATTAGTCCTTCTTTGTGTTTTTTGTAGCATGTAACACCCACCCTTCTAATTCTTCCTCTCTCTCTCTCCCTTAATTTTCTCGTTGCTTATCCTTTCCATCATCAATGGCATCTCTCCGACTTGGTATTCAATCTAGGAACACACTGTTTCTTTTCGCTCTTCAAATAGACATCATCATGACGTTTTTCGGCCCTCCCCGTCTATGGTTGTTTGGGAGGATGTTAGAATGTTACGATGGTTGGGAAAAATGAAGAAGCCAGTCTCCGAAAAAAAAAAGAGTCTACACTGATTGTAGGTCGGTTCGGGATGCGCATCTGAATGGCAAAATGGTTCGTTTTGGAGAGGGAGGGGGGAGAGAGGAAGATCACAAATGGGATTACGTAATCCAAGTGTTTTTCAGTTTTGGTGGGGTGGAAGTGATCATTGGTGAAGGTTTCAAAGATGAGGAGGTACAAAATGTACAGTATGCCAGATAATGATGTACAGACAAATCTGAACCCTTTTTATCTGAACCCTTTTTCAACATAGCCAAAGTATCTGATATGATGATTGGATTTTTAAAAGTTTCGGTTCTCTGAAAAACATTTCCGGGGTCATGTTGTCCTAATTTTCAAAAAAAAGTTACCTTGCCAAAACCTGTATTACAAGGGGTGGCACTTTAATTGTTCCAAGGTACCTCTGGAGGACTCCTCTATTAGAGGGGCCCTTCTAATAAGGAGACCCTTCTAATACGGGATTTAATTTTTGAAAATGGATATCAGGGAACAAAATAGTTTATCAGAGTTTTGAAGTTTTTTCTGGAATTTTTCTAGAGACAGTTGTCTACACAAAGCTATTGAAACTTTTCGAAATCTCGCCAAAATATTTGGTTTCTCGATTTTGAAGGTTTAAATTTCAGTTATAGCTAAAACCAAAAAGAATCTTAACTTCGAAGTTAGACCTCTTTGTCGGACATTTTTGGATTTAGCACTGTGTACCTGAATTTAGCCATAATACAAATCATAAGCCATAAACAAATCAAATAATCAGTGAATCATGGAAACATCACCTAACCGGCCTTTCTTCCACAAAGTCTTGAATCCATATCAATATCAAAAGTCCTGTCCCTATCAGCAAAACGGCCAAAAAATGGACAATCTCACAAAGGCAACAAATAAATATGGCAAACAGTGTGTTACGCAAGTGACGACGACGACTACGCAACAGAAGAAACCAGTCTTCCGGGGATCTATGATAAAGTCAAAATACATATGAAGACGGGGACAAGATAAAGACATATTGATTTTCAGAATCTTAATTTGTGGACTAGAATTTTATGCGCCCTTCGGGGATTTGAACATAAAACAAAACGTAACAAAAAGGTCAAATCGCGCCAAAGGCGCACCAGCCAACTGTTGGCTGCGCGGCAAACCGCCTGTTTACTAAAAAAAGATCCAAACATGACACAGAAAAATATCACAGTTTATTTTTGGCATCCGAGTTCTAATCAATTCTAATCTTTTTTAAAAAATTTTGACTCAAGATAAATATCACATATATCAGTTTATCATTAAACTTCCTCTTGCAACAGAAGACCTTCTCCAGACTTTGACTGAGATTTCAATCGATAGTACCGATCAGTATTTGGATTATAATAACAGTCGAACTCCTTATCATACACCAGACCACTGATTTGATCGTCTCCCATATCACCGGATTTCGTTGAGGAGCGCATTTTTTCGTGACGCATTCCGGTTAGACGGTCCTCTCTGGAAATTGGAAGTTTTGGTTAGTTTGTGAACTATGAAGCTTACTGATTCCGAATTCCGGATTCTCGCCGACTGCCAATGCTCATCGCATCTATGGAGCCGTTGAGTTCTTCCTGAAAGCGGAAATTTGTAATTTCGAAACATGGTGACCTAAAAATTCAAGAGAAGATGATTTTTCTAAGGTTCAGAAGACATTCAAAGCCTCTGAAATTTGGAGACATTTTAGAATTGTATATTTTCAGAATCTTCAAATGTTTTTGCCATTTTTCTTTGTTTCTCCTAGCTTTCAAGTGTAATTTGATATTCAAAATAGTTGGGGGAAAATTTTTCCACTAAAGATCACCATGGCTTCGGGCGGTTGCCAGTCAACCCGATAGAGAAAGATGGAAAAACATGGGAAAAACTGAGGAAATCCGTTTTTATTGCACATGAACATGTTTTAGTCCTATCTAAATTTCATAATATTTCCGGTTAAACCAAATTTTGTTTAAATTCACTCCGAAACTTTTCCAATTTTCGGAAGTTTTGCAGTTTTCGAAAATACAAAATTTTTCGAGCACATCCTTGTACTTTGGTCAAATTTAGCTTTGTTCTTATAAGAGATGTAGAAAAACCATAATTCTTAAAAATACCTATGGAATTGGTTTTTTAAAGTTGATATTTACCATAAGCAATCCTATAGAATGTCCCCCAAATCATTAACATATCTCATTTTCTGTGTAAGATATCAGAGAGTTAACAACTGACAAAATGTTTATCATAACATCAAAAATATTTTATCAGTGGATCACTTTTTGCTATTGTTCATAAAAACCGAGATAAAATGGCTCCAAGTGGAAAGTTAGGGGGATCATTCTAGTAGAGTGCTTACGGTAGATACAAGTAGAATAAGAGATTAGTTCAAAACATAAGATTCGAGAAGGTTGAAGTATTGATTTTGTTTTTTAAAGACTCAAATTTTCCAAACGTAATAGTACTTGGACCAAATTCCTACCTGCTCCTCCTGTCGAATCATGCTCAACTTCCTCCTAGACCTCAACTGCTCTCCCACTGTCAAATCAATCTCCTCGTCCGATGATTTATCCTCATATTCATGTTTATACAACGCATCCGAAGTAAATGAACTCTCCATTCTAGAACAACCTCCTTCCCGACTTCCCGATTTCGAGTAATTCGATCGATTTATACTTCGTAGCATTGCCAATTCCTCATCGTCAATCGGTACCAGATGCATTTCTTCCGAGCCGATAGCAGCGGATCGTATCACTGTAAAAAACGAAAATAAATTGAAAAAAGTATACAAGATGACACATACATATCTACGCCCTTTTCCTTTTCTTTTCTTTTTCCCTGTTCCCCCCTTCCCCCAAATTGAAACATTCACTTTCTATACATTCGTATTGTGGTGAGCCCCCCTCTCTTCTTTTCTCTTCTTTTTTCAATTGCTCTTTTGAAGGTTCGATGATTCATCCCCAAAAGTATAAATATATAAAACCTGACCGTATTCTGACGACTATATTTTCTTTTTTATTCTAAAAAAATCAAAAAACAGTACCCCGGTGCCCGCTTTTTCAGTAGTTTGAAACCAGAGATGATAGTTGGTTACAAAGTATTTGAAAAGGCGTGCACTGGGTAAATTTTGAATAGACTGGTAAGATTTTATTTTTCTGAAATTCTGAATTTTCAGAAGAGCAGGTGAAAAAAACATACATGATCTCTTTCTCCCGGCAAAAGACGTCGTAGGCTTCTCATCACTGCTCATTTGCTGTTTCAGTTGGGATGATGGTCCGGATAGAGCCTGAGCAATCCGTTGTTCCAGAACTCGCCGGACTTGATCCGCTGAAATTTTGGGATGTTAGACCGAAAAAACTAGGGTCGTAAATTCTAAAAATCTCAGTTACCGTAAACATTCTATTGGAATGCCAACAAGCCGTCAACTTTGAGTATCTCCTTTTATGTTAAAGATATCAAAAGGCTGCCAACTGATAAAATTTTCATCATAATTTCAAAAAAAAAATTATCAGTTGATCACTTTTTGATATCTTTTACAGGAACCGAGATAAATTGGCTCACCGTTGACGGTCAGGGTGTTTTAGAGATTCTCGAACACTCTACAACATCTCAATTACCGTAATGCAACAGACCGTCATCAACTTTGAACCCATATATCTCATTTGCTGTTACAAATGTCAAAAAACCGTCAAAAATGTTTATCATAGTCTCAAAAACATTTTGTTAGTTAACTACTTTTTGATATATTCCACATTAACCGAGAATTGAAGTTGAAAACTGAGAGGGGGGGGGGGGTCATTTCATTTGAGATGGTATGTACATATCGTGGAGTGACGGTATCTTAAAGAAGAATTTTTAGGAGACATTTTTAACTGGTACAAAAAATTGGTACATTTTCAAACCGTTCATTATTTCAGATGATTTAGTACATAATTGAGACATTTTGGTATTATTACTAATCAAATAAACTCACGATCCGGAGTAGATGGCTTATCCATGTATAAATTCCTCTCCTGACTCCTATTCTTCACAATTGGAGGTAGACGTGAAGGTATTCTGCCTTCAGAAGTCGGCGGAGCACTATGCACCCGATACCTTGAAGACGTTGCTCGTAATGAGGGCGGCGTCTTCGGAAAAGGGGGTTGCCTTTTTGGTGGGGGCAACATGTATGTTTCTAGGGTTGTCAAGGTGAAGTAGCAATGACAAGTTGACCGAAAGGGTGGGCAGTGACAAATTGAATGTAGATGAAGTAAAAAGTATGAAAAAGAAAATGCACGTCTTCGAGTTTTGACAGGTGAAACGAGGCGAAAAGAAGGGGCACCGAAGGGAGAGAGTGTGGAAATTGGAGAGGGTGGAGAGGGAAATGGGGAGCTCGTTCTTTCGCAACATACGAGCAGGAAAAACGTTTCCATGGAAATATTTTGTTGCATTTTTTTGTTGAAAAAAATCCTAGTTTGTTTAAATTATCTCGGAAAAATCTTGAAATTCTTTTCAGGTAGAAGAGCCAAATTCTAGAAATTATGATCCTAAAAACTGAAAAATCAAAAAAATATAAAAAATAACATTTTATGATTTTAGACAAGTATTTATACCTTGGGAAAAAAGGAAAACCGAGAAAACAAAATCCAAACTTGACAACTCGAAAAAAGAAAACCAGAATTTTTTTTCGAAAATCTGAAATTTTGAAAAATTGGAAATGGTCCTGAACAATAAGAAAAAATATACAATTTCAAAAGTTTTATTCAGAATGATTTCCAGGACCTTCAAGTTTTATGCAGGTTCATGCAGGTTCTCTGCTTTGAATGCTGTGAAGACCCAATATCAGAGTTTCAGACCATCATTTCAAATCCTTCCGAGATTTCTGAAGAAAAATTCAGCAGACGTGTAACTCGGAATCTTGGAACTTCGGAGAACTCGGAAAATCTCTGAGAAAATCTCGGAAACACTCGGAAACTGTAATAACTGAAACAACAACGCTGAACGGGAAACCGATGAGAAAAACTGATGAAGCCGAGGTGAAGAAAAGCGCAACAAAAAAGAAAAAAAAACAAAAAATAAAGTTCACGAAGTTCTCAAATCCATCCTTGTATCGTTTGACCTTTGTGATGTCCTTGTAATGTCCCACTGAAAAATTTTCAAAATAATTTTTTATATAGTTTTGAAAATAAATTTTCATAAAATAAAGTTTTTAAAAATTTTAGCAATTTTTAATAGTTTTTGAAAGTCGTTAAAAAACCATCCGGACTTTAGGATTTTCAGAATTTTATCAAGTGTTTTTTAATTTTTTAAAATCCCCCCCCCCCCCCCCCCCCCCCCAAATTTTTTTTGAATTTCCAAAACTGAAAACTAACCTTAACTTCATCCCATTTATAATGAAAACTTTCGAGTATGGGAAGTTGAAGACGTCGTAGACATCGTACTTTGTTGACTTCTGGAACATGAACGAAAAAATTTTGTGTTTTTTTCTTTTAAATTTGATTTTGAAAGTTTTTTGTAAGTTGATTACTTGGGTCTTATGAACGATCCAAAAAATGATTAGAATTTTAATATTGAAAACCTCCAAAATGTTTGCAAAATTCTCGAAAACTGAAAACTTACCTTAATCTCAGCAAATTTTTATATTGAAAACTTTTGAGACCGGGTACTGTGGACATCGTAGACCTCGTAGACCTTGTAGACTTCTGAAACATGAACGTTGAAAACTTGATACTAACTTTTTCTTCTTTTATCGTTTTTTTTCGAGTTTTCAGAAAAAAAAGCAGTGTCCAAAAAATCCACCCTTGATAAATCATGAAACTAACCTCAACTGCAGCCACTTTGTAGATGTTGGGGACTGGAGACTTTGAAGACGTCGTGGACATCGTAGACATCGTATACACCGTAGACATCGCAGACTTCGTAGAGATGGCAGACTTCGTAGACTTCCTGAACTTGAACGTTTCAAATTCAGTACTGATTTTTTCTCGTTCTATTTGAATCGAGAGATTTTCGCCCGTTCTTATTGAGGTTTCCACGGGAAAATATATTTCTTTTTCTACCGATTATTTTTCTTCTGATACTGTAGCTACTGTACTACGTCGTACTACGTAGTGGAAGTCGCATGCTTTGATTTCAAGAATTCAGAAGTGCCTGAAGCTTCACAAACTTGTAGATATCAATATTTTGAAGAAAAAACAAAGTTACTAATTGCAATTTTTATTATCATACCCATACCGAAATATACCAATGAATGTCCGATTAATGAACATAAAAAGTACCTAAATTCATTAAAAAAAGGAACCAATTATCATACAAACTCGGGCGGTGGAAAAATGCCTCTCTCGGCTAATAACTTCCGTTCTCGATGCCAATAATAATGCCAAAGAACAAATGTGAACAACCAATTCATCGCAAATCCCATGGAGTAGACAGAAAATATTAGGGCTAGTTCGAAATCGATTACTCCTCCGAGAGCTTCTAGAATTTTCGGAGCAGTTGCCATTGTTAGAACAGAAAGACCCAGTGTGTAGGAGGATTGCATTAATAGACCTGGAAAATTTGAAAAATGAAGGGTTGGTAATGCGCTTTGTTGGACAATTTATGTTTGTAAAACGATATTCTTCTTCAGACATACCGTAAGCACTTTAAGCTCAATTGTCTCAATCCTTGCGAAAGATATCAAAAAGTTGACAACTGATAAAATTTTTATCATAATATCGCCAATATTTTATCAGTTGATCACTCTTTGATATCTCATACAGGAACCGAGAAAATTTTCTTGAATGTTGAAATTCAGGGTGGCGTCCTATTAGAATGTTTACGGTACTTTTCAGAAAAAATCACATTTTTTCTTGAGACTTACCCGGCCAATACAACCATAATGGTTTTTTGAAGAACATTAGAGCAACAAGAGAAATAAAAAGAGCAGTGGACTGCTCGATGGTCCATGCAAATCGCATATATCCTCCGTCCAAGTAGTTGGCCACACACTCATTAGTACCAAGTACTCGATGCATTAGGCCAAAGTCGAAAATTATTATGTCGTGCGCCAAGAAATGGGTCTGTAAATGAAAGAACTTCAAAATCGGAACCTCGTTGTCAGATATTCGGAGTTGCAGAGTTTCAGATTCCAATTTCCAAAAATATAAATTTTCAGAATTATGTAAAACCTGTATCAGAAGGGACGGCTCTTCTATTTTTCCAAGGGACCTTCGAAGGGCCCTTCTATTAAAGGGGCCCTTCTAATACAGGGTTTACGGTAATACTAAAAAGAAGTGTAAATTTTAAGATATCGAGTTTTCAGAGTTTCAAAACATTTGAGTCACAATATTTGCTATTTCCGAAGGTTTCTGATATTTCGAACCAGAAAAAAAATCTCACCTCCAAGCTCGAATTGTTGGGTATATCCGAATGACATTCAAATATTTTCTTGTGCTTGTAAAATGAGTAGACGTGCTGAAAACTTTTATGAAAATATTTTTCAAAAATATTTCTTTAAAACCTGTAAAAAAGAAGCAACTGAAATTGAAAGCTGCAAAAGAGCCAGAATGATTGCGAGTGGTTTATTATGAATCGGTAATCCACAAATTCGAGTTTCCCTTTCTTCGATCCGAATAAAAGCCAAAACGCGCATCTGGAAAATTCGAGAAAATTCTGGAGTTCGAAAAAGAGACTTCTAAGAAAAAACGTACCATATTTATGAGAAAAACGAATTCGTAATAAAAATCTTTAGCTTGGGAATTTAGGAGGATGAAAATAGAAAAAAAAAAGAAAATTGCTCAAACGACTAGTTTGAGGAGGCTCACCTATATTTATGTTTATTATCAAAAAGCAGGTTTCGAATCTTCGAAAAACTTTGCTTTCGTCATAGAAAAATTTCCAGATCTTAGGAATTAGTTGGTTTTTTTTCGTTGGAAGTTTGGTTTCACAGGTAAAATGCGAACGGACCCGTTACGGACGCTGTCCGTTCGCGAACTCCGTATCCGATCCGATTGCGAATGACTAACAAACGAATACGTTCGCGAATCAGTCAAAATGTTAAGTTCGCCAACGGATCTGTTTGTTCATCATTCGCAATCGGATCGGATACGGAGTTCGCAAACGAACAGAATACGGAGCAATACGGAAAAATGCATTGTGGTTTTCTGAAAACGGGTCGCGTGCGGTCCGTATGCGGTTCCTATTTCAACCGCGCGCGAACGCTAAGCGTCCGAGACGGATTGTTCGCGAATCACCTGTGTTATTTCTTCAAAATCCCAGAAGTACTGATTCTGAGAACTTCCCAAACTCCAGAACTTCAGAATACGAAATATTCAAATTTTCGAAAGTCCAGAAATACCAGATTTCAAAAGCTTAATAGTTCAAGAAGTTCAAAAATCTTAATCTAAGAATTTAATCATAATTGAAATTCTATAATTTAGGAATTTTCAGAATTTTGAATTAAAAAAAATTTTTGAGCTTGAATCCAAAACTCAGAATCTCAGAATCTCAAAATCCTATTCAAAAAACACCCACCCAAATTGAAATTCTCAGAAACATCTTGAGAATTTCTAATGACTTTTTTTCAGGAAAAAGGTTCCGTGAATGAATAACGTAATTTTTTAGCAGGTGAATTAGAAAAAAAACGCCAAGTCAAAAAACATGGTACATACGTACGGATTTGCGTCATTTCGTTCCAGACAACCTGCTAGGAATTTTTGCATATTTTTTATTGTCTGGACCAAATTTTTTTTAAAATATTGAATTTTAAAGAAAACATAAACCTATAAATTCAGCTTGGACTAGATCGGAAACAGAAATATCAAAATTTGATCTTAACCAGAACCAGAACTCTTCGGTAGTTTTCCTCAATTTTTTTGTTGTTAAAACTATTAAAAATAGAGTACAAAAATACAATTTAAAAAATTTGTATTTTTAGAAAATGTTTCATTTTCTCTTCTTTTCAAAGTTTTTATTACATTCAAAAATTACACCTGCTTGACTCTTTTCAGGATTTCAAACCCACATTTTTTTCACCTAATTTACTCTTTTTTCACATCATTTTTTGATATTTATGTTTTGAACAACACTTTGCGTGGGTTGCGAAAAGTTTTCGGATAAAATTTGAGATTCTAATTGTAAGATTCTGAGATTCTAAGATTCTAGGATTCTGAGATTCTGAGATTCGGAGATTCTGGATTTTCGAGATTCTGATATTCGGAGATTCTGAATGTGAGATTCTTGATACTCCGAGATTCTGAGATTCTGTGATTCCAAAATTCCAAGATTCTGAGAGGATTCTGGGGTTCTGGGGCTCTGAGATTCTGAGATTCTGAGATTCTGCGATTCTGCGATTCTGAGATCTTCAATCTATGAGATTCTGATATTTTGAGATTTTGAGGTTCTGAGATTCTGAGATTCTGAAATTCTGAGATTATGAGATTCTGGGATTCTGAGGTTAATGAGACCCTGAAATCCTGCAATCCTAAAATCACAGGTAAAATGCGAACGGACCCGTTCCGTATGCGGTTCCTATTTCAATCGTGCGCCAACGCTGAGCGTCCGAAACGGATGGTTCGCGAATCATCTGTGATTATTGAATTACTAACATCAGGAATTACCAAAATCTATTTTTTTTTTGGAAATCTCATACTTTTCAAATTTCTTACTTTGAAAAAAAATTAATTCACTTAAAAAAAATTTTAAGTATAAAAAAGAGAAAAATTATGGGTTTTAGATTAACTTTTAATAAAGTAATTCGGCTGTTTTTGAAGTTTGTTTCTTGGAAATTCCATGAATTGAAAACTAACAAACGATGATTCCTACAATTCTTCAGAAATTCAGAATCAGAAGAAAAAATAAAAAAAGAGGATGAAGAGGAAGACGTAATCTGACAAAAAGAAAAGACCAAGAAGAGAAAAGAGCACACATTTCTTGTCTAATTAAGAAAAGGTTGTCAGCAGTGATTAGGGAAGAAAAAGAAGCAAAAAAGGAAAGAAAGAATGTGTTGCTCTCTGCTACAAAATAGTGTTTCAGCGAAAAAAAAGAAAGTCAGAAGTATACGATTTTGGTCTGAAAATCAAAAACCAAGGTGTTCAAAACACAAGGGAAAAGAGAGGTTTTTTGAGCTTTTTTTTTAAATTTTCAGTTTCAAAATTTCAAAGTTTTAAAATTCTAAATATCTTAATTTTACGATTTTGAGATAAAGTAGAAAAAATGAAAACTCATGTCTCTTTCTCTCATTTCGTATCCACCAATTTGCTCAGAAAATTTTGTGTTCTATAATTATTTCGTATCCTATGATATATAAAGTTCAATTTTCATCAAAATTTAAACTTTCAGAAACTCGAAAACAAGGATTTCGACTGAAAACAATTTTATTCGACTCTGATAGAAAAAATGCTCAAAAATAGAAAAACTGATATACTGATGGCGTGTTGTGCATTTCTAAACGATATCATCATCATCAATTTTTTTTAAGAAAGAGAAGACGATTCGGGAAGAAGAAGACGTGCCAGAGGGATATTTTTAACTGAAATTGACAATTTATTAAAAAATAGAAAATAAAGAAATTGAGTTAGTACAGGCAGTCGGCGGTGGAGTACTGCTTCATATCGAAGAGCTCGATTTCCTTCTGAAAATGGAAAGAATTTATAAAAGAAAAACTTTAGATTCAAGGATTGAGAGCATGAAAATTCAAAAGTTCATATATTTTTGAAATTCAAAGACTTGCTTTGAGAATATCAAAATGTCGGAATCAAAAAACTGTGAAATCTAGAACTCGGAGAATCATAGAATTTCAGATTTCCTATTGCTGAGTAAAGTTTCAACGTCTCAAAAATAAAACTTTAAATCTACAAAACCAACCTCCATCATGATCTTGCCACTGGAAATGTCGATTGGGATGTTGGTGGTGTAGTATGGCACGGCGCAGTTGGAGCTTGGTGGCAATCCCTCGATTCTGCAGGTGTGACGAACCATCAACTCCAAGCTTCCTCTCAAGTCGTAAATGGTTCCGGTCGACAAGCGGTATTCTCCGTCGGCACCGGTGGCGTACAAGTTGATGATGAGTTTTGGGAAGAGTGGCGAGTGGAGGTATGGACGGGCATAGCGGACACCGTTTCCGTTGCAGGTGATATGTCCATGGAGGTGGTAGTTTGGAGCGTTCTCCTGGAAAAATGAGATGTTGGAATTTGGGAATATTCAGTTTTTGTCGGAGTTTTGGGGATCTGAAACCCATTAGATCAATGGATCTAAGTGATCCAAGGCAATATCTCTAAAAATCAGGAAGATGCTAAAGATCCCGAAAATCTCGGGATCCAAGGCTCGAGAGGGTTTAACCCTAGATTTTTTTTAACTCTTGGGGATTATTTTCCAACCCTACAGGTTCATTTTTTAACCCTAGAAATTGATTTTCAAAACCGATGAGTTCATTTTTCAACACTATTGGTTCATTTTTTCCGAGCCTAGATATTAGACAGATCTGAAGAAACCTACAGAATCTCAAATCTCAAAACAAGAATCCTAGAAAAAAGTGAGGGATTTTTATGGAATGTTTCCCTGGGTCCCAGAACCCTAGAAACTTTAAAAAAAACTACTCACCCCGGATCTGAGAATGATACGATCATCATAGCGATCTCCATTCTTGTGGTGACGGTGATGGACGGAAGCTTCCGCGTACTGGATGGCCAGGATGACCACAACGACCAAGGCGATCTTACCAATAAGAGACATTTCTCTGAAAAAAAAAGAATTATTTTTAAAAAATACTGTTAATAAAATGATAAAATGAAGAAACAGGAAAGAATGACTGATGCCTCTCGTTGGCATCAGTTGTGTATATATACAGATTTGCAGATGTCAATCAAAGAACAAAGTGAAATCATGTGCAAGATCGACAGTTTGAACTAGAGAGTATGGAGAACTTGGAGAGAATTCAGAGAAATAGAGGAGGGATGAGGAATGGGCGGGATGAAGAGCCAAAGTCCAATTGAGCCTTATTGAATCCTATTGGAAAATCGTATGTTTTCCTGGACACACGTGGGAGGGAAAAGAATAAGAATGAGGAAGGGAGAAGATTGTGCAATTTTGAATCAAAAGAGATGGTGCGATTTGGATGATCGGAATCTGCAAAAAAATTTCCGATCGAATGTTCATAATTTCAGAGAGAGAGGGGGTTCATAGGTCATTGAACATACATGCATTTCTAGCTCATTTTTTAAAGGTTCATTTTAGATTCCTAAAAAATAAAGACTGCATCTTCAACCTGCCAGAAATTATCAATCAAAAATCCAACATTTTTCGGTTGATATCGGCGTAGTGGATACAGTACCAAAAATATATGTTTTTCAACTGATTTTGACCATTTTCAGGAGTCTGGAGTTCAATCACAAGAGCAGCTAGTTTTTCATCTATTTGCTGAAAGACCCCCATTTTTTCCAATTTTTGTACTGACAATGTCAAAAGGGTATTTTCGGCAAATAGCTGAAAAACTAGGAATTTTCAAAATATTCTGTGAATGCAAAGATTTTAACCTATGTCGGTTTTACATCCTTCAAAACTTTCAAAGTTATCGGAAACTTGACACCCGAGCTCTAGACTCCTGAAAATGGTCGAAATGGCCAAAAATCAACTGAAAAACACATTTTTGTATATCATTATTGGTCCGGACTGTATCATTAGTTTTATTTTTTCAAATTAACAAAAACAGCCATATTTTGAAATCGGAAAAATGGGAACAATTCTGATTTTGTGCCGGAAATTTGTTACTCAAACTACAAAAAATCAAGTTTAAACCTTTCGTCCAATTTGTAATAAATCTGAAAATTTTTTGTCATTTATCAGAAGCTACCCAAGATTTATATTTTCTCTATATTCCCTTTTCCCATTGCCAGTTTCTCATTTTTCAAGTTCCAGCCGCCTCCAGGCACTCCAACCCCATGTTTTGAACAAAAAACTTTCAAATTGCTCTTTCTAAAAACCTGTAGATCTATACGTCAGCATGTTCGTTCTATTTGACCGAAAAAGTTCACCAAAATGTTATGTAAACCTTGTTATACTTATTTGGACAGTAGTAACATTTCATCTAATGACACAAATGGCATTTTTCGAAACATAAGCTTGTTAGGTTCCTGTTTACCAAGTACGGTATAAAATATGGTTAAGTCAGTTACATTTTTGTAACTTTTAAAATTGTCTTACGATTTTATATAGGTTCCTGTTAGCCAAGTACTGCATAAAATTGGTTGAGGCAGTTTGTTTTTTGTAGTTTCCTTTTTTTGTTTTCTCTAATTTTATATGGCTTTTTAGTCGTGCTAGCAAACTCCAAAGTGTTGAATTTTCAAATTTATAACCTAAAAATTGTCTTCTTTACTGGCTCTACCCAAATATTTTAAACTGAAAATTTGACATTAAAACTTTCGTTAGTACCTTTTCTTCCAAAATCGTATTCCATGTCCATTTCTGTACTTTCCTGCCAGTTTCCAACATTTTACAACCTTCCGACTCACGTCAAAACTTCCGCTCCTTATCAGGGTTTCAAGAATCATAAAGCATTACGGCAAAACCTTTTGACACATTTCCAATTTTCAATGGATTAACACTTTTCGACTTTTCATGATTTCCCCCAAAGACTCTCAGAACTTTCATATGACTCAATTATTTCGACAATTCCTAAATAAGACTTAGCAAGTGATTGAACAGTGTCAATCATTAGTTTCCTGTAAAGGAAGAACGATAAGGATGAAGGTGTTGAAATGACGGTTTATTATTAAAAATGGCACTCGGGGTTGGGGTTTGGTGAAGAAGCGAATCAGGAAATTTGGCACATTTTTTGGGGGGGAGAAGAAGTTTTTTGGGATTAGTGGAGAAAAAATAAAGGGTAATCTATTCTCTCCATGCTTCGAGGTTCAATCCATTGATTGAGGAGCATGGAACGGCACGAGAGCCATCTTCGATGTCGAATGCACGACGGCCGACTCGGAGCATGCTGAAAGATGATAAATTTTGTTATTTAAAAATGCTTACTTTTTAATGAATTTTTTGGGTAAGTTTTTTTATTCTCACGGCAAATTTTTCAATTTTAGTTAACCCACATATTTGATTTTAGAATATTTAGGTGTTTCCTAACAAGTCTATAACAAGCCTACACGTCTATAAAAAGCCTACAAGCCTATAAAAAGCCTAAAAGACTATAAAAAGCATACAAGTCAAAAAATAAGCCTACAAGCCTATAATAAGTCTGAAAGGCTGTACTAGGCATACAAGTTTATGATAAGTCTTACAAACCTAACAAGCCTATTTGTATTGTATTGTATATTTAACAAGCTTATAAGCCTAATTTTGAAAATATTTTGAGAAAAAAAAATCAGGGAAATTTTTGCTTTGACTTGTGAAAGATTCAGCTTTTTTTTGACTGAAATTTTTTTTCAGACTTTTCGGTTTTTAGTTTCATATAATAGGTTTAGACCTCGCTTTTCCTTCTACTGGGGCACACAAAAAAATGACGCAAAATTTAAATTTTTTTGAATTTCTGAATTTCTGAGCTTCAGAAACAAAGAATACAGGCTTGACCTTTTTCAGCTTCTTCAAACTTTAAGTCTTTTTAAATGAAGTTTTTAAAACCTTCCTTTTTTTTGGATACATACATATATACATACATACATACATACATACATACATTTTTTTACATACATGATACATGATACATGATACATACATGATGCCTCCATCTGATTCTACATTTTTGATTTTTTCGACTGATCCCAAACCCAAAAAACTCACTTATCCCCTGTCTGACATAACACCCACGAAAGTGTGGTCCTCTTCAGTTCAGCCAATTGAGAAGATGTGAATACTCCTGGATTCTCAAAATAGAATCTGTCTCCATCGCGAAGACGTTCGAATTGTTTTCCGATGACACAGGCGAACGTGGCTCCGACGACACTTCCTGCGGCTGGTTGTTCGAGAATTCCGCCAACATAGAAATCCACGTCGTCAGGAGTACGGTAGAGTTGAGCGATTCGTTGACGGACATTCTGGTCGGGCACTTCTGGCCACTAGAAAATGGAAGAGTTTTGTCACGTAGGGTTTCCAAATTTTAAGTTTTCCTAACGAAGCGTACCGTAAATGATCATTCTATGCGTTCACTTTGAACTCAATTATCTCGGGTCCTTCAAAAGATATCACAAGTTTGTCAACGGTTAAGCTGTTTATCATATTATCACCAATGTTTTATCTGTTGGTAGATTTTTGATATCTCTTCTAGGAATCGAGATAATCGAGCTCAAAGTTTTTTTAAAGCTTACATCATCAAAGCTGGTGATCGGACGAAGATTGCAGAATCTGCGGTACTCGTTGTAGGACCTGAAAGTTCAAATTTTAAGTTTTGTTTGCTGAAATTGGTTCTCGAAATTTTCATTACTCATTGTTCAATTTCATGAGGAATAACATCATTTCAACATTTTCAGTTTTGAAACTAATTTTTAAATTTTTTGTTTAGTTTGGACTGGCTGTTCAAATATTGATAAGATGTTTGCAATTTTTAAATTTCAAAACAGGTATTTTTAGTTTTTGGAGCCTCTTTTTAGTTTTCCCTTTCCAAACTTTGAATTCACACTTTTGTATACAACTCTCAAAACTCTCGAAATTTCCTCCCGCCCACCTCCACCAATCACAAGAGCTCCTGACCGCAACAAACTACCGTACCCCTCTAAAAATGACACCATTTCCTGTACTTTGCCCTGATAATTTTGCTATATTTGGTCGCTTTACCTCAACCCATGGTCTCTGCCACGTTGAATGTTAACTGCTGCCATGTCGACACTTCCACCAAAAAGACGTTCTGTCACTGAAGTTGTCAATCTTTGAGGACTACGGACGGGCACTTTCATCATTCCTCTGAAAATATAAATTTAAAAAAAAGGGATCGGGACATTTTTGAAAAGTGAGTTCATCAGGAAACAAGTAAATTTTGAATCCTAATAATCCAGGTCAAGTACCGTAGTTCCTCTGATAGAAGCCCACTCAAACCGTAAACTGTGAGCTCAATTTTCTGGATTCCTATTCAAGATAACAAAATTTTGTCAACTGTTAAAACGTTTATCATAATATCACCAGTGTTTGATCAGTTTACAAATTTTTGATATCTTCAACAGGATTTGAGACAATTGTGCTCAAAGTTGATGGGCTTCTATTAGAGGAAATACGGTATCTTTGCTTTCTGAGTACAGTATCTGATGTTTTCATACAGAATAAGAGCATTTTCGCAAATATTTCAAAATTAACGATTTTTACGGAAATTTATTCAATAATCAAAAGCATACTATTCTTGGATACTTTTTTTTTTGAAAAAGTTACATGTAGAAAACTGTCAATATTTTGTTGTTCTTGAAATTATACCCTCTCAACTTTGTCCCAATATATTTCGGTTACTGTAAAAGATATCAAAAAAATTGTCAACTGACAAAATATTTTTGATGCTATGATAAAAAATTCGTCAGTTGATTACTTTTTGATATCTATCACAGGAAATTATGTCAAAGTTGATAGAGTAGGAATCCTTATAAACCAGGTTCTACGGCACTTACGCAATTTTTTGGCAGGTTTTCTAACGAGGTTTTATAACAAAGCTTTTGTTCTAAAATTTTAATTACACCAAAAACCAGACATTTGTTCCGTATCTCTTCAACTCACCTGTAAATCGAATCAATATTCGTCAGCACATGATTGATATTATTGACACCATCAATGAATCGATATCTGTTGAACTCGCGGAATTGGGAATCCACCAATGGATACGTCTCCTGAATCATTCCATGAAGACGGTAGGCTCCGGCAGCGAACTCGTTCAGAATTCCGAGGTCCACATTTGGATTATATCTGAAATGAACTACTGTAAATATATATACATCACTTTTATATTTGAGCAAACTTGAAAGTGTGTGGGGCCCTTCTATTACAGGGTTTACGATACTTTACGAACTATGAAAAATCTGTTGGCTATGAAAAATGATTCTCAAAACTTCAAAAACATTTCCTACCCTGTATACGCTCCCAAAATAGTCTTCGAGGCATCTCCAATCAACTCTGGCACGAATTCTTGATAGGTGATCGCTTGGACAACTCCACCGACAATTTTTCGAGATTCTTGGAATATTCTGTCCGCATTCCAGTGGCGATTCATGTTTTGGAGACGGGCGGCAACACTGAAAACAAAAAGTAACATGAGATTATGGTGCTCCTGGTACCATATCGCAACCATAATGCCCTGGTACCATGGGTACCATATGCTAATTGTAAGGTTATTCAATGAACTTACTTATTATGGAGTCTGAGGAATGACGTATGAAGAGCAGCAAGCCCAACAAAAAGAATAGCTCTCCCATCTCCGGCTGTCAAACTTCCAGCGTTGGTGTTTGGTGGGAACATACGACCTCCGATCATCTGAAAAAATTTTTTTGGCCTTTGAAATCCAAATAAAAATCACCGATGTCCTGAGCATTGCCGCGAATCTCAAACTGCGAGCAGTGATAGCTTCGGATCCGTAAATCTGAAATTTTCAGAATATTTCAAAATCTTCAGTTTTCGAAATTCTCTGACCAAACTAGCATCAATCGCGGCAGTGTTCATGTTCAGTTGCTCACGAACTCTTCCGAATTGGCCAGTTCCACAGACAGGGAACGAGCGGGTGAATGGAATGCATCGGCGGCTGAAAATTGATGTCTGGAAATTTGTTTGAAGTCTGGAATAGAATCTTACGATCTATCAGATGGTGGAGCAAAAATGGAGGCACACATAGGTCCAGAGTTTCCACATCCGCAGAAGTTTTGAGCCGCATTTGAGGTGATGTCGTGGGAGACGAACTGAAAATTTCAGATTTCTAAAACATTAGAACTAGAAGATTCCAGACGTAGAGGACTCTGTAATCCCAAACTTTCTTCTGCTTGTTTAGATTCTGTACCCCATAAATATGTTTGGGTTTTTGTCCTTTTCCCATTCTAACCAACATTTCAATTTTCAATTCCTTCCTATCTAACCGACATTTCAAATTTGCTTCTTCTCTAAATTTCAATTTAATTTCTTACATTTCAATTTCTTCTTTCCAAACAATGCAGAAAACGTACCTGACCAAAAAGCATGACAAGAGAATTAACATGTCCAGGCAATGACCTTTCAGATGACAACAAGAAGACTGACACTTCCCGAGGGTTTGGACGATTCCGCTGTGAGGCAGCTGCAACAAAAAATGAAATTGGATTATGAGGAATCATTTGACTTTTTGATCTTGAAATTGTTTCGAAAAAAAATACTTTCACTGTGTTGAGAATAATTTCAGAAAGTATTTCGAAAGAAGTATTTCCACTTTCAAAAATAAGCTAAACTCACAAACAAGAGTATTAAAACCATCATCATAAGCAGCTGGCATGAGTCGACTGAATGCCGTGAACGCGGCTCCTTTAATTGGGTTCTGAAGATTATTGCATGTTCCGTCCATGGATCGATACTTTTTGTGGAAGCAATTATTGATGGAGCAATCTGGAGCAATTTGTTGCTCAGCACACATTTGTTGACGGAAGCGGGCGGTGAGTTGACCACTGGAGAAGATTTGGCGAGTTTCGGCTGGAAAATTAGAGTGGTTTTAGAGAGAACGGGATGTTATTGTTGGGATTAAATTGCTTGGCCGTTGGCCGTTCGAAACTTTCTCTTGGGGAGCTGAACTTTTGAGCAAACTATTAGAAATGCAGCGCCACTATCGGCTGAGCTAAGCGATCGCAAACTTTGAATGAACGATTCCCCGAACTGACCTTCAACAGTCATCACCGAATGACAACCTTCTGGAATCCCTCTATTTGGCAAAAATGCTCTCTGACTGACATCATCTGGAACTTCATCAAACGATCTTGACTTTGACATCATGGCTGGCTCCGCATGAAGAGTAGCATTGCTTCTTGGACATGTCTAAAATTTCCTCACTTTTTTTATAATCTGAAATCCTGAGACTCACCCCACACGCCTTCATACATTGTCTCTTCATGAATCTTGGATTCACCTCACATTCTCCGGCTTGCGACCAAAAGACACAGTGGATGTGTCGGTCGACACATGCGTGCTGCGATTGGGCTGAATAGAATGAGGGATAATGGCTAGTCTCGAGGAGATGGTAGGGTTCAGAGGATGAGCAATTATATGGCGTAAGGGAAAGGCGAAGACGCTTATTAGGAGAGTGGACAGTACAGTTTTGGAAGGGAACTATACTTCCTGGCTAAGGGAACGCATAACTAAAAGTTGTGTGTAATTTTTAGATCCTAATACAGTAATCCATTTATCTAAACCCTTTGAAAATATATGCCAATTCGTGATAATTATCCCACGAGGAAATTGGGTCAAAGTCTGAAATCCATTTTCCAAAATTCCAGCGAATTTTTTTTTGAGCTATGCGCCACAGAAATTTTTTTTTCATTGACTTTTGGAAGACTCACCAAGATGAACAACATAAACCAGTAGAAGCGAGACAAGAAGAGACTTCATCGGTCTGGAAAAAAGCACATTATTGGGATTTTTTGGATTTTTTTGGAAAAAATAGAAGTAGGAGAATCTGAAATAAATAAGAGGAAATTTAGAAATCTGTGAATCTGAAAATCTGTGAATTTCAGAATCTCAGAATTTCAGAATTTCAGAATTTCAGAATCTCAGAACCTCAGAATCTCAGAATCTCAGAATCTCAAAATCTCAGAATCTCAGAATCTCAGAATCTCAGAATTTCAGAACCTCAGAATCTCAGAATTTCAGAATCTCAGAATTTCAGAATCTCGGAATATCAGAATATGGGAATATGAGAATTTCGGAATTTCGGAATTTCAGAATTTCGGCTTTCAAAGAACCTGGATAAAGATCAAGCAAAAGTACTAGGATCTGATAGAGGGAAGCTGAAAAAAATTTCAAGAATGTAAGGAATGAAGAATCTCGACCCATAAGGGTCCAAACACCAATCCAAAGAAACCCGTTGTCATGACCCTAGAAAGATGAAACATTCCAACGAATTCTGCTTGTCTACTCCCCATCAAAAAATATTTCGTCTAGGTAAGCTTAACCCAGGTAGACAGAGAAATAAAAGTTGCATCTGCTTTGTCCACTGGAGGGCATCCTCCTCCCTTTCGAAAATCTCTCCTCACGGCTTCTGCTATTTTCTCATTTTGGGGGTGAAAGTGATCGGGAGAGAGAGAGAGAGGGAGGGAGGGACAACGACTTCTTACCCTAAACCGATTATGAACATGACAATATGCAATAGAAAAAGAAGAAGAACAGTAAATATGAATTCTTGGAGGAAAAGAGGAAGCTGAATCGAACAAAAAATGATTGCGAGGAAAAAAATCAAAGCAGCAAGAAGAAGGGAACTTTCCGAAGCTTTGTCATCTCTCTGGTATTTATATTGGATTCTGGCGCTGGCTCGGATTGAAGCAAGAAAGAAGAGGAAATGATTTTCTGATCTAAAATCTGTTTTTGAGATTTTTGTCATAGAAAAGGTTTTAAGGAACGATTCTGTGTGGGCGGGGGATGGGAATTTGGGAGATAAGAGAAGGAAGAAATTGGATTGAGATTTTTTTGGGATCTATGATTTTTTGTCTTTCTCCCCGAGCAAACTACAAAAGTTTCAATTTCCCAACTATTTTGTAGTTTTCTGAAGTGAGATTCTGAGATTCTAAGATTCTGAGAATTCGAGATTCTGAAATTCTGAAATTCTGAGATTCCGAAAATCTGAGATACTGAGATTCTGGGATAATGAGATTCTGATGTTCTGAGATTCTGAAATTCTGAGATTCTGCATTTCTGAGATTATGAGATTGTCAGATTGTGAGATTCTGAGATTCTGAGATTCTGAGATTCTGAGATTCTGAGATTCTGAGATTCTGAGGTTCTGATATTCTGAAATTCTGAGATTCTGAGATTCTCATGTTCTGAAATTCTGAGATTCTGAGACTCTAAATTTCTGAGATTCTGTGATTCTGAGATTCTGGGATTCTAAGATTTTGCGATTCTTAATTTTCGAGATTCTGAGGTTTCGAAATTTCGAAATTCTAAGATTCTGAGATTCTCCGATGCTCAGATTCCTAGATTCTGAGATTCTAAAATCCTAACACTTTGCGATTCTAAGATTCTGAGATTCTGAAATTCCGAGATTCTGAAATTCTGAAATTCTAAATAATGAAATTCTGAGATTCCAAAATTTCATGAAAATTTTCCAATTCATCGAAATTCAAAATTTTCGAAGTTTTTATGAATTTTAGAATTCTATCCTGTTCTTAAAAAGAGAATTTTCTACAGATCGGCTTGTAGATTTCAGTGAAAACGCGAGTCAGTAGGTCAAGTTGGACCGGAAATGTCTCCTGGATCACCAAAACAACAATTAAAAAACCAAAAAAAAATTATAGAAAAAAATCTTTATTGGTTAGGATCTCCTGGAGGGTCCAGCTGAAGATTCACATGTTGATATGCCCCGGCTCTCATCGCATTATTTTGTAATTCGGCGTCTTCTTCATCATCCTTATCAATTCCAAAATTGGGCAACTGAAAAATTGATGCTTTAAAAATCGACATTCCAAAATTATTCCTCTCACTATGGGCTCATCCTCTCCTAAAACTGATCTATTCCACCATTCGGGCTCGTTGACGCCTTCGAAGATCACAAAAACAAACTTTTTGTGTTTCAACCCAATCAAAAGCTCCGACCGAAGTTCGTGCAGTTTCCAGATTTGTTTCGCCGGCTGATCCGTTGGTTTGATCGCCGAAATCACCGCCGTGAAACTGGAAAAAATGAATTTAAACTCTTGCGAATCGGAATCAAATCTTTTTACCGATCCGCCGGCGTATTTCCTCCTCTTTCCATCCCTTTGAACACTAATTGAAAGGTCATTTTGGTTTTTGAACGAATAATGGCATAATTGGGTTGCGTGTTGAACGTTCTGGCTCTTGTAGACTTCCATTTGACAATGATATCCACATCTTCGTCGTTTTGAATTTCATATGGTACTTTTTGACGTCGAGGCTCCATTCTGAATGTTACCTGGAGTTTGGAAATTGTAAAAAAAATCTAGTTTTTCAAAGAATTTCTTAAACTCACCGAATCCAACGGATTGAATCTTAGGTTTCTCAAAGTTATTGGTCTGTTCGATAACATCTCTTATAAAAACCTTTTGAGAATGAATGGAAAAACTTGAGCTTGTAAAGCTAGTAAAATCGAGTGAAAGCGAGTAAATCCAGTATTGAGAGCTCAGAAAATGACTCGAGGGAGCATTCTTTTATTGAAATCATTTCACGGGTAAAAGAACGGTTTTTGATTTTCACTAATTTCTGAAATTCCAAAATCCTGAAATTCGAAAAATCTGAAAACGTGTTGACCCAAAAAAGTTTGAACAGTCCTCTGATCCCAACGTGAAGTTAATGAAAAAAGTTACAACCGAAATTTCAATTTTAAGACAAATTTCAATTAGCTTGACTTCTATTTTTCTAACGAAAAAACTACAAAATGCATGCAGCCGCACATGGTAGAATTGTTCAACTCTCTCGTATTCGGAAAGTGAGTTTATGGTACCCGATTTTTTTTTCAAAATTTGAGTATTTTGAATTAGATTCTGAGATTCTGTAATTCTGAGATTAGAAGATTCTGAGATTCTTAGATTTTGGGATTCTGAGATAACAAGATTCTGAGATTCTGAGATTCGTAAAGTCAGATTCTGAAAGTTTGAAGTACTGAAATTTTGAGACTCTGGGTTGTTCAGATTCTGAAATTCATAAATTCTGAAATTCTGAAACTTTAAAATTCTGAGATTCTGAGATTCTGAGATACTGAGATCCTGAGGTTTTGAGATTCTGAGATTCTGAGATTCTGAGATTCTGAGATTCTGAGATTCTGAGATTCTGAGATTCTGAGATTCTGAGATTCTGAGATTCTGAGATCCTGAGATTCTGAGATTCTGAGATTCTGAGATTCTGAGATTCTGAGATTCTGAGATTTTCAAATTTTCAAATTCTAAAATTTAAAATCTAAAAATTATATATAATAAAAAATAAAAAAAAATCTAAAAATTAGATATCCTAAAATTCTAGATCTCTCAAATTCTGAAAACTAATAAAAATGAGACTTTATTTTTAGATTATCAAATTTCTTGAAGGATTCGAGGATTTTAAGATTCTGAGATTCTGGGATTCTAAGATTTTGAGATTCTGAGATTCTAAGATTTTGAGATTCTAAGATTACATTCTGAGATTCTGAGATTCTAAGATTCTGAGATTCTAAGATTACATTCTGAGATTCTGAGATTCTAAGATTCTGAGATTCTAAGATTACATTCTGAGATTCTGAGAGCCTGAAATTCTTAGGAGCTTCTGAGTTTCTGAACTTCTGAGATTCAAGTATTCGAATTCCAGGAAATCGCGGATCTCACCAAAAACAAACGTTGCTATATCAAAGATTTTCGGAAAATCCAAAAGTGCAAGGACGTTTTCCAGTTCAAAATTCTTGGAGTAAGTTCGCTCTACCGATTTTTAAAGAAATAAAATAGCGAGGGCGTCCAATTGCAAGTTCGCTCTACCGAAATCGTGTAGAATGATCCTAAAGAATGATTCCGGTAGAGCAAAGTTGCTACCTTCTGAGTAACCATTGGTATAAAAACTTTGTTTCCAGGATACCTCACTTTTCAAGGATCTCATCTTCACTTTGGATTTGGATGTCAGTCTGGATTACCCGTTCAAACCTCCGTTTTTGAAATTCTGTCACCCAGTCTATCATCCAAATATTGATCCTGTAACTCATGAGATTTGTTCTCCGATGCTTCTTCAGGAGAATTGGAAACCAGGAACAACGATTGAAGACGTTCTTCTGAATGTGATTGTGTTGCTCAATGAACCAGATATTTCTCGTCCGGTGAATTTTGAAGCGGCTGCTGATTATATCAACGATAAGGCGATCTACATGGCAAAATTCAACGAGGTAGTGAAGAAGTGGACGGTTTAGATTTCTAGAAGTTTCGGAACTTTTTTTGAAGAATAAATGTTTTAAAATCTTGTTTTAGTAATGTGTCTCTAGAGCAAATAATAACATAGCAACAATCAAAACTGATACATGTATAGATTTTTATCCAATAAATTATTTGAAAAATCAATATATCAGCGAAAACAAGTCCTTATCAGTTAGAAACCTTGCCAATTCGTTCTTGGTATTATTGTCCATCGACGTCGAAATATGTTTCAGAATTCGTTCTTTTTCTCCCACAGACAGTGTCTGATTCTGTTGGGTCATCACGATTCGGATGAGTTTTTGTTGGGTTCGAGTGGAAAGTTTTGGAAGAACTTTCTGGAATTTTTTTGAATGGAAAACTAGAGAAGGGAGCAAAGTGCTCTCTATTGCTAACTCACAAAAATTCTTGACTTCCGTTCTCTCTCGTCTTTCTCCACTTTTAATTTCCATGCTTTGTGTTCTGCTCTGGTTTTGTCATCTAGTTTTTCTACTAACTGAAATTATCGATTTTTGATAAAAATTCAAAATTGGCGCCTAAAAAAACATACCCTATCAATCTCCTTGTTGATCTGCTCGATGGTTTTTGTTTCAGCACTTCCAAGGATTTTCTGAAATTATATTTTAAAATTTCAGACATTGGAACCTCAAAATTTTAGATTTTAGAACTTAGATTTTAGATTTTAGAACTTTAGAATTTCAGAATCTCAAATTCTCAGTATTTCAGAATTTTAGAATCTAAGAATATTAGAATCTTAAAATAAAATTTTACACATTACGAAAATTTGGATTTCTACAGAAACAATTCCGTAATTTAGAAATCAAAAAAACAATTCCGTAATTTAGAAATCCAGGAAAATTTGGATCGTTAAAATTTTAGAATTTTAGAAGCTTGGGATCTCAGAATCTTGAAATCTAAGAATATCAGAATTTTAGAATCCTGGGATTCTGGAAACTTAAAGTTTTAAACCTTAAGGATCCCAGAATCCCGGAATCTCAGAATCCCGAAATCTCAGAATTTCAGAATCTCAGAATTTCAGGATCTCAGAATCTCAGAACCTCAGAATGTCAGAATTTCGGAATCTCAGAACTTCAGAATTTCGGAATTTCGGAATCTCAGAACTTCATAATCTCGGAATTGTGTTGTTTCGAAATTTTAGATTTTCAGAATATCTGAATTTCTGAATCTCTAAATCCCCGAATCTCGAAAATTCAGGAACTCAAAAATTCAGAATCTCAGATGCTCAGAACCTCAGAATCACAGAAATTCGAGATCTCATAATCACGGAGTTTCAAAATCTCATAATCACAGAATTTCAAAATTTCAGAATCTTAGAATCTTAGAATCTCGGAAACTCAGAATTCAAGAATCTCGAAATTTCGGATTTCTTGAATCTGGGATCTTCTGAATCTTAGAATTTCAGAGTTTCAGTACCTTCAGTTAAAAAAAGGTTTTCAAAAAATCCCGAAACTCACATCAATAACTTCGGTAGACGGCGTGCGTTGAGTATTCACAAATGCACAAAGTACTATACTAGCAATGGCAATATTCCGGATCATGCTTATTATTCTTATTATTTGTGCCGCGAGAGAGAAAACACAAAGGAGAGCCCGTGGAAAATAATTGACAGGTGTGAAGACAGGAAGACTAAATGTTCGCCACAGATGGGCAACACTCGAGAAGAAGAAGGCGAAATGGGCGGAGTTTGGATCGAAAAGAATGCTGAGCAAATAAATGACCAGAAACAATAGAAAACAGAATAACAACCGAGCGGAGCGGAAAAAAAGAGAAGAGCCGGACAGATATGTGTGAAAAGTGTCTGTGGCGGGATGGTGGGCAAGCAAACATCATGTAATCCCCCCTCTTGTTACAAACCAAGACTTTCAACCGGAAAACTTGTCATGGAAGGGCCTAGTTTTAACCAGATTTATCTTGGTTCCTGTAAGAGTTATCAAAAAGAACTGGAATAAAAACCAAAAATTTGTTTTGTTTAAATGAAAAAGAAATAACTTTGTCAAAATGTTGTAAATGCAAATCTCTCGAGGAGTTGAACTTGTGTGGCGAGAACTGTAGGTGCTGTGCTGGTATCAGATGAGCTACGATAACGCAATCTGACACAACCAAACAACCAGTATAGATACTGTAACTCCCAAAAAAAACTTCGAAAATTTAGGATCGAAGGTCTGAAATTTCTGTAACTCAACAAAATACGCTCCGTTGAGAACGATCATCCACTGACTAAGACGGATTCGAATTTCTAGAGGATTTCCGTACCGGCAGTGTATACTTTTACGTATAGTCTAGTGGATAGACCATTATTAAATTCCAGCCCTTCTCTTCTTCTTTCTTCTTCCACGTCATCTCTTCACAGGACCCTCGTCACCTCCAGATGGACCTATACTCTTATATGTCTTCTACGTCTTCACCTGTCAGCGTCCACGTAGCCGGGAGGATAACGTGTGCGGTTGTGGGACCACCGGGGGAAAGGAAGAGACGAGTTCGATTCCCCCGGTGGTCTTCGATTGATGACGTGAGGAGGACCCACGTCTCCACCGCACATCGTTAAGGCACGGAGGACGTCGCTGGAGGACCAAAAACGACAAACAAGGAGCGAGCGAAGGAAGGATTTCTGGAATTATGATAATTGGTTCTGTTCTCAACTGTAAATTAAACGAATAAACAATTTTTATGAGATTTTGAAAGTATATCTTAACTACCGTAAAACATGTAATAGAAGAGCCGGCCCATCTATTTTCTGTGGGGTTTCTAGAGGGCCCTTCAATTTTAGGAACCCTTCTAATACAGGTTTTACGGTAACCTTTAAATCTGAAAACCTACAAAACCAGTCAACCAACCTAATTAAATAATTTCAGCGTCAATTTTAATCTCACTCAATTTCACAGCCACGTCCCATGTGTTGACTGAAATTTCGCTGGAAAGTTCTCGCTCTCCTTGCTCCGAGATCTGCCTAAGAGTCGACTCATTTCACAGAATTCGCTTTCTTCCTCTTCTCAAAAAAATTCAATTCTCTCGAGAAAATGCTACATTATCTGTTGTCAATCGCACTGTTCATATTTGAAAACGTTAGTCCAATAGCTCCCAAAATAAGTGAATCTTGAAAATTTTCAGAAACTAGAGCTATTTGTATCCGGCTTACTCGCAATCGTCGTCTATTTTCTATGGCCGGCCCAAGAGGAAAAAGACGATGTTATGAATTGGAAATGTAAGAGAGATTACTGTAGCAGCTACAGTAATCCTTTGAATTTTCAGCTGTCCCAAATTCCCCGGTTCACAACAGTCCAGAAACGATTGTGGAGCCGCCGATTGGGAAAAGTCCATCTTCCTACTCGAGTCCAATGAAGAGGGGATTGTGGTAGGTGGTTTTGGCAAATGCCGTCTAATGAGAATGATATAGGTCACTGAGCAAAGAGGACACAACACCAGACAAGGTACGTGGATCTTGGGAGAAGCTAACAAAACAACCGCCACGAGAACTCTACGAACCCGCTGATCAAGAACAAGTTCCATCCAACATCAAACCAGAAATTTTCTTTGTTCTAAAAGCACTGGAAGGTCTAGAACTACCCAGAACGTGGCAATTGGATCCAAGAGATGTGGATACTTTATCTATAGATTCCGGAAATGTTCTGTTAGCTCCAGGAGATCCGAACGACGTGATAGTGGTGGTGATTTCTGGAGAATTGGGGATTTTCACAACGGTTAACTCGGTGAGCACGCCTTCTACAATTTTTTCTGAAAGCAAAATTTCCAGGCTGACAAGCACTATGAATGTAACATGAAGACTTTGAAAAGTGGAGAATCCTATTTCTCACAAACCTCGATTATTGAGATTCTGATGGTAGCTATGGCTTTGAATTCTTCGCTCTATATATTGATTTTTTCAGAATGAGCAACCGAAAAACAAGTACATCCACCTGAAAGCTCTCACTAATTGTCGAGTAGCTAAATACAAGTTGACCTCGTTTTACACTTGTTTCCTATCCAGCCCTCAACAATGGATTCGGACGATTCAGGTGGTGATGACACGTCTACAGCAATGTACACTGATTACTTGCAATATGTATTTGGGAATCGGTGGAAAGTGTATTGATGCGGTTAGTTTTTTTAGTTCTGAACGGATCTTTACATTCTGAGATTCTGAAATTCTAAAATTCTAAAGTTGTAAAATTCTCAGATTCCGAGGTTCTGGAGTTTTAAGGTTTTGAAGTTCTGAACTTCCGAGAATCTGAAATTCTGAAATTCTGAGTTTTAGAGATCCTCAAAATTATGATATCCTAGTTTTCAAGTTTTCAGAAACGAGTCATCCCAGATCCTCAAAAGTTTCAATATTTCGATCAACTGACACAAGAAGAACAATTGAATAAAGGAATCGAATGGATGGCAGAAGTCATGGGGATCCCGGAGCATGCTCACAAGCTCAATGGGAAGGTCAGCTGGAGTTATTTTTCAACTTTCGAAGTCCAGTTTTTCTCTTATAGGTCAAAAAGTTTGAATGTCAAACTGGGACAGTTGTGACCGAGGAGAACTCATTTGAGATTGACATGATTTTTGTGGCTTTCGGAAGACTGCGATTGAAAAGAGTGAGTAGCTAACGTGCTTCTTGAATATCCCGGTTTTTAGGGCTCTTTGGAGCTTGACGACACTGGAACATCGTTGGCATTCGATGTCCATCCTGGAGACATTCTTCCATCCATGCAGATTTTGACAAATGAACCGGCAATGTGTACGGCGAAGGCTGTGGAAAAAACGATTTATTTTAAGATTTGTAGAGAAGAATACATTCAGTAAGAACGTTTTTCCAATGGCTCTGATATGCAAGTCTTTCCTTCAGATTCCTATTCGAATTTCCTGTCATCTACCTTCGTCTCGCCTTCCGTGCTCTTCATTTTGTTTCTCCGTTTGCCAGGGTTTTCGACTTGGCTGTCAGCTGGCATCGAATTGAAACTGGCCAGGCTTTGTTTAGGTATACAGTACTGGCCATAAAGAATGCGACAACTTGTTTTTTGACGATAACTTTTTGAAAACTCAACTTTTCAACTCGAATTTTTTACTGTAGACACATTGGAAAGTTACGAAAACTTGCGTACTTGGAAATTGCATCATCTTGCAAACAAAATTTTTTTTCAATTGTTTTCATTTTTTTTTCATTTTGCATATTTTTCATGATTTTTGTTTTTTTAAATAAAGTTGAAAGACAACTAATTGGAATTAGTTTTAGTTATTGTTTTATTGTTTTTCAGATATGGTTAGACCATTCGGGAAAAAATCCTTCTCTGTGGACGAGCGAAAAAGCATTGTGCGTGGTCATGAACTCGGCGCGCATCCGAAGATACTTGCAACTCAGTTTAGTTGTTCTTCCAGCCAAATTTACCGTATTCTGAAGAAAAATCGAGATGATGTGAGGTTTCAATCAGCTTTCTCAACTAAATTTAACAATTTAGAATGGCGTTGTTCATCGCCAATCTCCAGGAAGACCCCGAACCACTTCCAGAAATATGGATCGGAACATTTTGCGCGCATGCCGAGAAGATCCTAGACGCACATCTACGGATATTCAACTTTCTGTGACGTCTCCAAATGAACCGGCACCATCGAGAAGAACTATTAGAAGACGTTTGCAAGTTGCTGGACTGCACGGACGAAGACCAGTCAAAAAACCACTCGTCAGTTTGAAAAACCGAAAAGCTCGCGTTGAATGGGCTAAACAGCACTTGTCCTGGGGCCCCCGTGAGTGGGCAAATCACATCTGGAGCGATGAATCGAAGTTCAATATGTTCGGAACTGATGGTATTCAGTGGATTCGACGTCCCATTGGCTCCAGGTATGCTCCACAGTACCAATGTCCAACTGTGAAACATGGAGGTGGATCTGTGATGGTTTGGGGATGCTTCTCCGACACTTCTATGGGACCATTGAAGAGAATCGTTGGAACCATGGATCGATATGTGTACGAAGACATCCTGGAGAACACAATGAGACCATGGGCAAGAGCAAATTTGGGCCGATCGTGGGTGTTCCAACAGGACAATGACCCGAAGCATACTTCGGGTCATGTCGCCAATTGGTTCAGACGTCGCCGTGTGAACCTCCTAGAATGGCCAAGTCAATCTCCAGACTTGAATCCCATCGAGCATATGTGGGAGGAGCTGGAACGCCGCCTCAAAGGAGTCAGAGCATCCAATGCCAATCAAAAGTTTGCTCAACTCGAAGCTGCTTGGAAGAGTATCCCGATGACGGTGGTTCAGACGCTCCTGGAGTCGATGCCACGTAGATGCAAGGCTCTTATCGATGCGAAAGGATACCCAACGAAATATTAAATCACTTTTTATTGTTACCTTTATTTTGTTTTTGACCTCCGGTGTTTCTTGAGCTTCTTTGTATAGATCTCCAAAAATGTCATTTTCATGAATTTTCGAAAAAAATTAATTTTCAAAAAAATTGTAGCAGAATATTAAAACCAACTTAGCCTAAAAGTTTTTGATAGTGCTGAAAAAATCTTACCAAAAATTCGGATTGAAAAGTTGAGTTTTCAAAAAGTTATCTTCAAAAAACAAGTTGTCGCATTCTTTATGGCCAGTACTGTACCTATAAAATGGATTTTTTAAATCCCTTTCACATTTTCCCTTTCTTTCCAGACATGGTGACAAATCCGACTGCATGTACATTGTGATGGGCGGACGTCTTCGCGCCGTCGACTACACCAAAATCATTGAGGAGTACGGTAGACTCGACCTTATTGGAATCACGGATATGGCTGAAAAACGGGCTCGTCGAAATACGGTGATGGCAGTGAGATTCTCGCATATCGTTTGCATTCCGGACAATTTGCTAAGTTTCGTGAAGATTCGATATCCACAGGTTTTTAAAATTCTAACTGGGGGTAGTTTTAAAATTCAAATGTTTAGGTGGGCAACAAACTTCTTCAGCTGATCAGCAAGTGTTGGAAAACGCCGTCTCCAGAAGCCATGAGCCACGTGGAGACCACAAAGATTCAGAATCTTCGAACAATTGCCATTGTGCCCGCATCGAAGCGTGTCCCTCTAACAGCTTTCACTTGTGAACTCTACAACCACTTATCAAAACATGTCAAGTCGCTTCGTTTGAGTAGTACGGTAATTGGAAACTATTTCGAGCCGGAAGTCATCCCAAAGAAAGCGGATTTCGGTTTGATGCACTGGTTGAATGTTCAGGAAATTGCCTATTCATTGGTTTTGTATCAATGTGATTTTAATAGGACCAGTTGGACAAGAAGATGTCTGAGAATGGCTGATGCGATTTTGGTAGTCGCGATTGGGAATGAAAGTCGAGATCAGCAAGTTCTGGTAAGCTGTTGAGAAGTAAACGCTTAAGCTTTGAATACATTTTAGGCGGATTCCCTACTATCATGCAATGAAAAGGGTGTTCGCCAATCCAAAGAATTGGTCATCTTGTGGCCAGAAAACACACCAACACCACGTGGCACAGCAGATTGGCTCCGAGAGTCCTACTACTCTGGATATCATCACTTAAGAGCTCCAAACCGAGTTTTCAGTTTTCCGGTGAAAACGCAAGAGAGAAAAATTGTGGACTATTACGAATCGTCGGTCTTGTGTGAAATCAACTACCAATCCGATTTCTCGAGACTCGCTAGGATTCTAACTGGGAACGCAATTGGGGTTGTGTTTGGAGGAGGTGGTGCTCGCGGAGCAGCACATGCCGGAGCATTGAAAGCAATCATTGAGAAGAAAATTCCGATTGATATGGTTGGGGGGACATCGATAGGAGCGTTGTTTGGATCGCTGTACGCTACGACTCCGGATATTCGAGCAGTCGGAAGGATGAAGAACTTTTTCACTGTGGGTTGTTATATTTCTGGAGAACCGAACGATTCAGGAGAATTTTATTTTTCCAGGATCGCCTCCGAAACAATATTCTCGATGTTCTCCGTGATTTGACTTGGGCCTACTGTGCAATTCTCACTGGTCACCGGTTCAATTTGTAAGTTTTAGCTCATCTAGGAAGTTAGAGACGCAGTGTGTCTTGCCGTCTGCGTCTCTCACTTTCCGAACTGAAAATTTCTGAAATTCGATTCAAAACGGGTAGAATCAGAGCACGGAGAGCCAAGATACTATTGTTCTGGGAAGCTAGAGACGCAGACGGATAGACACTCTAACTGTCTGAGTCTCTCCTGCACTTCAAATGACCGTAACTCCAGTTCTAGAAGTGCTGGAATTCTGTTTTTGGACAGAAATGTATACTTTTATTTGTTCTATTAGAAAGATTAGAAAAACTAAACAATTTCAAACCGCTTTTCAATCAAAAATTTAATTGACTTTTCCAGATGTGTTCAAAGGATGCTGGACGAGGTGAAAATTGAAGATTGCTGGATTTCGTTCTTCTGCATTTCTACGGATTTGACGTAAGTAGTCAGTTCCTACAGAATTTATCAATAGAGCGTACTTGCAGCACATCATCTATGCGAATCCATCGAAGTGGTCTCATGTGGCCAGTAGTTCGAAGTTCGATGTCGATCGCTGGATACGTGCCGCCCATTTGCGATCCACAGGATGGTCATTTGTTGTTGGATGGGGCTTATGTGAACAATTTGCCAGCTGATATCATGAAATCCCTTGGAGCCAGTGTGGTGATAGCAATAGATGTTGGGATGTCGGATGAGAATGAGAATTTGAGAAATTATGGATACTCGATTAGTGGTGTGTGGTTTTTTTTTGAAATTTCCAAATTTTCGAATTCCCGCCTGTTCAGGAACCTGGTGCCTATTCAAACGTTGGTGGCCATTTGGAGAGGAGCTTCGCGTATTGAACATGTCTGAAATCCAGAATCGTCTTGCCTATGTTTGCAGTGCCAATCAGATGGAGACTGTCAAAAACGCGCCCTACTGTTACTATGTGAAATTGCCGATTGAGAGTTTTGGCATTTTCGATTTCTCGAAATTCGATCAAGCGGCTGTGAGTTTCTTCAAATCTCTGATCTATTATTTTTCTATCAATCCAGCAAATTGGTTACGATGTGACATCTCAAAAAATGGAGGAGTACTTTGAAGACTCAATGATAACGCGTCGAAAACTTTTGGGATGTGCTCGGAATGTTGGACTGACTCCTCAAAAATCTAAAAACGATAATCTTCTGTCATTCGTGAATATGCCATGTCTTCCGAGAACTTTTAATGATGTGAAATCTGATTGATTTTTGATAATAAAGAGCTTGATTCCGTTTGAAATTTATATACTGGCTCACAGGGATTTGAAGTTTCGGAGGCTAGAGACGCAGAAAGCGAGACACACTGACTGTCTGCGTCTCCCAAAACTTCAAACAGCTACATATATCTCAGCTCTCAGGCCTCCTAAAAGCACGATTGAAACGCAGACAGCTAGCCTGTCTGCTTGTCTGCGTATTTCTGGTACGGTAGTTTTCGTTCTGACCTTCAGCCACGGTCGATCAGGGTCAGTGCTTCTCTCCGTGTTTCATGCCAGTATAATATTCAGAATCTAGAATCAAACTTTCAACACATCACGAAAAATGTGTTTCCTCATTTGTCACTGTTCATAATTTCTGCAGACAATTTCATTACGGTCTGATATATTAGGTTGGTACAAAAGTAATGCGCGTTTTTGATTTACTTTATTTTTATTGTAAAAATGAAACAAAAGGACACCAATCGAGAAGATACTCTCCATCATTATCGACCACTCTCTGCCAACGCATGCGCAAAGATTCGATGCCTCTCTTGAAGAACTTCGCTGGCTGTGACTCGAAGTAGTTCGTCACCCAAATTTTCACTTCTTCGTCGTTTTTGAACTTCTTCTCGGCCAGATGATGCTGCATGGACCGGAACAAATGATAGTCAGATGGTGCCAAATCTGGGCTGTAAGGCGGATGTGGGAGCACTTCTCAGCCCAGCTCCAAAGTTTTTTTCTGGGTGATTTTCGCGGTATGTGGTCGAGCGTTATCGTGAATCAAAAGTATTGCCGATGTGTCCACTCCTTGATGTTTGAGCTCCAGGTCCACGCGGTCCAACTGACCTTTGTAACGTTCGGCAGTCACCGTTTCACCATGACCTAAAAGTTCAAAATACACTAAACCCCGAGTATTCCACCAGACACATATCATAACCGTTTTTCCGTGTATATCCGGTTTTGGTGTCAGTTTTGGGGTCTCGCCCGGACTGAGCCACTGATGTTTTCTTTCAGAACAGTCATACTGAATCCATTTTTCATCTGATGTCAAAATTGAATGAAAGAAACCGCGATTTTTTGAGCGGCGCAGAAGATCATTGGCCACTTCGACGCGCTTCGTCTTGTTTGCTTCAGAGAGTTTGTGCGGTACCCATTTTCCGCATCTATTCGATTTCCCAAGGTGGCGTAAAATTGTGATATGACTGCAATTAAACTGTTCTGACAAACTGCGTGTTGTTAGGCACGGGTCCAGTTCGACTGCTTGTCTCAAAGCATCGTTGTCAATGATTTCTGGACGACCACTGCGTTCATCGTCTTCCAAGCTCTCTTCGCCACTTCTGAAGCGCTGAAACCAGCGTCGACATTGACTCTCGGATAGAGCATTTTCTCCGAACACTGGCGGAAGTGAGCGATGAGCTTCGGCTGCAGTTTTACCTTCTTTGAACTCATGCCACAAAAAGGCTCGCAAGCGAAATTTTTGATCGGCCATTTCCTTAAACGTTTTTCTCATTGAAAAGAGAAGAAGAACGATGAAGTAATAATATAGAGCAAAGCAAAAGACATTCTCTTTAAAACAAGAAAAAATTGATACGAAGCGCTCGCTCACAGGCGACGTACAAAACACCAAACTTAGCGCGCATTACTTTTGTACCAACCTAATACATTTTCCCAAATTGCCGGATCAGAAAACGTTTCCAAATTTTCCGATTACAACTATTTTTAAATTTGTTCCCCTGAAACCTCGCCTACGACGAGTCTGAAAATACCTCAAAGTGATTCATTTGAACTAATTCTCATCGTCTAGCAAAACGAACGTCATCTCGAAATTTAAAAATAAAAATTTCAAATCATTCGTCTAGATCATTCCACATCAATCACTAATTTCCTTAAATCTTTAAGAATGAGGAACCAAAATTGTGTCAAAAAGAAGCCGGAATTTTCTCGTAAATGTTCTGCGGAAACTACTAAAGAAGCCCCTGGAATTTCGGAAATCCTCCACGCCTTCAAATTTCGGATTTCTAGATAAATCCAAATCGTCTTCCCCAAAATTTCGTATATATTTTGTGTCTGATGACGTTTTTGTTAATTTTCTGGAAGGAAGAAGAATAAAATCCCAATTTGTCCCTCTCAAATTTTCATTTTTCTTTTTCCCAGCAGCTCCTTTTTTGAGATTGATTGACCCGTAATTTCTCACTTCCTTTTCCCGAATTTTCCATCCATTTTCTTAGGCATCATTCATGATTCTCGCTAAAAGGGAACCCTAAAATGTCGGATAATTATTCTGCACGTTTTCTGTTTTTTTTTTTCGTTCTTTGTTGGGTGCAAATTGAGTGAAGCTGGTTTTCAGGTTAGAATTTTTGCGCTTAAAATTTGATAGTTTTTGAGGTACTGTATCTCAAAACTTTCAAAATTCAAAATTGAATTTTTCAAATCGCAAAGTTTTAGTTTCATAGAAAAATGCTTCTTACAAAACATTTGAAGTTTCTAGCTCGTCTACAAACCGAGATACAACCATTTGGAAGGCTAGAGATGCAGACGGCAAGACACTATAGCTGTCTGTGTCTCTCCTGAACTTCAAACGACCGTAGCTCGAGTTCTAGAACTGTTAGAAAGCTGATTTTTGGATAAAAATGTGTATTTTCGTTATGTCTTTAAGATAGATTAGGAAAATATCCTTGATTCTTAACGAAGAATGTCATGGATCTATACGATTCGCGTGGGAACAAATACCCATCTTCTTAAATCCCTAATTTGAATTTCTTGAATGCAATTGCGCTCTACTGGCCATTTCGGAAAATGATATAGAGTGGGATTGCACATGGCATTTCATTCTTTTGAGTGGGAAGAAAAGGGCGGAGCCAAGGTTTTGAGCCTGGGTATTTTTGAATGAGGCGTCGTCATTTTTGTTTTTGTTGTTTTTTAGTTTCGAAAGGTTTGGAAGAATTCTGAATTTCGAAGTGCAGAAGCGAGCTCAGAATTTGAGACGTTTGAAATTTGAAAATCCTAGAATTCCAGGATTCCGAGGTATCAAGATTCTATGGTTCAAGGGTTCCAGAATTCTAGAACTCCAAAACTCCATGATTCCAGTATTCCAAGATTTTAAGATTCCAGGATTCCGGAATTCCAGGATTCCGGAATTCCAGGATTCCTGGATTCCGGAATTCCGAATTCCAAATTTCCAAGATTCCAGGATTTTAGGATTCCCGGAATCCAGGAATCCAGAATTCTAGATTTTTAAGATTTCGGGACTCCAGGATTCCTGGATTCTCGGATTCCAGTATTCCAGGATTCCAGGATTCTAAAATTCTAAAGTTTAGGATTCTAAACTTCTAAACTTCGTAACTTCCAAATCCCTAACTATTTCCTCCGTTCCAGACATTTCCAAATCTATGGATTCCATATCTAACTACGAAACACACGCAAATATTTTTCACTATAACTTTTTCTCATCTCTGAAATTCCAATTTCTCTATTTTTAAGGTCTCCTAGAGTTTTTTTGGTGTCTAAAGAAGCCAAAACTGGTTCCACTTTTTTCTGTTTTGGAACATTGATTCCTTACAGAAATAATACTTTTCTATTTTTCCAGGCATTCTTTTTACATCAATAAGCTCTAATTGACATCAAATTTTGGCTAAAAAAGACGTAGTTCAGGTAGGTTTATGACGTTTTTGAGTGTCCAAAAAAGGTGATTAGCTCAAAAATCCTTGTAAAATATTTTTGAGAAAGACAAAACAATTCCAGGTCTTTTGAATTTCTCCCCCTTTTTCTTTTCCACCTTGAATAGATATTCTGAGGCAAAATAGATGAAATGGATGAGATTAAAGGACTGCGTAAATCTCTTTTTGGAGTAGGAAAAAGTCAGGAATTTCAATTTGGAGAAGACGACGTCTTCTCCTTTTTTTTCTAGAAAATCTTTTTGTTTTTTTTTCTCAAATTGAAAAAGTGCACGATTCCTCTATTTGTGTCCGTTCTTTGTACTCTATTTATATTTAATTTCTGAGATTTCGAGAAAAAAATTTCCGAATATTGGAATCTGTATTCCTGATTTTGCAAAAAGTCAAGTATTCAAAACTTTTTTTGAATAATTTTGATAATCTGATTCTTCTAAAATTTCTTGGAATTTTGGAATTTTGGAACATTAGAATTTTAGAATCTTCGAAATCCTGGAATCCTGGAATTCTGAAATCCTGGAATTCTGAAATCCTGGAATCCTGGAATCCTGGAATCCTGGAATCCTGGAATCCTGGAATCCTGGAATCCTGGAATCCTGGAATCCTGGAATCCTGGAATCCTGGAATCCTGGAATCCTGAAATCTGGGAATCCGGAAATCCTGGAATTCGGAATCCTGGAATCCTGAATACCGGAGCCTGAAATCTGAGATTCTGAAAATTTTAGGATCCAGAAGTTCTTGATGTCTACAATTCTGGAACCCTGGAATCCTGGAATCTTAGAATTTTAATATCTGAGAATCTCAGAATCTTTGAACCTTAGAATCTTAGAAGCTTAAATTTTATAATCCAGGATCCAATTTTATTGGATCTGAGTCTCCCCAAAAAATTCCAAAAATAGCAAAAAAGTCCTATTTCCATTTCCATCCCACTCAAGACTAAGAACCATTACTTCTCATTACCCTCCTCAAAACACTTCTGGATCATTCTATTCATTTTTTTCTTCACCCGAAAAATTTCCCCCATTTAGAATCCCTTTCAGAATCCCACGCCTTCTGAATAGAAGACGAATCCACGCAACGTCTTCTTCTTTTCTTTTTCTTTTTGGCTCCTCCTCTTTATCTTATATCTTTCATTCTGAATCATTCTTTTTGGTTTCTTCACTCATCCATTTTTTTTTTGAGTTTTCAGGTATATTCAACAGAAAATCAACAAAGGAAAAAATGTTGATCAAAATCATGGTGTTGATGGGAATCATCAGTTGCGCATCGGCGTTCACGGTGAGGAGCCATTCTAGAATTTCGTTTTCGAAAAAAAAAGATTTCAGATTTCAACTGTCAGATTCAAAGGTACTCCGAATCGTGTTTTGGAGAATATTCACCGAGGTAAGTGATGGCCGAACTTTTTGGTTTTTAAGGCCATTATTCATTTTTCAGAACTGGCAAAACGCTCGTACTCTCAACTCAATCAGTACGCCGGGTTTGATACACTTGGAGGGATGGGATTCGGAAAACGAAGCGAGCCAGATCAAGCAGGAGAGAAGCGCGCCGCTTTGGGCACTTTTGATTCTATTGGAGGTGAGTAAAACTGAAAATAAATAAATACAAGAAAGAAGGGGTCGAACCAAAGTGTTGAGATTCGAGACCCGCGCCACTACCGCTGCGCTACTTCACCCCAAAGAATCGAGTGCACTTTGAGCTCAATTATCTCGGTTCCTATAAAAGTAATCAAAACTTTGTCAACTAATAAAATATTTATAATACTATGACAAACATTTTGTCAGTTGATTACTTTTTGATATCTTCTACATCATTTGAGATACATAAACTCAAAGTTGGAGGGTCGGGCGGGCTTCTATTAGAGCGCATACGGTAGGTCTCGGCTGACAGAAACTATTTTTCAGTTTTTTTAAAATGATTCATCTCCCAGAAGATCAAAATTATTAAGCTTATGAGTCAATTTCCAGACGTAAGTGTGTTAATCCTATAGAATTTGAAATTTCGAAAAAAAAAAGTTTTTGACTTTGGTTTTTTGATCCGAACGCTTTCGCTTGTCGCCAGATATGTACGTTTTAAGCTCAATTATTTCGGTTCCTACAAAAGATATCAAAAATCAGTCAACTGATAAAAAGTTGATGATATTATGATACATATTTTATCAGTTGAGAGATTTTTAATATCTTTTGAAATAACCGAGATAATTGAGCTCAATGAGCACTATAGAGTGGACGATTGAGTGGACGATAGAGTGGACGGGTTTTAGCATTTTCTCAACAGAGCTGAGCTTTTTAGAGATCACCAAACTCAAAAAGTTTACATCATTTTCGAGACCAACTTATTGTTCAAACAAATTCAAAAATCATTAATTTCAAAAAAAATCCACGTCATCTGAATAATTTAAATTTAGTTGTGAAGATTAGGATAATCTAATCCTTTTCAAAGTTTTACTACTACTACTACTACAAAATATGGCTTTTTGATGATTGATGCTTCGCAAACTTTAAAACAAATTTTTTCAGGCATGGGACTTGGCAAACGATCGGCACCGTCCGTTTTTCTTTACGAGAAGCGCGCTCCACTCCAGATGACGTCACTGGATACACTAGGAGGAATGGGATTTGGAAAGAAATAAATGGTTATTGGAGAGAGATAATGGGCCTAATTTTTTTTAATGCTTCCAAATTATGACACTCTGAATTTTAAATTATTCATCACAACATAAATTGAATCGACCAATGAAGATGCTCCTTGTTTGTTGTTTTTTTTGCAAGTTTGTTTTTTTGGATTACCGTTTCCAAGAAATCGATATTAGGCGGCATTCCAAGTATTTCGGGCCAAATTTTGGTTGCGAATTCATAACCCATTCAAAACATACACACAACCTTTTGAACTCAGAAATTCAGAAGTTGTATTCCTTTGAGAGCAGTTTCTAAGTAAAGAAACAGGAGGATTCTTTTCAAAAATTTGTTTTCGTACCAAAAAACGAAAACTGCTGTCTTTTTGTAAACAAAAGTTTGTGGATATGTCTAAAACTTGTCAAAAAAGGTAAGTCTACTTGGCACTTCAATATTCCTCTGTGTGGGGGGATTAAAAAAGGCAAGATTTAAAAATTTAAAAATAGCGTAGAATCTATCCATCTGTATTATCACTGTGGCGAGCCTTATCTGTGAACTCAAATTCGATAAATCGTGAAACCTGTAATAGAGGGACCCCCAACATTCCAATTTGAACCAGTTTTTTTGGTTCCTGTCAAAGATATTTAAATTCTGCCAATAAACAAATTCTTTATCATAATTGCACAAACATTTTATCAGTGGAAATATGTTTTATATCTTGTATAGGAATTGAGATAATTAAGCTCAAACTTGACGGGCCCTTCTTTACATGTTTTTCGGAAAATAGATTTTGAAAATCAACTTTACTTCCGCGAAAATCCCAAAAAATAACTTGAAAACAATAAGGTTTGTACCCCAAACATAGAACTAGCTTCAACGAGAGTATACTAGTTTATTTGATTTGTGCGTTCTACCTGAGACAACTATCTAACCTGTCGAGGGTTCCCCTCTATGGGATATATGACTGAATTTGTTTAACTAGTCAAGGTCAGCACTCACAGCTCTACGCCTTTAAATGTCCTTTCTTCTCTTGTTCAACTCAAGATTCTGTAGTTTTGCTCACCATTATTTATCCACTACAACCTTTTTATCACTTTCAGAACAAATGATTTTATCCAAATATCCGAGAGTGGTTCAAAATGGGATATTCTACCATTTGAATTATTCCGATCTATTTCTGCTTTCTGTTGTCTCCAACAATATGAAAAATTGATCAAATTGTCCCAAACGAAACGATTCAAAGCTATCGATTCAATTGAGTATGGAACTTATATGAAGGGTGTATATCCCCGGGAAATACTTTGGAAAGATAATGCGATTGCGAGAAAAGGACGCTGGATATTACGATTTTCAGTTAAACGTGTTTGGAAAGATAATTGATTTTCGGTGAGTTACGATAAACCATAAAGCAGAAAGTTATCAATGCTTCAGATTTCGCGGATATTGTGATTGTTCAGAACCCCACCATTACTCTATTTTTGTGGCCTATTATCCCGAGTCTGACAAACAATGTGTATTTGAATCTATCCATAATTATCTTCTCGATTTCTTTGAAGATTCTGTAGATTATGTTTGGAAAACGGATGATTGGCGCTCCGAATATTATATTCCTTTCATTCCACAACTCAAAACGTATCATTTTGTATTACACTAAGGCTTGACTTAGATTTTACGGACATGGAAAACCTTGAAAACTTTTAATCCTCATCTCCTATTATGAGATCGATTAAATTGACTGCTAAGTCGACAACAGAATCATTCAATCCGGAATCCAAATTGTATCAAGCACAATCTATTGAGATATTTCCGTCTGATCACACTTTTCCCGCGTTTTTGCGTCATTTTAAAGGAAAACAGGCATTTATATCCTGCTTGACATGCGATGTTTTAGACTTAATTGAGTTTGTGAAAAAATGGAAACCAGGAGAGGCATTTCGAGCGCTGGAATACTTGAAAATCGGAGTCTATGAAGGTCGGATCCCACAAAATCAAGTTATGCAAGAAATCGGTGCAAAAGCGATTGATGCAACAAAACAACCAGCAGCGTACACTTTGCGAAAATTGTAGTTTCTCTTTTTGGACTAATTTCTTTAAAAAGAATACTTTTTCAGATATGATTGGGAGGATTTGGGTCCAAACACGGATCCAATTATCAGTCACTCATATGTTGTTAGAGAATCTGATAATCGTGTGGCATCTGTTCTAATCGAGGAAGATACACTCAGTTTTGGAGTATGGGACAAAACAGAGGAGGAGTTTTCGAGAATGATGGATTAATTTGACTATTTTGACTTAACATCCCTGCTCCTTTCTAAAAATTAAATTTCCATAAAACCTGTAATAAAGAAGAGCCCCTAAATTTTTGATTTTCAAAAAAAAAATCTCGGCAAGATATGAGAAAAAATTACCAACTAATGAATTGTTTATCATAATTTATTACAAACATTGCCATAACTTATTCATAAATCTTTTTTTTCAATTTCGCCATTCATTGTAATTTTTCCCGTCCCTTCACTTTCTTCTGTTGATGATAAACCTATGTATATTGTCCGGATATTTCTGATTTGAATCGATAGACAAGGTTTTCTAATTGTCAGTTAACCTATTCGAACATACTGTAAGCACTCTAGGACCTCCTCTCTATCAAATTTCCACTTTTCGCCAATTTTTTCGGTTCCTGTTAAAGATATCGAACAGCGATTACCTGATAAAATATTTTTCATATCATGATAAACACTTTGTCAGTTGACCACTTTTTAGCTCAAAGTTGGCTCATAAGTTGGCTCAAAAAATGGCTCAAAGTTGATGATTAGATGGACATTATATTAGAGTATTCACAGTCACATGTTAGTTTTAAAAATTGTAATAACAAAGTTCCCTAATTATATTGCTAGAGTAGAGAAATGAATACAAAATTCAAGAGCTACGAAATTTACAATCATCTTCCACCTTATAATGATTTTGCATACACATGTATTGCCATTAACAAACTACAGATAGTCCAAATCACACACTTTGAATATGCACGTTTTCCTAAAATATAGTTTCATTTGTGTTTTAAGCTAGAGTAAATATTCAGACAAAAATCTTAAAAAAGAGTCATAACCCAAAGGTATGTAACACATTCTGTATTGTTTTCTGAAATCGCCAAAATGAAGACCTGGACAAAGGAGAGTAAGTTTCAAATTTTTCAGAATAAATATGAATATAACGGAATTTTTACAATTCCTCTTCCCCCACTACTTCCTTTCTCATCGAACTGGAGAACCAGAATTTTCAATCAGAAATCCTCAAAAATTAGAAAACAATTATATTGGACCTTTATATTATTTGTGGTTCTACATTTATCAATATTTGCTATCAGATGGATAGTACCTAAAATTGGTCATGATGAGAGATTGTTTCCAAAGTGAGTCTATGAAAAATTACAGTTTAAAAACTTCTTGAAAATTCCAGAAATCTTCTAAATGACACTAATGCATTACACGAACACCGGACGAGAATAGCAAATGAGTCATTGGAGAATTTTCAGAAATTTCAATTTTCGAACGAAAGTGCAGAAGTTGAAATTCGGGTTGTAGCCTCGGATCGAGGATATAATTTTCTTTATCAGGTCTCGATTTCTTTTTTTATAACTAACTTTTATAATTTTTTGTAGACAGTATTATTTTTGCGAGAACAACAAAGTCTTTCAAATTATCACTTGAGAATTTGTAATGTGGAATCTGAAATTTTTCTGGATCTTCGAAGATTTGAAAAACTGGAAATCCGATTTTCACAGTCGGTCAAGGATTGGAAAAAGGGAAAGATTTGAATTTGACGATTGAAAAAGAGAATAATGACTACTGGAAGTGTTTGGGGTTGGAGACCAAGTCAAGGTGAAATTTTGGAATTAAAAGATTAAAAGTTTAAAGAATTTTAAGATTCTAAAATTCTAAGATTCTAAAATTCTAAGATTCTAAGATTCAAGAATTCTAGGATTCCAGGATTCCAGGATTCCAGGATTCCGGGATTTCAGGATTCCAGGATTCCGGAATTTCGAGATTCCTGGATTTCAATTCCAGGATTCTAAGATTCTGAGATTCCAGGATTTCAGGACTCCAGGATTTCAGGATTCCAGGATTAAAGGACTCCAGGAATCTTAAATTCTAATATTCCATGATTCCGAAGTTACAGGGAATTCCAGGATTCTAGGACTTCATGATTCTAGAAACCCAGGGATCTAGGATTCCGGGATTCTAAGACTCGGAAACTCTAATATTTTGAGGTCCTGAGATTCCAGTATTTCAGGATTCCAGGATCTTAAGATTCTAACTATAAGATTCGACGATTTCAAAATTCCAGGACTACAGAATTCTGGGATTCCAGAATGATAGGATTTTAGAGTTCTAGGATTCTAGTATTTTAGAATTCTAGAGTTCTCGACTCAAGGACTCCAGAATTCTGTGGTTCTAGGGTTCTAGGTTTTCAGTATTCTAGGATTTTGAGATTCTGAGATTCTAAAATTCTAAAATTTCCAGGTACATATTATTAATCGAAGATGACTCAATTGTGGTTCCTGAATTCGCCAAACTTTTAAATTACCTGGTTTCGAAATTGGATTTTTATCAAAAAATTGATTTCGTGAAACTATACCACCCTAAATATTTGAGGAGACCCCTTCACTAGTTTTGGTAAAAGCAGCGAATTCACTGTATTGATAATTGTTTTAATTTCAGACCATCATCATTTCCATCGTCATTTCATTTTTCTCTTGCTTTCTTATTCAACCATTTTTCAAGAAATTTCGATCGATCACTTTTCTGATATTATCTATTTTTATATTTTTCTCTATCAGATCTTATGGGCCACAGGTAGGTACCTGAAAATGGAAAAATCTAGAAACTTCTATTTTCAGTTCCCCGCAGATGTTCGATTCCAGCTAGCAGGCTCCGCCTACATCTCGACTTTCGAATCTTGTTGTACACAAGCTGTGATTTTTAGGACTTCTTCTGTGGAAAAAATGTTGGATTATGATAAACAAATGTTGGATTATGATAAACAATTAATCAGTTTACCGATTTTTGTTATGTTATCTCTCATAGGAACCGAGATAATTGAGCTCAAAGTGCGTGTATAGGATAGGCTCATAGTTTGGGGAACTACGGTAGTTTCAAAAGCTGCTGAGCTCGAAATCATAACGATTTTTTTGAATATCAGTAAAACCGAAAAAAAACCTAAAATTCCCAAAATCTAAAAATTCTGAAATACCCAAAATCGGAACACTCCAAAATTCCGAAAAAATCGAAGAAAAATCCAAAAAATTGAAACTATGAAAATTCGAAAAATATCTGAAGATCCTATTTTTCAAAAGTCAAACGAAAGTTTCAAAATGTTTCTAGAATTTTCAGAGATCTTCAATAAGGAAAATTATTTCTTGAAAATTCGAAAATCGGAAGACTTTGATTTTTCAAATTTCTCAAAATCTTTTCATCGTTCAAATTCGATTAAAATTAATGAAAAACCTATAAAATTTTCTATCCCTCGTTTTCCTGCTCTCCAAAAACCCTCTAATTCCATCGGAAATCCAATTTTCCCTCCCCAAAATTAATCTCTGCCATTTCGCAATTTTTTCTCCCATTTTCGAAACGATTCACATTTTTCGCTCCCAAATCTCTATCTATTCAAAAGAATATCTGACTGTCTGTGTGTCTATTTTTCCAAACTTAACGAAAGGCTAGAAGAAATAAGCTAACACCAGAAAAATGTCTCTCTGGGTTTGTCTACAATTGACAAATAGAAAAAAGGTTGGAGGGAGAGACTTTGGAGAGTAAAAGAGGAATTAATAGAATGATGACAAGGAAAAGAGAAATAGAGAATGTTTACTTTTGTGAAAGAATCGCAAAATTTACGAGTAGTAAAAAGAGACGACAGGAAAAGAGAGAGAGAGAGAGAAACTGATTCATGATTCACATACTCTTTTATTATTATGCTTATTTTGTACGGAGTACACTTTTTTTAGGGAATTTAGTTTTGAGTTTGGAGTTTTTGATAATTTAATAAAGTTTTTTGAATTTTTGGTTCATGAAATGGGAAAATGTCTCTTGTTTTGAAATATTACAGCGGTAATTTTGGAAACATTTTGTTAAAAATTCCATCGAGAAGTCTGTGAGATTCTAGTGAGAATTCTGTGACTTTTTGATTTCGGCAATTGTGAGATTTCAGTTTTCCGATATTTAAAAATCTTTCAAAGAATTTTTTTTTATTTGGAAATTAAGAAAAATCTGGAAGCTTTGAGTCGAAATTTTCACATTTTTCAGAAATTCTGAACTTTGGAAATTCGGAAGTTCAGAATTTCAGAACTTCCGAATTTCGGGACTTCAGAATTTTGTTTTTTTTTTTCAAAATTTCAGGAATCTCGGAATACAAATATTCTGGGTTTCTGAGATTCTGAGATTTTGAAATTCCCATATTTTGAATTTCTGAGATTCTGAAAATCTGAGATTTTGAGATTCTGAGAATCAGAGATTTTAAGATTCTGAAAACCTGAAATTGAAAAAATCAAAGTTCGTTAATTCAGAAGCCAGAAATTCAGAATACCGAAATTCTGAAATTTGAAAATTTTTAAAATTCAAAAATTCTGAAGTTCGGAAATTCTGAAATCCTGAGCTTTGAGAGTTCTGAAGTTCAGAAGTTCAGTAATTCTGAAAATTAAAAATTCGAATATTCAAAAATTCAAAAAGTTCCGAAAATCCAAAATTCAAAAGTTCAAAAATTCAACATTGAAAAACCCATTTCTCAAATTTTCTCCATGTACCTTTAAATATGATGTGACAGAATAAATACATTTTCATGCCGTGTTTTCAAAGAGCATTTCCACAGATAAGTCTCTCTTTTTCTCTCTTTCGCTTTCTAATTCTCTCCCCTCCTCACACTATTCTCTTATCAGCTTATCAGTGTATGTGTCACCTAGACAACCACTCTCTTCATAATCGGAAAAACGACGGAGAAGAAAGAAAAGCGAATGCATGGCATGGAATAATATATTCGTCTCAATCGTATGGCAACTTTTTTGGGCTTCCATTTTATATTTTGTGCTGGAGTTCGGGATTTCGGTGGTCAGAGGAGCGGTGCCGAAGATTGGACATGATGAGAGATTATTTCCAAGGTGAGTTGTTATTTCAAAATATGTAGAAAAAATTAAGAAAATATGAAAGTTTGGAGCTTCTAGGAAGTACACAAAATTGAAAGTCTCAATACATTTGAAAACGATAAAATTGAATTTTCTTTCGATTCCCAAATTTTGAGAATGGCCATCTTGAGCGTTGAATATGTAATTCTGAATTTTTCTGATATTCTGAATTTTTGAATACCTAATTTATAGATTTCTGAAATTTCTTTCGTTTCTGAAAAAAAATGTTCTTCTCAACTTCCAGAAACATTATTAACAATAACGATGCTCTGAATCGACACCGAGTGAAAATAGCAGATGGAATTCTCCAGAATCTTCCGCAAATCACACAAAAATCCAAAAATCTAGAGATTCGAATTGTCGCTTCAAATCGAGGCAACGATTTTTTGTATCAGGTAACCCTTCTCATTTCTGAAATTTTGAAACAAATAACTTTTCAGACAGTCCTATTTGTTCTGGAACAGCAGTCCGCCACTTTCAATTATAGTTTGAGCATCTGCAACGTGGAATCTGAAATTTTTCCGGATCTTCGAAGATTCGATAAACTAAAAATTCCAATTAAGACGATTGGCGAAAAATCAGGAGAAGTTTCAAAAAATCATTTAAATTCTACAATTGGAAAGGAAAATCAGGACTACTGGAAGTGTCTAGGATTGCCAACCGAATCAAGGTTTTTTTAATTGTTAGAGTTTTCAAAATGTTGAGATTCTGAATTTCTCAGATTCTGCGATTCTGAGATTCTGAGATTTTGAGATTTCCAGATTTCAGGATTCTGAGATTCGGAGATTCTAAGATTCTAAGATTCTTGGGTTCCGAGATTCCGAGATTTCCGGGTCCCAAGATTCCCGTATTCAAAGTTTTTGAGATATTGAGATATTGAGATATTGAGATTCTGAGATTTTGAGATTCTAAGATTCTAAGATTATAAGATTCTGAGATTCTGAGATTCTGAGATTCTGAGATTCTGAGATGCTGAGATTCTGAGATTCTGAGGTTCTGAGATTCTGAGATTCTGAGATTCTGAGATTCTGAGATTCCGAGATTTTGAGATTCCGAGATTCTGAGATTTTGAGATTCCAGGAATCCAAGTATATTTTAATTTCTCAATTTTCAGATATATCTTGTTAATAGAAGATGATGCCGTAGTGATTCCGGAATTCTCGAAACTCTTATTTTCACTTGTCAAAATGTTAGATATCCATGAATATGTGGATTTTGCGAAGCTCTACCATCCCAACTATTTGCGGAAACTCCCGTCTTATATTATGGCAAGTTTGCTCTATTGAGAAACATTTTTAAAATTTTGTTTCAGATGGCTTTCGCCTCTATCACTATATCCTTCTTTTCCTGTTACTCCATTGCCAGATTCTTCAAAACATTCCCAATTTTTACATTCCTCATCCTCTCGATTTCCCTTTTCTGGAATCTCACATTCTACGGGTGCCAGGTAAACCATTTTCTAAAATTTTCTCCAAACAAATAATTTCAACTTTCAAGTTTCCCGCTGATTTTCGCTACTACCTAACCGGTTCCGCCTACATATCGTATCCCGAGTCTTGCTGCACACCTGCTGTGATTTTTCGACAATCTTCTGTGAAGAGAATGCACGAATATTTTGTCAGGTCCCAAGCTTTTAGTGGTAAGTGAAACTGTGCGCACTTTGAGCTCAATTATCTCGGTTCCTTTGAGAGATATCAAATACATGTCAACTGATAAAATATTGGTGATGTTATGATTAAAATTTTATCAGTTTACAGATTTTCAATATATCTTAAAGGAACCGAGATAATTGAGCTCAAAGTTGACGGTATGAGAACGATTTTTCTTTCAGGTCATGCCAAAGATCATATCCTCGACGAATCGCCATTTACGGGTCGCCAATCCGATGTCAACTACGTCACACATATCGGATCGTTTAGTTCAGTACGGCAACGTGCTGTTTATTTGTCGGATTTGAGGGAAAATTGACTTTTTTTGATAATTCTGTGATAATTCAAAGTTGTTGTGATAAAGTTTCCCATTTTTTAATGAATTTTGTGTCTATTATTATTATTATTATTCTGGTACAAAACAATAGGAGCTGTGGCCGTGGCCAAAGGTCCCACAACGACAACTACAGTAACCTGCAACTCTTTTTCTGAATTTATTGACTTCATTTTCGTGTGTTTTCAGTCATTTTGTCCCCTATCAATCAAAAATGTTAATTTTCTGACTTTTTTAATTTGGAGTTTTTGGGAATTTTATCAAATTATGATAAGTTTTTTTTTTGGTTTTTTTGGCTCATAAAAAGCATTGTTTTGAAAATTTCAAAACTAATCAACGTTGGTGATAGCTCAATTGGAATGTCCGGGATCCTCCATTTGTGAGAATTCGAGGATTTTTGAAATTCAGTTTTCGAATATTCCAAATTTTTGACAATTTTTTAATGATGCTGATGATCTAGGTTTACATGTTTTCAAAACACTGATCGAAAATCTACAGTAATCTGACGTAAATCTACTATTTTCATTTTTTTTTAATTAATAAAAGGATCAGAAATTCCGCGTGCTGACAACTTTCATGAACTTTTTTCTCTTATCTTATCTCTAGATCTGATCTACAGGTGCTATATAAGCTGGAGAAATCAAGGAAAAGTCGGACCGAGGAGTCGATGAGGAGTCAGATTTGCAACGTGGTTCCAGGGCAGCTGGGATGGCAAGGAATCCGATTCATTCTACTGGCGTCTCTACTCGGCGACGATTACTATGATCGGCAACGAATGAGCAAGGAGGATTGGATATTGGATGCTGGATAGAGTTGGATGCTGCTCACTGTCAGAAAGCTTCGGATGCGCTACTCATTGCTATTTCGTTTTTTAGAAGACTGATCAACGTCATTGAAGTAAAAAAAGTACTAAAAGGCCTCAGGTCGCCATTGTTTGGGGTTCATGGCTAGGTGTTTATCACTGAACGTCCCCCTTTTACCAAATGACCGAAATCATATTTTTAAAGAAAATGAAATAGCAATTGATAGTGTACGCTGAGCTTTCTGGCAGCAGAAAAGGATCTGCTTTGACAAACCGACTTACGACTTCAAACCTTCGACTTTCAAAGCTTTCACTTCCTGATAATTTTTCACATATCTTTTTTCTTTTTTTCATCGAATTCTTGTCTTATCGAATTTCATTGAATTTAGATTTTTTGGGATTTCTGAAGTTTTAATAGCAAATATGACTAAAGTTCAAAAAAGTACATTCTTGCAAAACTGTATATAAGCGCCAACAAGTTCTGGAACAAATATTATCATACTTGGGCCTTCAAAAAGTTGGTCAAGGCCCGGCCCGGGAGGCCCGGACAGTTTTTGCCAGCTTCCAAATTTAGGAAAAATGTTGTGCATAGCATCTAATTTCAAGCTGAATTGTAAATATCGATTTTTCAATTTTAAAAATAATTTTTTTGCGGACTTTTTTCCGGAGGTGGGATCGGACTGAAAATTGTATTTTTTTTGAGGCAAAATAAAAATGTTTTCTCAAAACTTTTTTTGTTTAAAAAATTTCAAAAATTTATCAGAAAAATGTTGAGAAATTTCGCCCAAAAAATTCCTTTCCTTCAACGATTTTTGCAAGTATTTCTATTATAGAACCACAAAAACCTTCAATCCATCTCTCTCTCTCTCTCCTCCTGCTGCTGCTCTAGTCCGGAAAATCAATTAAAACGTTATGAGAAACAGAAGAAAATCGACCTAAAACAGCAAAAAAGGAAAAAGAAATTCGGCGAATATCAATTTAGAAATTCCTTACTACGTTATTGAATGCGCAAGCTCGATTTTTTTCCGGCAAATCGCAGCTGAATACGATTTTAAAACCAGGTCCCCGGGTACAAAAAACACTACTTTAACAGTTTAACAAAAAACGTCATCGAAAAAAATGACACAAAAAATCTCTGTTGAAAACTTTTTTTACACAAATCCCTTCTAGAATTTCATGTCACTTCTCATCATCAGTCTGTCTGCTCTGCGGCGAGGAAAATTGTAATCTTTGAACATTTTGATGCACAAAAAGTGCAATATTAAGTGCAAATCGAGATTCGCCACGTGGATTTTACAGATTTTCAGCTCAACCCACAACTCGTGCTGCCACGTGGCATTCTTCCGCGACTCCGTTCTCTTCGAAATCTGAAAAAAATTTCAAAAAAAAACGGAATTGATGATAGGAGGGGTTTTGTTGGGTCGACGAGGAGTTGGAAACCTGCCAACTTCTCAGGTTATGATTTGATTTTTGAGTGGATGTCACTCCACTTTTTTCTTGTTTTGCTCGTAAAAATTTATCTTTTTTTATGTCACGTGTTGTCTTCTCGGAACTTTTTCGATGACGAAGTTTCTGGGACATGAGGTGGAGTTCCGGTGGTAGTCGAGTGGGATGGTGTCATTCGAACTTCCACCTAAAACTTTATCTACAACTCAATCACTACTAAATAGACTGATTTACATGCTATAATTGTCTTTATTATGACACACACACTAAAAGCTAACCGTAAGAAACTATTCTCTTTGGGATGCTATTTTAAAAAAGTACACACGATAGAAGGCTATAGATATTGGACAAGAATCGTCGGTTATTATCACCAGAGGGGCAGAATTCAGCTCAGTCTGGCAATTTACAAATGGGGCGAATATCACTAAAAACAATAATTAATAGTACAACCGGCTAGTTAGAAGGAATATGATAAAATATGTTCAAGATAGGAAGGGGTGCAATGGGGGACACAAATATGTACAAAATTGGAATTAAGCGTACTAGTCGTCGAAGACCGAGTGTTGCTTCTGGAAGTTCTGGCGGTTCAAGAACTGCGCAGTGATGTCCATGAGTGGTGTTGGCACTGCCCAAAGTGGCATCGGCTCGTTGGTCATTGTCATCGGCACTGAGAGCTTCTGAAGTGACTCGATGATCTTCTTTCCAGAGGAGAAGCGCTCCAGGCGGCTAGAGTGACGGTTGACTCGATTCTTGATACGGTCGAACCATTTTGCGTAGAGTCGCATCTCGGTTGGTAGCATTTTGCGCTCTCTGAAAATTCCGATGTTTTAGATTACGTAAAAATTAAATATATAGCTCACTCTTTTCCGAGAAGCGCCGAAATGCAAATCGAGATCATCTGTTGGATGACGTAGTTTCCGTACTGATGGAACAGGAGGATATCCAACGCATCCCGATTTGTCTCTTGATCTTTGACATATCCGTCGAAAATCTCCTCCATCATTTCCGAGAGCAAGTGTGGTGGCGCGAAAAGGAAGGCTCCTTCGATGACGTGCGATGCGTATTTGTCTTGTGACATCGACAGAATGTTTCGAAGGAGACACTTCTCGATGATCGTGTCCCGATACATCTCCATGACTCCAGAAGACTTGATGACGTATTGAACCACGTAGTTGGCGAACTCGTTGGAAGAGAGACGGAAACAATTGCGAGCGACAGAAGTCATAAGGCCATGGAGGAGTTGGAGTCTCGTGTTGAAGCATGGGCTCTGCGAATTAAAGATTTATTGAGAACTTGTTTCAAATAAGCTACCTTTGGATTATCTGACAACTTGTCAATCGTTTGCTGGACAAGACGACATCCGTACTTGTCCTGACACACTGTCATCAGATTGTCATCGCGGCATAAGAACTTGACGAAGAAGCTCCAAGCGCTCACTGGAAGAATCTTGACAACTTTCTGAAGAACGTGAATGGCACATTGATCGGTGCAGAGAGGAAGGAAGTCCAAGTTGCTGATTTTTTCAACGAGCTTCATTGCATTTGATTCGTCGAATTTTTGAATGGAGAGCTGGACAACTCGACAAGCAAATTTATCGAGACATAGCTCGATGAGTCCGTTCTCGCTCATTGTTTCGACAAGTCGGTATTGCTCTTCCAGTGAAGCGTGTTCCACGAACTTTTGAATGATGAAGTTCCCAGCGGCACTGCGACAGAGGCTTGTGAATACGGCACTGTGTTCCGTGAGCTTGTCGAAGAGAATACGATGCATCTCATCATCGTTCTCAGCTGGGAAGTGCCGCTCCAGGAACTTGACTCCAGTTCTGTCCATAGCGAAATCAATTAGCGATCCATTGAGAACAACATCCGCAAGAGTGAGATCGTCGCGAATGTTGCCACTGGCATCGACAGCCCACGCTGGCAAGAGACGAGTCGAGCGGACGTTGCTCTGGAAGTTTCCGACGAACGACGAATTGTTGGCGCTGAAATCGGCAAACGATTCGCTTCCGACAGAGAAGTCGGCGAGACCGAAGTCAGCTGGAGTCAAGTTCATCGGCTCCTTTGGCGTTGATTGGGTGAGTGCGGTCAGGCGACACGGATCATTGGATTTAACAAACGGATGTGGCGAGTACAGAGCGCTTTGACTCCCTTGTCCCGCGAAGTTGAACATTGGGATGTTGGATGAGAAGACTCCTGAAAAAATTCGGAAATTCGAGATAATGCAAAAAGAATCAAACCTCCATCGAAGGATCCGCTGAAGATGCTGAGATCCGCGGTCTGCTGCTCGCTGACCGACGAGGAGTCGGACAACTTCGAGTTGCTTCTTCCGGACGTCTCACTCATATTGACACAGAATGAGGATGTTACAGGTTAGTATCTGTAAACGGCGAAGGCTTCGCGAAGGGTTGAGACAAAATGAGACAAGAGCGAAAGCCAAATGATGATTTTGAGACAAATTTGGTTTTTTGGCGCCTTTCATTTTCTCGCGGGAGCCATAAAACAATGATCAAAGCTAACGAAACTCTTGAAACGACATTTTTATTCAAAAAGAACTCAGGAAATTCAAAATTGTCAGCTTCGCGCTTTCAGTACAGTAATTGGGAGTAGGATTTGCTATATGTCCTGCACATCTAACTTTGTTTTTGTGTGCATTTTTACGTAGTTGTGTTCGCGACGAATGCGTATTATTCTCCGACATTACCTGAAAATCCACCGTGCATTTCATACAAAAACTAAAAAATACACAGAATTCATTCCAGAAGACATTAAAAATGCTTTTCAAAAAAAGTTCATGCATTCTTCTTTTTACGAAGTTTCTTCCTGTCTTCGTCCTCGCTTCTTTTTTAAAGTCTCCAGATAAAATCTTTTGCTACCGTTCCTCCGTAATTCTTCATTCCTTTAATCTCGCGCCACTTTTCCTGCCCGCTCCCAACCATCATCACCCCATCCCTAAATTCAAACATTCCCCTCTTCATGCCTTTGTTGCTTACCGCCAGAGGCGGAAATCTCTTAAAAGGCGTAGGCGGAGGAAAAGGATGGTGCTGCAGATGATCAGGCCATTTTACGGGCTCTTCGAGCTGTCAAACTACTCGATTGCACTACCAAGTGGGATACGAGGTGCTGAGAGAGTGTGTAAGAGATTGTGTGAGGAGTGAGGCACTCGTGTAGCCGATACAAGACAAAAAATAGGTTTTTTCTTGAACTGTGCAAACAGATATGAGGTGATTTTGTCGTTTGGGTCAGTTTGCTCCTTCTCAAGTCCATTTGTTTCATTTTTGCTTTTTTTCTCATTTTCTATGAAAAAAAAACCATTTTTATAGGAATTTCCTGAATAATAAATAGCAAAAAAGTATATGATAATAAAGCGATGACACAGAAGGAATGCATTGCTTTCATTGTTTTGGAATTTCATACGAATGTTTTTCTATATTTTTCCTATTTTCCCTCCTCACTTTTCCCCATTTTTCTTCCTCTCCATCAGTTTATTTCTTCTCCGAAATCGTATTTTCTTTATAGTTTTTTTTTTGTGTTTCCCCCTTCGCTCGCACCATTCTGAGTTTTTTACAGGCACAGACGGGGATGTCCTTCACACTACTCCTTCTCGTTTTCTCCATCCCCATGTTCAGTGGTCTTGAGTTGAGGACGAAGCGGTCCGTGGCACCGTTTTTGGGCTCCGGAGGCTCTACATCCAACGCAATGCTGATTCCTTATAATAATTGGCATTGTGGAAGCGAGGGCATCTCGAGGAACTTTTCGTATGGCGTTGTTCAGAAGGATTGCCCAACTCTTGCAGGTAATTGGTTGACTTTTTGTTCTCTCACTATTTTTTTCCATTTCCAGCCGCTCTCAATCACTGCTGCGCAATCCATGACGATTGTTATGGACGACAAGACGGGCAGGAGAAGTGTGACGAGGAATTCTGCGAGTGCAACCGGGTTAGAGCTAAAAACCTATAATTCTTGTTGATTCTCAATTTTTCAGATGGTGACTCGTCTACCCACCGAGGAAGGATACAAATGCCGGGCTGCCATGAACGATGCATGCCGTATCCTTCGGATTGTGGGGATGTTTGCCTACGGTAGCTCAGACTACACGGATCCAACGAAGCCAGCCGGAAACGAGGAGCTTGTGCCACAGACGGTGCCGAGCATTGATTATGATCATTTGTACAGTAATTGCCCACATGTCAACAGTGAGTTATTAGTACCGAGATGTCATTTAGCAGCCGTTGAATACCTTAAAACCTATATTAAAATGGCCCCTCTAATAGAAGGGTCCTCCGAGAGTGGCTTGGAAAAATAGAAGGGCCTGACAGATTTTACATGAATTTTGAACGAAAATTCGCCGAATTTCGCAATGGAAAATTTCGAAACATTGGGCGGAGAAATAGAAGGGCTCCCTCTAATTGAAGGGCCCTGTAGAATGGCCTTCCGGAGGTTCCGTAGGGCCGCCCCTTCTAATACAGGTTTACTGTATGTCATTTAGCACTTTTTTACAGTCACCCTTGCCTCGTGTTCATTGAATTTCGATCTCTGCACATCCGTCCATTCAATCGACTTCTGTGCCAATGATGTAAGCTCATTTTTTCCTTAGATTTTAGGGCCAATTTTGATTTTCAGCTTTGTCACTGCATGATGGATGCCGCGGAGTCAGACAAACTTCACCAACACTGCTTACCTGCAGTTGCTCATTCTTGCAGAGGAATTTTGAACTGTAAGTCTTACTTGTTCGAGCTCAACAAAAATAAGTATTTTCAGATTCCAGTAAAGTGCTTGCAGAGCGAAAATCTGCAAAGATATTTATGATTGTGAGTTCTGTCACTTTGTTGAATCTCTTCGTTAACTTCATTTTTGCAGCTCGCTCTTGTCGTTGTTGCCGTTGTTTCTATCGGGTTCGGGGTTTATTACATGTACAGCAAGTCGAATAACGAGCGCAACAAGACGACGGACGAAGGAAAATACCTGCAAATCCATACAGTTGAATCGGCTCGATCAGTCAACCCGTTGCTCACCAACGCCGATTGAAATATTCTCTCTTCTCGAAATAATTGTATCTAGGACCACCCTGCCAAATATTGTCTTAATTTATAGAACCCGCTCTCTTTGTTGCTCCTTTTTTGTTTTTTTTTTGGTTTCTATTGATTTTATTGCACCCATTTAAAAATCCCCATTTAAAAACTCCTCTATTGCATCCAGAAATAGCGCGTCGAACTTACCCTCTCCACTAATATTATCGCTTTTCTCTTTTTCCCAACGTCATCAAAACCCCATCTTTAAAAATACGAGCTTGATTGTTACCACAGTTACCACGCCATCGCGGTTGGGAACCTGAAAAACGCGCGCTTCGTCGCACACAAAAGTTGGCTGCGTGCCAGATTCGAAAATTTTGAAACGTGTTTTGAAAAAACGTGAAGTTAAACGTTTTTGAGTCGCTACTCACCGAAAAGCCGCGACGCGACCGCGCTACGCGTCCAAACTTGGCGCGCTTTCCAATTTTTAAATCTAGGTTCCCTTCCGCGAGGCCGTGAGTTACTTTATTTTTTGTCTTGCACCACCATTCCGGGTCGGAGAGACACGGCTTCTCTCCCAGATAACAAATGTATTACGGCTAGTTTTATCAACCACCACCATTTTCTTTTGAGTTCCTATGGAATAAATACTACATATTTTAATGAACTCCGAACCCCTTTCTGAACATCATCATCCTTTTCCCCTCTTTACTCGAAAAATGCAAAGGCCATGGTAGATAGTGGTGTCAGAATTAAGCGGATCGACGGGTAATCTCTATTTTCTACCCAAAAAACTGTTTCGACTGTGTAGGCAGGTAGAATCGACATATGTTTTTTGTGTCGATTTGAACAAAAAAAAAGTTTCAAATGGATTTTTTTCGTTTAGGAGAAAAATGACATAATTATTCTTGTTCTCTTTTTTTGTGTCTCAAAATCTTCAGGTTTTTAGGACAGCAAAGATCAAACGAACTTTCTGGTTCTGTATAGATTTTTTAGCTTTGAATTTCGATTTTTTAACTTTTTTTTAGAATTTTGAAACTTTGTTTTTGAAAAATTTCGGTCATTGTTCACTTCTTTTTTTAGCCAAAACCCTTCCTTCTAGAATTTTAAAATTCGATTTTTTTGAAAAATTTCCATTTAAGGACCAATGAACGCCTTCTGGCTGTCGGCGTTATGCTGTATCGTCATAGTATCTGGAGTGCACGGCCAGACCGCCAATATTATCGAAATTCCAATTCCGACGGTGAGAAAGGGGGAAAAATTCAAAGCTCAAAGAATGATTTAGTGATGCATACTTTCTCTTTGAGCTCAATTATCTCACTTCCTGAGAGAGATATCAAAAATCTGTCAACTGATAAAATGTTTCTTATATTATCAGCTACATTTTATCAGTTGACAAATTTTTGATATCTTTAACAGGAATCGAGATAGGTGAGCTTGAAGTTGACGGTGACTAGCGGGCAAACTAATTGAAAGCTAATTAGAGAAAATAAGGCAAATGTTAGAAAAATACGAAATTTAATCAAAGTTTTAAAAACTGGGTGTCACTGAGCATACTATTTGTTTGAATTCCGGATAAAGAGATATTTGGGCTAATGCTGACTGAAAAACAGTAATTTGTAGAAATTTCAAAAAACAATTCAGAAAAATTCGAAAAAAAATCCAACTTTCGAATTTTTTCAGAATGCACCTCAAGCTTCGACAAGTTGCACAACGGTAAGTATCATAGTTTAATCGAGAGTTCGAAAGTTAAAAAAAGAGACATTTGAGCATTTTGTTTCTTTTTTTCGTTTCTTTCTTTTCAACTGATTCGAAAGTTGCAATAACTTCCTACCGTGATCACTCTAATAGAACGCTACTATCTTCCAACTTAGAGTCAATTTAGCTCTGTTCTTGTGAAAGATATCAAAAAGTTGTCAACTGATACAAAATTGATGATGTTATGATAAATAATTTATCAGTTGACCACTTTTTGATACCTTTTATAGGAACCGATATAATTGAACTCAACGTGTGCGCTTCAGGTTCTATTGTGCGGTTCAAGATAGCATCTTTTTTTAGTGGACAACTTTTTTGTACGACTCAATGAAGATCTAGTATTGTACACCTACATAGATCTGTACGAAAATGTTATCAATCTGAAAAAATGGAGCCATATTCTTGTTCAATATTTCCTGAGGTATAAAAACCATCCTTTCATTTCTAGCTGATATTTCAGAACCTCGAAATCCGATGTTTCTAATGAGAGAACAAAATTACCATATTTGCTCTAATAGAAGCCCACCCTATCCCTACATGTTGAGCTCAATTATCTCGGTTCCTATGAAAGATATGAAAAACCTGTCAACTGATAAAATTTTAGTGATATTATGATAAATAATTCATCAGTTGGCTATTTTTTCATATCTGGTAAAAGAACCGAGATAAATGGGCTCAAAGTTAAAAGATAGTGTTATATTACATTACAGTATTTATGCTATCTTTTCTTTTGTGGAACTTTAGAAGCATGTTTTTCTGACAACTACATATTCCATTTCCTGAGAATCCCTATTTTCAAGCTTATTTTAATTTCCAGGCCACGTGGCTCGTCTGGTCAGACTGGTCGACTTGCTCCGATGAGTGCGGCTCTTGTGGAGTCCAAATGAGGACTCGTACTTGTTTGACAACTGACTCATCGTGTACATGTCCAGGGTGAGTTTGCAAACTTTTTTTTCTTTCTGTTTTAATATTTCGTTAGACACCGTAAGACCGGAAATAGCAAGACTCTTTAATTTTGAACTTTGAGCCAATTTATCTCGATTCGTAGAAAATATCAAAAAGCTGCCAACTGATAAAATGCTTATCATAATATCAGGATTGTTTTGTCAGTTCACCCATTTTTGATGTATTGCATAGGAATTGAAATAATTGAGCTCAAACTTGACCAATTCTACTTTGAGCTCAATTATCTCGAATCCTAGAAGAGATATCAAAAGTTTGTCAACTGATAATACGCTTGTTCTACAATCACCAACGTTTTTGTAGTGTACAGATTTTATGATATCTCTTACAGAAATTGAGATAATTTCTATTAGACGAATTACAGTATCCTTCATTTTAAAGTTTTTGACAGTCGAGGATCTTTTGACTCAAAGTTACCAATCCCAGAAAATGTGCCTTCTGACGTCTGCCTTATTTTTTCAATTGAATCGTCGGGAAACATTTAGAAAGTTTGAAGTGTAGGCTAATTAAGTAGGTGTGAAGTGAGGAAGGTACACACAAATGCAATTCTGACACATTTTTGAAGTTTAAGGATTATAATTTGATTAAATTACAACTAGAAGGCACAAAATGTAGACTAGACATGGTTTTTCGAAAGAGTATTGAAGTGAATGACTAGTAAAAAAATCTAAATTTTTGAAAGATTCAAGTTGGAATTTTTAGAAAAATCCCTTTGAGCTGAATTATCTCAATTTCTGTGAGAGATATCAAAAATGTGTCAACTGATAAAATGATATTATATTTTTATGAGTTGGCAGATTTTTTATGAATTGGCAGATTTTTGATATTTTTACAGAACTTGAGATAATTGAGTTTAAAGTTAAAGTTATGGTAGTTCAAGTATTTAGAAATGCGATAATTGTAAATACGGTGTTTCTAGGAACTGGACACCAAAAAATTTAAAAAGTAAATAAAAATTAACAAAATACTAGACAAATAGGTAAAAGAAACAAGTATCAAGCTCATCGGGGAGTCGAGATATGGGCGTTTGAAGTTTGGAGAAACTCAGGCATCTATAATATCTCGTTGTCTGCGCTCTCTCGTTTTCACATCGTGCCTAGCCTCTTTTTAAACTTTTATCGGCTGTATCGCAACTCTCAGACGAGCTTGAAAGTTGGTTTTTTTAATGACGTCAGTCGAAAAATAGATAGCGTTCTAAAATCAATTTTCCTAAAACCATCCTAACAAATTCTCAAAAAGTTAATCTATTTTAATTTCCAGAGGCGCAACTGGCGTTCAATACTGTAATCTGGACATCTGTAGGTATCCACGTACCACTTGCTGTAACAATTTCAGAGTGACTTCCTATCTGGGAAGGTTTGCCTGCCTCAACGCTACCATTATTTTATGATAAGCTTTTTTGTCTTTGTGGTTTTTTCATAAATCCGTCTTCCTTGTTTTTCGTAAAATAATTTTGTAAAATACTTTATTCCAGAATAGAGATCTTGACAATATTAGTAATTGTATTCTTTTTTGTTAAAATTCTTATCACAAAATATCACAAAACTCGGTATCAATGAACACAATATGGTCCAGTACATGTTCATGTTGATTCATTGAACTGGTCGTAAAATGGAATAGGGAATGAGAAGGGGGATTAAAAAAAGAAAATACGAAAATTTGAGGACACAAACTACATTCACATTTTGTGTACCACAACCATCTCGTCATCAATTGATCCTTTTCCACTGTCCTTTGACTCTTTTTCCATTTTATCCATTAAAGCGGATTCTTCCATGAGGCGTGCCAAAACACTGGTGTCTTCGAAGAGCATTTGTGGGCGGTCAACTGGCTGAAAATCAAGGAATTTGCAATTTTTTTGAATATTGGAAATTTGGGTCCATAAATATAACGTTTCCCAGATTCTGGGAGACTTTAAATTTCAAGTTTTCTGTCTCAAACTTTTATATCATGCAAACCAAAATTTTGAGAATTTCCGAAATTCGATAGTCCAGAAAGTTGAATTTCAGGAAACCGAGAAACATGCTCCAGAAAATACACCAGATGAATATCAGACCATTTATAGGCTAAAAAACTGGTGGCCTAGAAAACGCATCTTGCCATAGTTCATTCAGGCCACCATGTTCATTCAGAAAACACACCAGGTAAAATTCAGACCATTTCTAGACCAAAAAAGTTGGTGGCCTAGAAAACTCAAATTTCAAAAGTTAGGCCACCAAACTAAAATGATCTGTAAAACACGATTTTCTGGAATTAAGTGTTTTTTTTCCAACTTATAAACAACTTTTTTCTTTCCAAGACCCTTCTGAAAATTGAAACTCTATTTTCACATTTTACTAAAAACCCTTGTGATGTATGAAATGATGACATTGAAAGATTAAAAAAGATAAGGACCGGTTGAATGTTCGTTCCTTACCTGAACAAAATCGCTCTCATCGATGGTGATATTCGTCACAAATTGAGTTGGAGCTTTTGAGATTACTGTAGTTTTAGGTGTCTCTAGATTTTTCGAGCTCGATTCGACTTCCGCCACTTCTGGAATATCCAAATCCAAGTCCAAATTCATCATTGCTGCCGATGATTTTGACTTTTTCAACTTGAATTTTTCGGATAATCGTTTGATGGTGGCCATTGGTCCCGATTCTTTTTTCTCGCAATTTTCTCTGATCATTTTCTGAGCTGCCGTTTTGATGATCATGTTTTTCCAAAGGTCATTTGCGTCCAAAGTTGGAGAGAGTGGAGCTCCGTTGACGAGGACACGGCCTTCTGGAGTGTATCTGGAAATTTTCAAATATTTTTTGTCTGTTACTGAGGTTCCAAGATTCTAAAAATGTTAAAATTCCAGGATGTCGAGACAGATTTCCAAGTTTAGAAAATTTCCATTTTTTCCACTAATACGATGTTGGAAAGTTGCAAAACCTTGCTATTTGACTGCTATGAACTCCAATGATTTTTTTAAATCTGGAATTTTCTAAACTGAAAAATCATGGAATCTAAAATCTCAAAAGTTTTCCTGATCCGATTTGCAGGCTTCCAGAATTACTCTACCGTATTCCTCTCCCCACAAAACTCACGTTCTCAATGGATTGCTCCGTTTTCTTGCGTCATAAAGACTGCTCTGACGGGCGGCCGCATAGAATTCCACCGATGATTCGGCACCACTATTCATCATTCCGATCATTCTCAACTTGATTTTTTGCGCTGTTCGATTTTTCAAAGTTTCTAAAAATTCCAAAAAAATTAGATGGCAAAACATACAAAATTAGATAAGAAGAGGAGGCAAATACGAATACAAAGGTCACATTAATTTATGTTTACACACTGAAAAAAAGAATAAAATCAAGTGGAAAATGGAAGAAAAGGAAGTAGAAGGGAAAAAAGAAAACACGTCTTCTGATGTCGACGACGTTGTCGTTTTTTTATTCTTGTTGTCTGATAAAATGATACTGATTTGGCGGATATGGGAGAGAATAAAAGAGATATGTAGAACCGATTGGTTTTGTGTATTGATAAGAAAATGGGAGATGGTTTTTTGGAGTTATTTGGGTCAGAAGGAAATATTGTGAAACAAGTATTTGAAGGGACTCTCTAATAGAAGGGCCCTTCAAAATGGGGTTTGAAAAATAGAGGACCTAAATAATCTACAAATTCCACTTTTTTCAGAATTTAGAACTTTTCAGAATGCAAAAAATCCAGAATTTGGGGAATTCTGGAATTTCAGAATTTCCTAGATTCAGAAAGGATCTCAGAAACATAAAATCTTAGAATTTTGGAATTCTGTAATCCTAGAATCCTGGAATCTCAGAATCTCAGAATCTCAGAAACTGATAACCTTATATTCTTAGAATTCTGGAATTCTGAAATCCTAGAATACTAGAATCCTGAAATCCTGGAATCCTGGAACGCTGAAATCTTAGAATTCTGAAATGCTGGAATCTTAGAATCTTAGAATCTTAGAATTTTAGAATATTAGAATCTTAGAATTTTGGAATCCTGGAAACCTGAAATCCTGGAAATCTGAAATACTAGAATCCTGGAATCCTGGAATCCTAGAATCCGGGAATCCTGGAATCCAGGAATCCTGGAATCCTGGAATCCTGGAATCCCGAAATCCTGGAATCCCGGAATTTCGGAATCCTGGAATCCTGGCATCCTGGGATCCTGAGATCTAAAAGAATCTCAAAATTTCAGAATCCAAGAATCTTGAAATACTAGAGTCTCAGAATCTCAGAATCCTGGAATCCTGGAATCCTTGAATCCTGGGAACCCGGAATCTTTCAGAATCTTAGAATCCTAAAAATCTCAAAGTTTCAAAAATACAAAGAACAAAAAATAAACTAAACTTTCAATGACCCAATAAATCCAAAACAAATGACTCGAATATGGAACATTTGACTTTTATAGAAGATGATAAATGACATCAGCAGTCTACATCGTCAGAAGGCATTACCTAAATCCCCACAAGAATTGGTGCAGAACCCTACAGAAAAGTCTGGCTACTTGACGGACTGTTCTGATGTTTTTGGCGAATTACGACGAGAGGCAAAAAAAAAGAAAAGAATGGGAAAAGGAGGAGGGTGATGGTTTTGAAGAGGGACATCAGAAGACGTGACGTCACCTGAAAATTCGATTAGAATCATGATTCATCATCTTTTTCATGGAAAATACACAGATCCAAAGTTGGAGTCTTATGACATTTTTGTTCCAGAAGTTTTGATTTATAGTCACAAATAGCGGAGGATTGAAATTTTGGAAAAAAAAACAAGTCAAGGTTGTTTCGAGTAAAATCCAATTAAAAAATGTGGGAAAAGGTGTCAACATTTATATCGAATCGAATACATTGATCCATGGTTTCTTTGCAAAAAAAAATGTTGGTGTCAACAAGTTAAAACCACAAAATTGCCGAACTTCTACCGTAGTATGAGTCATTTACGCGCTGGGAGCGGAGGACTATGATGATGATAGATAATTGTTTACCCACTATCAGTTCAGTGTCTGACATTTTTTTGGGATCTGCAAAACCTTTGATTTTTTCAAATTTCAGCAAAGAATATGAAAATTGAAAAGAAAATTTCTGAAAAGCGAACTAAAAATCAAGCATTTTTTATGGTCAGAAGAAATGTAAGAGCCGTAAAACCTGAAATAGAAGGGTCCCCTAACTACCAAATTTGAGCCAATTTATCTCGTTTCCTGTCGAAGATATCAAAAAGTTGTGAACTGATAAAATGTTACTGATACTATCATAACCATTTTGTCAGTCGACATACTCTTGATATCTTTTAAAGGAACTAAGATAATTGTGCTCAAACGTGACAGTGTGGGGACCCCACTATTTTTCGAGCTTTCCAACTTTTTCCAATTCTTTAAATTTGAACAAAATTCCAAAACATTTGAAAATTCGAAATTTTCCTTTTTACAATTGTTTTTCCAACATTTCGAAATTCAATAATAGTTTTCAGAAGTTCAAAAAAAGGGAATCCAAAAAATCCAAAAAATTGTTTTTCATAATTTCATTAATAACCGAAACAGAATCAAATCCTTGACTTTTCCCCAATATGTTTGATCCTTTCTCTTTTATCCAAAAATGATAAAAGCGCTTACAGGCCAAAGATATGAGAGGAATTTATTATCTTGAGGTCAATCTTTTTTGATACGTCGCGGAAAGACATGTAGGTTGATTAGCTTTGGAATTTGGATAGGTTTTTCTGATTCGATGATTCATGGGTTTGGCAGAAATCAGAAATTAGCAGAAAAAATTATTTAGAGGTGTTATTTTGATTCTGTGGTTTGGCTCAGGATCTTCAGATTCTGAGATTCCGATTTGATTTCGAAATTGTTTTTGAAATAAACTTTCTATAAAACTTAAATATTCTAAATTTTTTGAAGTATTTCATAACTTCAGAATTTTAGATCTATGGTTTTTGAGATCTTAACTAACTTTCCCTAAATAAAAGAACCAGAATATTCTGAGCCTATTCAACCGTAATCTAATTTGAGTGATATCATCGGATAGAGACAAAACAATAAACAACAATGAATGTAGGTTACAATGTGATTGATTTGGTAGAAGAAAATATTGAAAGAACGCGACAAAAAGTTATCATAGTTCAGAATTACAGAAATCGAAGTTTGGTAGTTATTTGGAAAAGGGGATTTTTCATTCTGGAGATTGGAAAATACATACAATTGAAAAAAAACGTTTCAAAAGTCGTGAATTCGAAAATTCAGAAGTTCGAATGTTCGGAAATTCAGAAATACGAAAAAAACAGAATCTCAGAGTCCCAGAGGCTCAGAATCTCAGAATCTCAAAATCTCAGAATCTCAGAATCTCAGAATCCCGAAATCTCAGAATCTCAGAATCTCAAAATCTCAGAATCTCAGAACCTATTACAATAGAGTTTCAGGTTTTCCAAATTTCAAAACCTTTTATAATTGTATCGAAAATACCAAATTTTTGAATTTTAAAGTTTCCTTTGGCAGGAAAAAGAACTTTAAAAAAATATTGGAACAACTTTCTAGAAATTCGTACTCATTTTACACTTTTCTTGGAACTATTATAGAAAAAGTGAAATTTCAGTTCTAAACTATTTTTTGAAACACATCATTTCTCCAAAAAGTAGTTTCTCGTGATGAGATGGCATTACGACCTACTTAAAGATCCACCAAAAGGCAGTTAATCCAAAAAATACCGTTTTTCTAAATGACTATATTTTTTGCCTGCAAAAAAAATTGGTGAAAACGTCACTTTCAAAATCAAATAAGACTACAAAAGTCGAAAGATTTCGAAATAGTATCTGGAATCAAAAGAAACCGTAAAATGTTAAGAAGAAAATGACTGGAGAGGGGGATCGTAAAATTGAACAAAATCACAAAAAGAAACAGGGAAAGTGGGAGAGAGAATAAGAATTGAATCATCTTTGAAGGAAACAACGATAAGAAAATGGAAAGTGTGTTCTGACAAGTATGGCGGTAAAAATTGGCACGCTGTTTTAAGTCGCAAGGAAGGATTTTTTAAAAGTTTGACGAAATCTAGAAATCTCTACAATCTTTTCTGTCCAATCCCCGATTTTCTAGCTCGTCTAGAAGCCGACATACAGCTGTTTGAAGTTTCAAAGGTTAGAGACGCAGTGTGTTTCGCCGTCTGCGTCTCTAGCCTTCAAAACTTCACATAACTAAATTTCGGCTTCCAGATGAACCGGATTGTCCAAATTCAGAAAATACTGTAGGACGGATAGAGTAGCTTCTATTTCAGGAGGCTAGAGACGCAGACAACGAGACACGCTGCGTCTCTAACTTTCGAAACTTCACATGGCTGTATCTCAGCTCCTAGAAGCGCTAGAAATGTGATTTTCAAACAGAATTGACAGAAACATTTCTTGAAACCTCACTATCTGAAAACTAAGCACAGAAGTTCCTTAGAATCTCAAACTTTCATAAAGCTCAGAAAACGGGAAATTCAGTATATGAGCATTTTAAAATCCTAGGAAATTACCCATTCTTCGAGTCTGAAAAGCTCAAAAAAATATGAAAAGTTACAATTTTTTTGAATTTCCGAAATCTAGAAGCAATACTGCGGAATTTCAAAATAATGAGAGCTATCAAATTCTAAAAACATTCAAGTTAGGTTTTCATAACTTGAAAATCTCAGAATTTCAAAAAAACTCGCTGCTTGGAAACCACATATTATGAAAATTATAGTGAACGATTAAAAATTCTATAGGGTTCATAAAATACAATAACTTTTTGAAAAAATAAATAGATTTCGGTTCTCGATTTTTCTCAAAATCTAAACAGAAAACCAAAAGAAATTTGATTAGTCGGAAGAAGAATATAAAAATGTTGAGTACCAAGACAGAAGTCACTCCTTTCTTTCTGTCAATTTATCATTTTTCTTTTCCTTCTCCGTATTTTATATCGAACATTCCCAGAAGGAGATGCAAAAAATTCGAAGATGATTGGTTAGTTGAAATGTGCCCGATGTCTTGAGAGGAGAAGTTTCGAAATACAGTTTGGCGTTTTACGGAGGCGTTTTGAAAATCATGTCTTCTGTCATAGTTTTCTCACGTTCCAGGGGGGGGGGGGTCGGGAAACAAGGCAGAATGGTTAATGAACAGTAAAAGAGTTAAAAAATAGCCGGAAACTATTGGGTTTTGAAAACACTCCTTTGGCAAAGCATATTGATAAATCAACTTTCTCAAAAAATAATTTATTCTTTCAATCTTCCAATTCAGAACAATGTCAATTATCATAATTCTTGTGATCCTCCTCCGCTCGCTCCTTTCTTGTCGTTGCTTGTCCTCCAGCGACGTCCTACGTGCCTTTACGATGTACGGTGGAGACATCGGTCCTCCTCACGTCATCAATCGAAAACCACCGGGGGAATCGAACTCGTCCTTTCCATTCCCCTGGTGGTCCCACAACCGCACACGTTATCCTATCGGCTACGTGAACGCTTACAGGTGAAGGCATAGAAGACGTACAAGAATATATGGCCATCTGGAGGTGAAGGGGGTCCCACGACCGGATGGCGTGAAGGATGGTGGTGACTGAAAATTCGACGAAAATTCGAATTCAAGAAACCTGAGTCATTTTCCGTTGAGCAATACGATATTTCAGAAGTTCAAACTTTCCGAATTTTGGTAACCTTCGAATCTAAGAATCTCAGAATATGTCTAATTGTAACAACTTTATCAAAAAATCATTTATTCTTTCAATCCTACAATTCAGAACAATGTCAATTATCATAACTCAAGTGATCCTTCTTCGCTCGCTCCTACCTTCGTTCGCTCCTTGCTTGTCGTTGCTTGTCCTCCAGCGACATCCTCCGTGCCTTAACGATGTGCGGTGGAGACGTGGGTCCTCCTCACGTCATCAATCGAAGACCACCGGGGGAATCGAACTCGTCTTTTCCATTCCCCCGGTGGTCTTACAACCGCAAATGTTATCCAGTCGGCTACAGGGACGCTGACAGGTGTAGATATAGAAGACGTATAAGATTATAGGGCCATCTGGAGGTGAAGGAGGTCCGGTAGATCGGATGACATGGAGAAGTAAAGCGAGAGGCTGAAAAAAACTTCAGCATAGTCAAAATTTAAAGTGTTCTTGCTCCAATTGCATTTATTGACGCTCCAAAAAGAGGTCAAATTATCACAATGCCTCTTAAAATATGTGAAAGCCCTGTAATGCATATAAGAATACGTTTGAGCTCAATTATCTCAATTCCTATAAAAGATATCGTAAATATGTCAACTAATAAAACATTTCTAATATTATGATGAACAATTTATCAGTTGACAATGTTTCCATATCTTTCACAGGAACAGAGAAAAATCGCCTCAAAGTTAAACGTATATATTTTTCAAGTCCCTGCCACTTTTTTTTCGGATACTCTCAACGTTTCATTGATGTCTCTCCTTTAAGAAGTTTCCAGTGTCTCGATTTCCAGTTTCAAGGTCATGACAAGATATCAGTGACAAATTACCTCTCTTGATTTTACAACGTAATTCGAAAACCCACAAGACGATCTCATGGCGTTGTACCTGTAGTTTGTACTTTTACTACCAAAAAAGTCCTAAAATTCCTCTTTTACCCCAAACTCTGCCACATATTTTATCGCTTTTTTCGCACTCGTTTTTCTTCCAATTCTCTTCTTATCAATGTCACATTTTGACCTGTTCTCTTCTTTTTGACCGAACCGCCAGTCGCATGGTTTGCCTAAATGTACCCAGTTCGTATTGCACCCCATTTAGTGATTGGAAGAGAGAGAGAGAGAGAGAGAGAGAGAGAGAGAGAAAAAAAAGAGTAAGATTGGAAGAATGAATTTAGGTAATTTGATATAATTGGAAAGAGTTCAAAGGATCATATTCGATCAGTTTGCACGTGGTGATTGGAGAAATTGAGATGATTGATTAGATCAGCAGCAGATTCAGAAGTTTTGGAAGGAAAAACATAAAAAAAATTAGGAAGACAAATATGGTATTTTCGTTGACAAGTGTTGTGGAAACCAGTTTTGGGAATTTAAGAACCCCAAAATCTTCAACTTTGGTATAACTTCGCAATCCTTTATTATCTCATGCAGTACCTAAAAAAATTATCATATTTTGACTTGTTCAATGGGAAATATTTGATTTCGAGCATCTACAAAAGTAGACCAAAACTTTTTTGATGTGTCTGAAAATTTTCAGAGTGTATTAAATAAAAATAGAACTTCATTTTTGTAGTTGACAACTTTTCTGAAAAATCTAGTCCCAGGAAGATATGCCACTTGGAAGTGAGCACCCTCCAAGGCGCTCCCACCGGAGCATCGCCAAAAAATCAAAAATTACAGTAGTTGGTTACACCTTTGGGATTTTCCTGCAAATGTTTAGGTTTCACTAAACAAAACAAGAGCTTCATTTTTGTAGTTGACAACTTTTTTGTTACTTTTCTGGTTTTTGAGATATGCGCCTTTTAAAGTACCGTATCCCCCTCCCTCCTCTTGCAATGTAGCTGCTTCCATCTTTAAAGGCGCATGTCTCAAAAACTGAAAAATCTACAAAAAAGGTATAAACTACAAAATTGAAGCTTTTGTTTGGTAAACTTGAAGCTTTTGTTTGGTAAACTTAGAGAATTTCAGAGAAATGGGAGAAATTCTGGAATACTTTTGTAAGACTTCAAAATTGACTACTTTCCAGTGAAAAATCAAAACATTAAATATTTTTGTTGGGTATTGTAGTTTGAAAATTCTAAAATATGAAAAACGATTCTGATGGCCAGAGTTCTTGCAATTCAACTTCCAAATTTTGCATTTCTAACAGCCAATAAAAGTTTTTGGAACTCAAAATTTCTAATTTCCTGATAACGACGTTATCTGAAATCGTAAGACTTTTTGTTCTTCGAGATAGTGGCACCAGAAAATGTTGCGAAGGATTGAATTTTCAGACCCCAAGACCGTGTTATTCCGAATTTCTGACGTCTTCTGAATAGAAGCATCATCTGACGACATCACCATAATTGATCAAATAATAACAACACCTTCTGAACTTTGCTCCTCCCCGAAATCAGTCTATATAAATCCCGTTTTCCGATCAGATCACATTTCGCTCCTTGATCTCCATTATTTTTTATTGATTTCTTTTTCTTTCCTTGATCATTTAACAATTAAAAAAATACAAAAACACTATCCAATTTCGTTGAAACCGTTATCTTCTCTGCATTTCTTCTCACACCCCAAAAACTTTTTTCTCCCCTAAATTTGATAAGAAAATGATTTCGATGCGAATTTCGAAAAAAGTGGGCGGAGTCTGAATCCTCCCCACGTGTCGTTGAAATCTATCTTTGGTCGGTATCAGCCAAATGGTTATATAAGGATTCTGAAAACATTGAATTGGATGTTCTTTCAAATTGAATCTCACTTTTTAGTTGTGTACTCTTACGTCAGATTTGTTTTGATTGGAAATCGTGTGATCATCTGAATTTCTTTCTTTTGAAGATTTATTGTTTTCTTAATAATATGATTTGTTATTTTGCTATTAACACATCTTTAAAGATATTTTAATAATTAAACATCATTTTTCAGATTCTCGAAACACATAAAAAATTTAAAATGGTCGCCCCATCCCGCAAGAAGTCCATGATTCAGCATCATCAGCATGATCATAGCGTGAGTTTCAGAATCTTAGAATCATTGGGAATTTTTGGAGTCACAGAATCTCAGCATCCTAAACCATAGAATCCACGAAACCAGAGGCCCAAAAATTAGGAATCGGAAAAATCAGGAAACTAGAAATCTGGAAAATCCGTGAGTCTAGAATTCTAGGTAAGAACTAAAAACTCGGGAGTTTCGAAAGATGTAAAAAATCCTAAAACATTTATTTTTATCATTTTTTCCGAATTTCTCAAAAATTTCAGTTTTCTAGGTGTTGAGAATTCTCTGATTTTTCTATTTTTGTGCATTTTAGGTTTTCTGTGATTTCAAAACTTTTTACTGGGTTGATTTTGTTTTTCAAGCTCAGATTTTTTGATTTTAAGATTATTGGTTTATGTTGAATTATTGGAATTTTTTAGAATTTTTCGAAATTTTTGGATTTACTTCCATGTTTCTAGAATTTTCGGACTTTTGAGATTTTATGGGGGATTGGAATTATTTGGATTTTCTTCAATTTTTCGGAATTTCGAAAATTTTGAAATTTTCGGGTTATTTAGGCTTCCTGGATTCTCTAAATTCAATTTTTCCAAAGTTCCCAAAATTTCGAATTTCTTCTGGGTTTCTAGAATTTTTCTACAACCAGCATACCTTAAAACCTGTAATGGAAGGGTACCACTCTGTCAAGTTTGAGCTTAATTATTTAAATTCCTATGCAAGATACCAGAAGTTTGTAATAATAATAATAATAATAATTTATTGATTCAGGACTATCAGTCACTTATAAAATCAATGTGTTACAAATTAAACAAATGAGTTAGAAATTATGTTTGTCTAGGAACAGGAAAGAAGATAAATTAACATGACTTAAATTAGTTTTAAAAGAGATGGATGAAATCAAGGGTGGGAACACGGTTCTTGAAAGCGAGTTCCAGCAGGATATAATACGGAGAGTAAGAAATTGAGCAGAAAGTTTTGAAGCATTTTTTAATGTACAGCAAATGTAATATGGGTGGCGTCTTAGATGAATATGATGAAACGGGACAATGAATAGATTATGGGCAATTTCAATTTCCCGGGAAACTTGAGTTTTATACATAAAAACTAGATCGGATAGAAGTCGACGGTACTCTAAGGATTCTAAATTGTGATCACGGAGACAATCATAGTAGGATATATAGGGATAGTTGAACTTCTTGAAACATCGGAACAGGAATGGCTTTTGGACGCCTTCAAGAAGCTTGATTTGCTCCTTGAGGACGGGGGAGAAAACAATTGTACCATACTCAAGAATGGGGCGAATGTAGATGACAATTTTACGAAAATATCCATTTTAGACCGGCGGAGAACATTAAAGAAAATGTTAATTCGTTGGTGTGCTTTCCGGAGTGTGGTAGCGAAGTGGTCAGAGAAGGTCAGTGACGAATTAAGAATGACTCCCAAATCACGAATCCTCTGAACAGTTGGCAATCTCTCGTCATTAATTGAAAAATGATTGTTAGTGTTATTAAGACGTCTTTTATGAGAGAAAGAGATAGCTTCACATTTAGTGGATGCAACACTCATTTGCCATGTATCACACCAGTTCTCCAGTTTTTCCAGATCACTTTCAATATGCATTGGGTTAGTAGAGAACAGTTTCAAGTCATCAGCATAGAGTAGAAAGTTGGAAGAAAAGTTATATCCTATGTCGTTAATGAAAATGAGAAACAGATGCGGTCCGAGAACTGAGCCTTGACACCCGAGAGGACTTCCGTCTCTCTGGACAGCTCGCCATTCACGATTACTCGTTGTGTTCTGCCAATGAGAAAAGAGGAAAGCCAATTGTGCATTTTAGATTTTTTTTTTCATTTTTTTCATTTAAAGGAGGCGAGACAGCAAAAATTTCGGGGCAGTTCGGGGGACGAAATCGCGCCGCGCTTATGTAGACCATCGGTCGTCAGGCGCCTTCGCGCCCCCGTAAAAAAAACATTTCTGATATTATGATGAACAATTTATCAGTTGACACTTTTTTGATATCTTTGACAGGTACTGAGATAAATTGGCTTAAAGTTAGGCGCCCTTCTATTACAGGTTGTACAGTATTCAGTTTCCTGTATTTTATAGATCATCTGAATTTCATTAGTTAGGTTTACAAATTTTTCAGAATTTTCATTTTCAGCACGAAGGAACCCCCACAAAAACCCACCATCACCGTGTGAAACAAGCCGAACGCAAAAGAACCGCTAGTATTTCTAAAGAAGACGGAATCGAGTACAATAAGCGAGTGCGAAAACTTCACAAAGCGTTTTTCAATCAAGTGACAGATGCACCACATGTGGAAGGGGATAAAAAAGATTCTGGAAGTAATTCAGACGCCGAATTGCCACTTTTCGATCCGGACTGTGATCCAGAGAATCCAAAGAAATTGGTGTTTTCCGACATTTCAGCAGCGGCATTTAATATTAAAAATGGAGTTCAGACAACGCCTTGTGTGGTGAGTGTCATTTAAATTTTTAGAAAAAGTATATATGACCGAGTTATTTGTTTCTAGGCCACTGCTCATTTTTATCATTCTTGGGTGATTGTTGATAAAAAAAATGATATTGACTTTAGATTTTAAAATTCAGTGAATTAGATACTTTCAGAGATCCCTTCAACTTTCCACGAAATGCGAAATGGATCTTTACTTCAAAAAAGAGTACCTTCAAGTGACGGGATCATTCAAAGAACGAGGCGCCCGTTATGCTCTCTCCCGTCTTGCTGAGCAATACAAAAAAGCTGGAGTTATCGCAGCAAGTGCTGGAAATCACGCCCTTGCTCTCAGCTATCACGGACAACAAATGAACATTCCGGTTACTGTAGTGATGCCTGTGATTGCGCCACTTATGAAAATTCAATTCTGTAGAAGTTTGGGAGCAAATGTGATTCTTAAAGGAGAAACTATTGCAGTGGTTAGTCTCAGGAATGCGGGTTTTGAGAGTTTCTAAAGATTTTTCCAGGCCAAAGAATTTGCTCTCCGTCATGCTAAGGACAATCATTTGAAGTATATCAATGGCTACGATGCTATCGACATCCTGGCTGGTCAAGGAACCATAGGACTCGAAATTTTGGATCAGGTTCCTGATGTGGATACAATTCTAGTACCAGTTGGTGGTGGAGGATTAATTGCCGGGATTGCAGTGGCTGTGAAAACGCTGAAACCCGCAGTTCATATTTATGTGAGTTTTTCACAATATTTCGATTTTCAGAGTATTTTTGAAGCAAAATTCTAATTTTAAAGGTTTTTTGAAGCGAACTTTTCTATTTTCCAGCGCTTTTTCAATTTATTATAGTAAAATTAGGCTCCGCCCCTTTGTTGTGATCCTTACTCAGAAATTCGAAAATTCAGAATCTCAGAATCTCAGAATTTCAGAATTTTGGGATCCTAAACCCTGAAAAAACCTGAACTTAAATTTTTCACAAAATAATCTCAAAAATTGAAATTTTCGGAGAGAAAGCTATTTTTTTATAATTTTGACGACTAGACTAAATTTCCTCACCGAATGAAAGCCATACTCAATTTTTCTATAAATATATTTCCAGGGAATCGAGGCTGAAACATGCCCATCATTCACTGAGGCTTACGAAGTGGGACATATCGTCTCCGCTCAAGCCAAAGCCTCTCTAGCCGATGGTTTGGCCGTTCCGACCGTCGGCGGAAATTCGTTAGAAACTGCAAAAGGATTAATTGATAAGGTAGACAGAGTGAACTGATAAAATATGTAGGTCACAAAACTGATAACCTTTTTGCAGGTTATCACTGTCAAAGAAGAGAGTATTGCGTTGAGTATTCTAAGATTGTTAGAAGTTGAAAAGGCCGTTGTTGAAGGAGGAGGTGCTGTTGGTTTGGCCGCGATTCTAGAGGGAAAAGTTCCGGAGTTGAAAGGAAAGAAAGTGGTTTCAATTCTATCCGGTGGAAATATCGATACTACTGTACTTGGAAGATCCATTGAGAGAGGACTAGCTGTTGACGGTCGTTTGGTTAGATTAGAAGTAGTTGTCTCGGATCGTCCAGGAGGAATCGCTGAGCTCACAACCACCATTGCTCATCTTGGAGCTTCAATCAAGGATATTTTCCACGAGAGAGCATGGATCTCAACTGATGTTTTTCATGTAAAAGTCAAGGTTGTCGCAGAAACACGTGGCAAGGAACATGTTGAAGAGATTGAGACGGCGTTGAAGAAGATTTATGATAATGTTATACTTCATTGAAATTTTCTTTTTGTGTTTTTTATAAGTCTGAGATCTGGAGGTGTCCAGTTTGAAGACTTTAGACGGGTCATTTATTTTAACTAAGTATCTCCAGATCTCAGATTTACAGCGCTCCCTGATAAGCGATTTTGAAGATTTACATCTGAAATTTTTTAATTTGACTTGTTTTGTGGGGTACTGTAGCTAGGATGTGAGCAATTCGGGAATACGGTAGAGAAGTGGAGGCTCATATTTTGGCAAATTTTTATTGTTTTTTTTTGTTCTTCTAATTTTTTGTCTTTAAATATACAGTAAAACAATTTTTAAAGTCGAAGGAGTCCAATTTTCAAGTGTTGGAACAGCATACTGTGACGGTTGGCTAGAAATGAGAAGGTTTTAGATTTTTAGAGATTTTAAGATTTTGGAATTCTACTATTTTGAGATCTTGGTATTCTGAATTGATTTCTGACTTTCTATTTTTCGAAAATTTGGATAGTTCGAAATTCGAATTTTCAAGAATTTAAAACTTTGTGAATCTTTCAACATTTTGTAATTTTATATTTTCAGATTTTTTGAAAATTCGACATTTTCAAAATTATCGTATTTGTTGAATTTTTTTTTGAAGTTCAAAATTCAGAAGTTCAAAATTCTAACAATAAGTTTCTAAGATTCTAAGATACTGAGGTTCCTAGATTCTGAGATTCTGAGATTCTAAGATTCTGAGATTTTGAGATTTTGAGATTCTGAGATTCTAAAATTCTGAAATTTTGACATCTTAGTTTCTAGGATTCTCAGATTCCAAGTCCTATCGAAACCTTTAAAAAAATAGTCCGAACTCACATTAACACTTTGCTGACATGAATAATTATAAGGACACTGACTGTAAGTAGTAGGCGTACACAATTTCGGTGCACCATTCACCAACAACGTTTTTCCATTGATACAAACTAGAGACGAGGCTAATCGACAGCATAGAAATTGGGATACTTGATTGGAAGGAGCACATGAGAATCCGATAGGACACGAGGTGTCTAAAACTGCTGTACAGGTACGTACTGCATTGTCAACTTCGTTTCGGAAAGGATTCCAACCAGTGGGACAGGAAAGGTTTTCAGGGATAGGAGTGGATCCTGTAATAAAGAATATTTTGTCAAGTTTGAGCTCAATTTTCTCAATTCCTGCCAAAGATATCAAAAAGTGGTCAACTGATAAAAATTTTACCATAGAATTATCAACATTTTGCTATCTCTGAGAATCTCTTATTAGAAACTCGAAAACACCATGGCGATGGAAACATCCAAAATGGTCCTAGGAGTCTGATATTGTATGTGGTGGGTATAGGGGCTACTCTAAGACTTTTGACCAAGATACCCACAGGCCACGCCCCCTCCTGGCCGCGATATAATACCGTAACCCCGAAAACAATTTTTTGTTCAAAATAATAGTATCGACTCAAACGTTTCAGATTTGAGTTTTTGGTACTATTATGATCATTTTTTGTCTTGGGATCAATTTTCTACAGTAACCCGGAAGTAGAGAAAATTTCACTTGCTTGAATTTTTTTCACTTTTTTGGAAATTTCTCAAAAATTTTCCATTGGTTACTGATGAGAACAAGTCTTGAAACTTTGCCAGAATACTACCTATTAAAAATACTACATATGGTACAAATTTGGTCAAAATTGGAGATGGTCGATTTTGGGCGAATTTTAGTTGCCATGTACTCTCCCACATGGTGTTTTCGCACTTTTCCGACTAAAACTCTTCTTGTGCTGAAGATATGCAAACTCAAACAAATATCTTCTAATGTAATTTTTTACGCTGGTTTCGAATCTGACATTATATTTTTTACACTAATGTCAAATTTTTCACGACGACAGATTTTCTGTGTTTTTTTTCAACTTAGATGAAAAATCAAAATTAATGGAAAATTTTTGAGAAATTTCCAAAAAAAAGTGAAAAAAAATTCAAGCAAGTGAAAGTTTCTCTACTTCCGGGTTACTGTAGAAAATTGGTCCCAAGACAAAAAATGATCATAATAGTACCAAAAACTCAAATCTGAAACGTTTGAGTCGATACTATTATTTTGAACAAAAAAATTTTTTCGGGGTTACCGTATTATATCGCGGCCAGGAGGGGGCGTGGCCTGTGGATATCATGGTCAAAAGTCTTAAAGTGGCCCCTATACCCACCATACACAATATCAGACTCCTAGGACCATTTTGAATTTTTCCATTGCCATCGCCTGTTGACTCGATCTCAATTCTCTCAGAGAATGTGCATTAATAACCTTATGATATCTTTCACATGAACCGAGGTAAACTGGCTCAAAGTTGCAAATTAAGGGGGTTCTATTGAGGAGAGTTTACGGACTTTGAACTCATACATATATCTTATTTCCTGTGAAAGATATCAGAAAGTAATCAACTGACAAAATGTTTATCATAATATCAACAAAATTCTGTCCGTTGACTACTTTTAGATATCCTTATAGGAGCCGAGAAAAATTGGCTTCTTTGGGGACTCTTCTATTACAGACTTTACGATAATGTCTCCTTACCTGTCAAACAACAAACATTCACAAACGAGTCGTCAGATAGCGCACAATCGTATCCAGATGGACAACTATTCAGTGAACTTGTAATATCACAAGTATACGTTTCTCCAACTCTCTGTTGATATACAGGCCGCCCATCCGCACATCCGATTGAGCTTCCAGTGGATCCTTGTCCACAGCAAACGTATGTCGCAAGCAGGACAGATAGTTGACAAGTGTAGCCGGTCTGGAAGTACAGTAATATTTCTCATCGATCAGTATGTTCAATTGTCTTACCGATGAGCATTGCGTTCCCGGTGTCGTACACAACTCTAATGCTCCATTTGTGATCAACGCATTCTGATTGTTGGCACATATTCTTTGAGAATTCGCAGATCTACAACAGATAAAAGCGGTGTTTAGGGTGCTCTGCATACAAGAAGATCCACTTGGGCAAGTAGAAGCAGATGGGTTGCAGGAGATCGTTCCCCCGTTTGTGCCAACTGCCGGTGTGAAATCCGATGGACATGAGCCAACGGATGCTGATGTGGAGCAGCAGATGAATGTGTTGGCCAGGTTGGCTGATTGGACACATTGATAGCTGAAAAATGGATTTAAATGGGACCGCAAAAATAAGATTAAGAGGTTTACCCTGATATACAATTTGTAGGATTATTGAACTGACATTCCACATAGCCAATATTTGACGGCTGAGATATTGCGGAATTCGGACAAACAGGATTCACATTCGTTGATTGGGAACAGCAGATTAAGATGCCGGCAGCGTTGGCAGCTGTGGTGCAGATGGAACTGAAACATGTGTTTTTAAATTTGGTATCTTAATTGCGGATTACTGTAAAAGCTCTAGTAGAGTCCCCCTACCCAATATCTTCAACTTTGAGCTCAATTATCTCATTTCCTGTAAAAGATATCAAGAAGTGGTCAACTAACAAAATATTTATCATATAATCAGCAAAACTTTTTTCAGTTTACAGGTTTTTGATATCTTTTACAGGAATCGAGATAAATTGGCTCAAAGGTGAAAGTTAGTGGGGTCGTTCGAGAATTTGCGAAATTTGGACTTTGAGCTCAATCATCTCATTTTCTGTAAAAGTTATCAAAATTTTATCAATTGATAAAATGGTGTTGATAATATGATAGATATTTTGTTAGTGAACCACTTTTCGATATCTCTTACAGCTACCGAGATAATCAAGCTCAAATTGTAAGCGCCCGAAACAATGGCTTCTAAAAACCAAAAACTTTGAGCCCATATATTTCGTCTTCTGTGAAGGATACCAAAAAGTAGTCAACATTTAAATTGTTTATCATAATATCAAAAGTATTTTGTCAGTTGACCTCTTTTTGATATCTGTTACAGGAACCGAGATAATTGAGCTCCAAATTAAAGGGTAGTTCTATTAAACCGCATCAAACGAAAATTCGAATCTCTAAATCTTGGAGATCCGTAAGTAGAGAAAAATAAATATTTTCATACCCCGTCGGACAGTCCGTATTACTTCCAGCCGACGTACAAAACAGATTGGTACCACTGTTAGCCACCAACGGATTCGCATTATTCGGACACGTAAACTGCGGTTGTTGGGCGATGGCGACGGCGGACAAAGAGAAATAGAGAAGACAAATGACATTGATCTTGTTCTCGTTGTACATTTCTCTGTATGAGCATTTTTGGCGGACGAAAGTGACCAGAGGGCAGCGAGAGCACCACTATAAATGAATGTAAATATATGAGGAGAAATCGGCGCCACCTCCCGAACCCTATTTTCAATGTTTGCATTGTTATTAACGGAATGGGAAATTGAGAGGGTTTTGGAGGGAGAGATATGGTTTGTATGCCCAGGTGTACAGACTTTTTTTTTGGAAAGGAATGAGACTGGTTCAGGGAGCAGGGAGAAGGGAGAAGGTGACAGATGCCACGGAAGAATGTTCTGGAACTTGGGAGCGGGACGTCTTGCTTCATCATCTTATAATACTCTGGAACAAAAAATCAGTTGTTTGAGAAAAACGCCGGTGCCCGTGGTTAAAGGTCCCACAACGACAACTACCGTAACCTTAAAAAATTATTTATTTCCGGATTTTTCTCGATTTTCGTTGCAGTCAATTTTCCGACTTTCTCAGGGAAAAATAACAGAACACTCGACGAAAGTTCGAAAAAAGCGAGAAAATAAACCCAGAAATTTAAAAATGTTTTTAGGTTACGGTAGTTGTCGTTGTGGGAAAAATCCCTTCTTCAAAAATCCCCCCTTTCCCTCCCACTTTTTATTATTATTCAGGAATATTCCATCGTCGTTCTCCAGAATCTAGAATCCTATTAAGCGTCAAGAGCAGCTTTAAAGCTATACGCGGGCTCTAAGTGGTTCGATGTCAATTGCACACCCCGCCAAAAATCCATCATCTACTGCTCTACCGTAGTTGTTGAGTGGGGGATGAAGAGGACGAAGAAGACGTCATCCTGTCTATTTTTACGATTTCCCCTTTACTTTTGTGTTTTTACTCTTCGTTTTCTTTGAGATTTTCAAGCTTTTTTCGTAAAAAGTTGAGAAAAACTTCTTTCGCTCCAAGACTATGCTACAATTTGTGTAATGCGCCTTCAAATCTACAAAAGTGTGGGAGGGCGCCAACCGGAAAGTTTTGAAACTTTTTTTCGAAGAGCTTTTTTGCAACAACTTTCGCCATGTTCTTCCCGTTTTTCGACCCGATTTTTGGTTTGAAAATTCAGCTCTTATCAATTCCGATCGGAGAAGTTTGTTGCCTGTGTACTTTTTCTACCATGTCTCCCCACCTCCTTCTCCGAAAAAAGATTCAAATCACACACAAAACGTTTCGTCTCTCAATCTTTCTTCTCTGAAATTTTTTCCCAAACGCATAATCATTAAAAATGCCATTAGTTTCAGGGAAAAAGTCTCGGCATAAAGTGCCACTAAACGCCCCCACCGGAAAAGCCATAAAGTGTGCGATCCGCGGCACCGCCCGTCTATAGTCTTTTATTCACGAAAAGGACCGCCCAAATGGTTTACGGGCTTGGCGAGGCGCTCAAAAATCTGAACAGTTACTGCCAAGAGCGAACCACACGCATTCGGAATTCCTTGTCACCATCCAGTACGTTTTTTTTCTCGAATTGTCGAATTTGATGAGCTTGCCTCCTCACACCGTCCTCTTGAGAAATAATCAAATTTGAAGGACCTTCGATGAGCGAGACAACGATACCCGGCACGGGAGGAAGCAGTAGCAGCTCAAGAGCCTCAACTGCAATTCCATCAACTCCAAACATGGATCCAACGACGCCAACCGTTGACGATCCGGCTCCAAATGCCAACAACGGTAAGTAAAAGGCCCTCTAGAATCTTCTAATAGCTCACTAGTTCCAGGAATGTCTCGCGACGAGTTCCGTCAATACGGAAAGGAGACGGTCGACTACATCGTCGATTATCTGGAGAATATTCAGAAGCGGCGCGTTGTGCCAGCTATCGAGCCGGGATATCTCAAAGATTTGATTCCGTCTGAAGCGCCGAACGCGCCGGAATCGTTCGAATCCGTTATGGAGGACTTCGAGAAGCTCATCATGCCAGGAATCACTCATTGGCAGCATCCGAGATTCCACGCCTATTTTCCGGCTGGAAATTCGTTTCCATCGATTATCGCCGATATGTTGAGTGATGCCATTGGATGTGTTGGCTTTTCATGGGTAAGAGCTAATTTTGGGCGCGTTGAGTGTCGGCGTTGCGGCTGAAAATTTTAAAACAGGCAAACAGCCAAAATTTTTGACGCAATAATTAAACTTTTTAAAAGTACACATAAGCAAACAGACTAGAAGCCAGACTAGAAACCACAAACACAATTTCTTTCCAGGCCGCCTGTCCAGCTATGACGGAACTCGAACTGATCATGCTCGACTGGTTCGGAAAGATGATCGGACTCCCAGCCGAGTTCCTCCCGCTGACCGAGAACGGAAAAGGCGGTGGTGTCATCCAATCGAGCGCTTCGGAATGCAACTTTGTGACTCTGCTGGCCGCGAGATTCGAAATCATGAAAGAGCTCCGTCAGCGATTCCCGTTCGTCGAGGAAGGCCTCTTGCTATCGAAACTAATCGCCTACTGCTCAAAAGAGGCGCATTCATCTGTGGAGAAAGCGTGTATGATTGGCATGGTGAAGTTGCGCATTCTGGAGACGGATTCAAAGTTCCGACTTCGTGGGGAAACTCTTCGTAATGCTATTCAAGAGGATCGTAATCTCGGATTAATCCCATTCTTTGTCTCGACCACACTAGGAACAACATCTTGCTGCTCGTTCGACGTCCTTTCTGAAATTGGCCCAATCTGCAAGGAGAATGAGTTGTGGCTCCACGTGGATGCCGCCTATTCGGGATCGGCATTCATCTGCCCAGAATTCCGTCCACTAATGAACGGTATCGAGTACGCGATGTCGTTTAACACCAATCCCAACAAGTGGCTGCTTATCAATTTCGACTGTAGCACTATGTGGTAAACATAGATAGCTGTTATCATTAACTCTTATCAGTGCCTCAAATTTCCAGGGTACGTGATCGTTTCAAGCTGACTCAAGCGCTGGTCGTCGATCCGCTCTATCTACAACACAGCTGGATGGGTAAACTACATTTTGGTTTCAGACCCAATAGAATAGTGCAATTTCAGACAAATCAATCGACTATCGCCATTGGGGAATCCCCCTAAGTCGTCGGTTCCGTTCGCTGAAGCTGTGGTTTGTGATTCGCATGTATGGGATTGACGGTCTTCAAAAGTATATTCGGGAGCACGTGCGGTTGGCCAAGAAGATGGAGGCCATGTTGAGAGGGGATGCGAAATTTGAGATTGTCAATGAGGTCATCATGGGTCTCGTTTGTTTCAGAATGAAGGTGAGCCGAGGGATTTTTGTGAATTTGTGGTTTTCTTGAAGTCGTGAAAAACTTCTGAATTTTCCTTATAAATTAGCTCGTGATTTGGTGTTATTAGAGTAAAATGCGTGCTGGAAATTTTTTTTCGAAACATTCAGGTTGCAATTTGAAAAACTTTCGGGCGCCCGAGCTTGCCGAATTCGTGCATTTGCGCGTCAAGTTGTCAGTGTTTCCGTACGTTGCATTGTATTTTACGACGCACCGCGCATTTTCTGCGTACACAAATACTCGACGCGCAATTTCACTATTGTATATTCAAAG